CATAATATTTATATTTGTAATATTTATAAATGTGATAAAAAAAGAATGAAAAAAAAAAAAAACAAATTTCAAATTTTTTTTAAAATTTATCATAACCTTATGAACTTTAACAACTATAACAACTATAACAATATAGTATAGTATATAGATATATATTTAAGTACTAAATAAGATTTTATTATTAAAAAAATATATAATTCTCATAAGATAATATGTATTTCTAAGAAATAAGTAACTTTTTTTTTATTTTTTTATTTTTTTGTTTAAATTTTTAAAAAGTACTAATTTTTTTTAATTTTTTATTGTTACAATGAATCAAACAGTAATTACAACTGTTTCAAATTCAAATTTTTAAATAACAAAAAAGCTATTATTTAGATTAATAGAGATTCATAGAAAGTTTTGAGTAGGATTGAAAATTGGCGCCAACCCAAAAAGATTGCTGGAAACTCAACAAAAATCCGTGTTGATTCCAAAAAATTTGACAGTTTTATGATTTTTGAATGATTTTAAATTTAAATTTAAATTTTGTATGGTGTGAAACAACAAGTGGCGCTTTAAAAATCAGAGTGACTGTTGAAAAATAGCAAAAAACAACAATTTTTTGTGTTGAAAAAAATAATTTCCTACAACAAACACTCTCAAATTTTGCTTTATTTTTTATTTTCCACAACAAAATACATACATACACTTGCTAATTATTATTTATAACAACAATAAATACTATATACTTATTATATCAAATTAATATTATATATAGTTACTTTAAAGTTTAGATTATTTAAATAATTATTCATCGCATCAAACAAAACAAAACCAATCAAATCAAATTGTAGTAATTATACACAAATCAACAAGCAACCAAACCAACTCTTATTCTTGTCAATCTACTCGCGAACAGTTAATAACAAAAGAACAACAAACAAACAATGTCAACCAAATCAAAATCAACTAAATCAACTAGCACCGCCAAGAAGTCCTCCAGCACCACCACCAAGAAATCGACTCACCCAACCTATCAGGTTATGATCAGTGAGGCTATCGAACACTACAAGGACAGAACTGGATCGTCGATCATCGCTATCAAGAAGTACATCGAGGAGCACTACGACGTCAATCAGACTGTGTTCAACACTCAGTTGAAGTTGGCATTGAAGCGTCTCGTTGAGAACAACTCACTCGTCAAAGTCAAGGCAAGCTACAAGCTCCCACCAAAGTCTGCCAAGAAGTCAACTACCGCTGCCGCCACCACTACCACTGCCGCCAAGAAGTCAACCACAACCTCCGCCAAGAAGAAGACTACCACCACTGCCGCCAAGAAGTCAACTACAACCGCTGCCGCCAAGAAGACTACTGCTCCAGAAGCCGAGAAATCCGACGACTCTGGTAGTGAAGCTCCCGCTGCACCAGCCAAGAAGACCACTGCCGCCAAGAAGGCCGCCCCAAAGAAGAAGGCAACAACCACTGCCGCCCCCAAAAAGAAGGCAGCAGCAAAGAACGCCACCAAAAAGAAGACCGCCAAGAAATAAGAAGCCTGACCATAATCCTTAACCTGTTGATAAGAACGACTACACACCCAACAACTACCTTGATTGATGTTGTTGAATGATGGTTATTTTTATTCATTATGAAATTTGTTTCACCAAAACATTTTCAAAACGGTGTTTATTCAACACCACCCAATTATCATTGAACTCTTATCTTAAAAAAAAAAAACAATCGACTTTCAAAAAACTACTACTAACAATCATTCATTCATTCATATTAAATTGTAACAGCTTTGTATCTAGGTTATTTATTTATTGTTTGTTTTTGTTATTGGTCGGTTGGTCGCAACCTTTTCTAAATTAAATAAATAAGTTTCAAAAAGTTGTTTACCTTTTTGGGTCAGAATGATGTTTTTTATGCTTTTTTTTGTGGTTATTTTTTTTTTTTTTGGACATTCTTGTCTTCCATAATGGTTTTCATCTTCACAACTCATGCAAAATTCAAAGATTTTTTCTATTTAATATTTTTCATTTGATTTTGTTTTTTTTTTTTGATTATTTTTTTTTTTTCATAAAAGGTTGATGAAAGATTATGATTTGTTTTTAGTTTTTTTTTTTACATCATTATTAATCATTTAAATATAAATATAAAAAGGTAAAATAGATCAGAGAAGAGAGATAGAGAGTGTGTGAGAGCATGTGAAGTTACAAAAACTGTATAAATCCAAACTAAAAATTAGAACAAAGTGGAATCAAAGATAATATCGAAGATCTTGATTTCGTTTTTCAAAAAAATTATCAACATATTAGTTAGTTGTGCAATGTTTACCCAATTTGTTTTATTTATTTTTGGGCAATTAATTGCTTTGTTGCAAAATAATCAATATATTGAATGGAATGAAATGATCATTTCAGATCCTCTCATGCAAATTTACAATTATGTAAATTAATCTAGGTTCATTTATCATAAAAATAAATAAGAAAGACACAATAACTTACTAGCAATAAACACAATTCAAAAAAAAAAAAGGTGAACTTTCAAAATAACTAATTTATCTCAAAACTTAGAGTCAGAAGTGGTGTGTTTGTTGGTAACGAAGCAACCACCACACAAACAACACAACAAATACAACAAAGATTTTATAAACTTTTATAAAACAGTTTGTTTTAATTAATTATTTATCGATTTCAAAACAAATATACTTCTTTAATATCTCTCCATTCTTGTTGTTATTATTTTTCTTGTTAATAACTTTGTTTAATTATTTATTGTTTTATTATTGTAGAAAGTTAACTTTAGATTAAGATTTTATCCCATTATTTTATTTATTAAAACAACAACAACAACAACAATTAACATTAATAATTCAACAAAAACACAAACAAACAGATATAGATAAATATGATTACCGATTTCTTACAAAGTTATCCAGAGGCTAAAGTAGGTATTTTAGTTGCAGCTGTTGCAGCCATATTGGGTCTAAAGTTATTGATTGGAGGTGGTCCATCAAAAGAATCCGAACAAAAGAAAGAGTCAAAAGGTAATAACAATAATAATAGCAACAACTAAAATAACCATTCAATTAACATGTTACTAATTTGACTTGACTTAATGTGTGTTAATAGTTGCTCTCGACGCCAAAGAATATAAAAAGTTCCCACTTAAAGAGAAATTCATTGTAAATCATAATACTAGAATCTTTAGATTCGGTTTGCCACACCCAAGCGATCGTTTGGGTCTGCCAATCGGACAACACATCTCGGTGCGTGCCACCGTCAATGGCAAGGAAGCATACCGTCCATACACCCCGATCTCATCGGACGAGGATCTCGGTCACTTTGACCTTCTGATCAAGGTCTACGACAAGGGTGTCATGTCGGGCTACATCGACAAGATGTTCATCGGTGATCTCCTCGAGGTTCGTGGACCAAAGGGTCTCTTCAACTACGAGCCCAACATGTTCAAGAACATCGGTATGTTGGCTGGTGGCACCGGTATCACCCCGATGTACCAAGTCATCAAAGCAATCTTACGTAACCCTGCCGACAAGACCAACATCTCGTTGGTATTCGGTAACATTGCCGAAGAGGATATCCTCTTGAGGAAGGAACTCGACGAGTTGGCTGCCGCTCATCCCGAGCAATTCAAGCTCTTCTACGTACTCAACACCCCACCAAAGGGATGGTCGCAAGGTTCCGGTTTCATCACCCAGGAAATCATTCAAACTCATCTTCCAGCGCCAGCCGACGACACCAAGGTTGTTCTTTGCGGTCCACCAGTCATGAACAAAGCTATGACCGGTCATCTAACACAACTTAATTATCCAGAATCCGCCATCTTTTCATTCTAAACAAAAACAAACATAATAAATAATTTTTTAAATATATATATATAACATTTTTATTTACAGATTGATGATGTTTCGTTTCATTTCATCGATTTGGTTTAGATTTAGTTTGAACATCTTCAATATTAATAGATTAAAGGTAGATAATATGAAATGGTTAAATCTCTTTGCATGACATGCAAGACAAGCGATGAACCTTCATAAACACAACAAACAACATGATTCGCTTCGATTTGATGTGATTGCAGTGTTTTCAAAAACTTTTTGATGTCTACTTTGACGGTGGCGCTGACGTCGGGTGGAATAGGATTGCCAAGTTCCGGGTAGGAGATGTCGTAGAAGGTTTTGATCGATCCTGTACCGGTCTCCACTGAGAAACATAGTGCTTGTGTAGAGTTGGTATTCACTTCGATCGTGAGATGATCCGATATGTTCTTCATCTTCTCTACGACGTTCTGTACATGCTTGAGTGCAGGCATGAAAAAGTTTAGATTATTGGTTGGCAGTACGGGCTCGACGAATCCCGAGAGAATCTGTGCCGATAGAACAACCACTGGGATATCTTGAGTTAGGAACAGTGATCTCGATGATTGAGTAATGGTGAACGTTAGGAACGGAACGTTGGAACCGTCTTTCTTTCTCAGTCGAACGAGTGTATCGCCATTGACATTGACAGCCGATTGCAACACCTGCTTCAAGTGGTGCAGCTGAATCTGCATCGCTATCATATTGTGATTCAAACTTGCAATGACAGTCTCCTCAAAGAATAGATAGGTTTTCGCTTCCGTCCAAACTTGCATAGTATCGTTTGCATCTGATGTGATAATGAATTTAGTTGCATCCGGTGCAATATGTAATATACAATCATTCTTTATCTTCATAATGATTTGAACAACCTCTATATAAATAATTATTGTTTTTGTTTTTTATATACACATTTATGTTAGTTTTAACTGTTTAATTGTTTGTTTATTCATTCTACTTCTCAATTAACTAACAATTAGTAATGCATACATACTCAATAGTCGTTTTGCAGTTGCTACTTTTGCATTGAATCTCATTCTTTTTAAAAATATAGTTATAATAAATAGTATATATAAATAATTGTAATATAATAATAGCAAATTAAAAAATGTTGAGTTTATCGATCAAAATGTTACATTAATTTATTTAAAAATCTGATACATAAAATATTTTCTAAGAATTTTTAGTTTTTTTACAATTTTTATACAATTTTTTTTTAATTATTACTTTTCTTTTTTTAATTAATCTTTGCACTCTTATCTGTATTATTTTAGATCAAAAAATTAATATATTAAAAAACTAGATTTTATTAATATAATTCAAATTAGACAACTAATAAAAATGATTAATTAAATATCAAATTAAAACTTGTTTGAGAGAGAATCATAAAATTAAAATAATTAAATAATATAAAATAAAATAAAAATCAAAATCGTCTATTGATGTGTTTCTTTTGGATAAAGGTTCAGAAATCTCCGACTCCACAATTATCGATCAAATGTATTCTTTTAATTTGATTATTCCCTCTATTTTTTAATTTTATTTTTTTGAATTAAAAAATTCAAAGATGTCAAAACAAAAATTATCGTTAAAAATAAAAATAATTTAATTCATTCAAGATACATTATCATCATATTTAATCACATCATTGCTAATTTATGAAGATAGATAGTAGCACAGAAGATAGATAGATAGATTAAAATAGAATAGAATAGATTAATATTTTTAATATTAAAAAATATTATTATTATTTTCTTTTTTAATATTATCTATTTAAACAAAGAGATAATAATAATATAATAAATAGCATTCAAATTCACTTTATATAGAATATATATATAATATATATTAAGAGTGAAATTTCATTCATTCATTCATTCATTAAGAATCAGTGTTGTTTAGGAGACATATCAGATAACAGATAATTAGATAGATTTTTGTTTTTATTTTTATATTTTTATTTATAATTTATATATATATAATGGATCAACACCATTTTAATAATGGAGGTGGTGGTAGTAGTGCAGATACCGATACAACAGAAGCATTGAAGAAAGCAAGTATCTACATCTTGGAGATCGAACAAATGGTGAAAGATGAACTAGCGATGCTCGAGAAATTCTATGTTGCAGATCATCAAGATGTTCCATTTGAGAAAGCAATCAATAAAGCAAAGAGAAAGGTAAGTAAACAATAAACAATGAGCAATAACAAGTTGTAATGTAAAACAAAAAAAAAACAAACTAATTATTATGATAATCATTATAATGAATAGTTTGAAAAGAGAAGAGGACCTACTTTAATTAAACCACTTAATAAAAAGAAGAATAGAGTGGTTGTAGGCGAGATGGAGTTCGATCCGGTTGCACAGCTGTGGAAGGGAAACGACTCTGATCTAAACAACTTTCCTAGAGCTGGTGCACCTGCACTCATCACCAACATGGGTCGTAACGAAGAGAAAGTAATCGGTAACATGAAATGGGATCCCAAACAAAAAGAGTGGCGTGGTAATGAGAGTGATCTATCGAAATTCAGAACACTAAAACCCGGTTTAATCACTCAATTGAATGCTAATTTCGGTATAAGAGGTATGTTTGTTAAACTAACTAAAACTTACACATACATATAGTTACTAAACATTAATGTTATTTCTTTGTTTGTTGTTTGTTTCTGAACAGTTGAGAATGGTATGGTTTTAGATCCAGTCTCAATGAAATGGCGTGGTAATGAAGATGACCTAGATGTATTCGATGCAATGGATGATCAAAACAATGATAACAGTATGTAATTGAATTGAACAAGCGAGATAAAGAATGTTAAGATTAATTAATTAACACACAATATTACATATGTACAACAGCATTCAAGGAAGAAGGAGAATTTACACTTTCAAAGAAACTACTGGAATCACTTAGAGAATCACAGAAATTACATAGCAATTTAAAGGGATGGTTCCCAGAGGAACGCGATCTTGATGATAGAGACCATTTCCACTCGATTCGACAAATGTCAATCATGAAACTCGTAAAGAATACATCGAGACAGTACTATCAACAACAGGCAGCAGGTGGATCAGGTGCTATTTCTATTGCTTCGGCAGTGTTGCCATCGGTATTGCAAAGAAAAGCGGTTGTCGACGAAACCAACGATTGGGACGACGTTGACTTTGTCGAAGAACAACCATCACTCAAACTCAACCTGAAAGTACATCAAGATGCCAATGACGAAGATGACGATGCATCGCAGTGGGACAAGGAAATGGGATTCACATCTGAAGATGATTTCACTGCATCCGATCATGGTTCAAGAGTACAAACACCAAGATCAAATAATAATAATAATAGTAATAATAGTGGAGGTAGTAGTAGTAGTAATAATTTAAGTGGAATATTTAATAATAGTATAAGTAATAATAATAATAGTGGTAGTGGTGGAAAACAAGTCGAAGAATGGAATGATTTCGGTTCTTTTAATGCCGATAAACTTAGTAAATATAAAGAGAGTAAAGATGATTTGTCGGATGAGGATTTGGATTTTGGAAGTTTGAACAAGAGTATAAAGAAAGGGGGAAGTACAATGAAAACAATATTAGCAAGTGGTGGATCGATTACAAAGACACTCAGTAATTTGAATGCCAATACTCAATCGATGAGACGTGGTGGTACTTTAAATAATATTCCACCATTGCCAACTACTTCTACCACTAGTGCAGGTGTTGCTGTCGGTAGTAATAACAGTACACCGCTCAGTGCAAGCAGTAGTACTACTCCCAACAGTATAGAGGAGTACGATGATATGGAGGTGAAAGGACCGCTTTCTCTGAAGCAAAAGATGCACTCTGACAACTTTAGTATATTGGAACAAGAGTCGGCTTTGTCGACCTCCAAGCGATCCACGCCAACTAGCTTTGCCAATCATTTGGAGGAGCGTGATATCATTGAGGAGGAATGGCCAGACGTTCACATCCCGATGGATCTCGGTGCGAAACGACCGAATGATCACTCGAGAAAGTCGCCACCCGTTGGCAAGCTTGGCGCCGTCGAAGACTATGGCGATGAGCTATCGATCAACACGAACGCACCACTCGTTCTAAAGAAACATTTGTTGGAGGACAATCCGTTTGGCGATGAGAGTGACGACGATTGGAACGATGTTTCCTTCCCCGACAACTTTAAAGCGTCACCACTACAAGCACCAATCGCACATAGCACACCATCGACACCACTCACACCCCTGGCAAACTACAATCTCGACAACTCATTTACACCACTTTCACCGGCATCTCTTCAACAAGTATTTCAACCACCGACATCCAACTCACCGATTACACCATTTAAATTTGTAAAGAGATCCAACACCAATATATAGAGAGGACCTGTGTGTGTGTGAACTCAAAGTTAAGAAAACAAACAAATAAATTGTATTAAGATATTGTAAAATATATTTATTTATTAATTTTGTTAATTTATTTCGTAGGCGTGGCACTTTTTAAATTTTAAGTTTCAGAGGTAGCTCACAGCAGTTACCTCACTGACGAACTTAAATCTGAAAAGTTGAACCAAATAAAATGAATATCATGTTTACAATATTTAAATAAATTATTATTTGTTTTTTATTAAACTTTGGTAAAGTTCCATAGTTGAGGATACCTGTATCCTGTGCAAGTAGTGAACCGAGCATAATAATCACATCTTTCCATCAATTCAAGACAAAGATTTGTATTTACATCTTGAATTTGGTAAAGATCTGGACTCTGTGGTACGGCAAAACTAGTAATATTGAGAGCGTTTGGGTTGATTGTCGAGGTACTACTGTATTCCCAAATAAATTCGCGAGCACCTACGGCTATATAATAGCTTGTATTGTTATACATTCCAGAAATAGTAGTTGAGTTGATGAACCAGCTGGAAGTGCCAAATGAACAAGGTACAATATTTACTTCTATTTCATTTGGATTGGGACCACCTGCATACATTTTACCTATTAATGTAAACATTGTTTATCAATATGTATAATAAACTGTGATTTGGTAATAAATACCAAGAGAGAAATAAATAATAATAATTTTGATATATTAATAATTTTTATCATTCTAATATATAAAATTTTTTGTTTCAGTAATCAAACTACCCTTTAATTGTCTCTCTTTTTTTAATTGAGGGATAAAATTGATGCTTTTCCCTCAACCAGATAGACAAAACGGATCTAAATTCCAACCCCTTTCCCAGGCACAAAAAGTGTAAAAATCAAAAAAAAACTTGGTTGGTCTTTGGCATTGAATACTTTTTTAACAATGGCGATAGTTTAATTAAAACTAGATCATTTACTTCTTTTCCAACACTTTCCTTCCTATAATCCTTTGAATAATAGTGTCTTATTCTGATTGTGATAAATTACAAAGATATAATACACCTATATTTGTTATATTGCATTTTTTTAAATAAATTTGTTCTTTAATCTCATTAATAATAATAAAAATACATACGAATAGTATAATAAAGTTGTTCCTTTTCATCAACAGGTATGATTCTCTCTGAGCATATGCTTTTTCCTATTAATTGTTTCTGTCGATAAAAGACAACTACTAAGGTTATTGGTTTTAGAGATAAAAAGAGAAATAAGTTTATATATTAATGGTTATAATACTATCCTAACCATTTCATATTTAGTATTCATTACCAATCTATTAAGATTTATGATATCATATTTTTGATAATAACAAAATTGAATTAACTTTCTCTGTCAAAGACACTGGGTGTGTCATCATTGTATACATATTATCTGATTTTTATCAGTGATGAGTATATTTATGTTTTTTTTAAGATAAAGGGGTCCTGTTGTTTTTATTGAAAATATTTTTGGAAATAATTAATTGTTAGATAATGTCGCAATATAAAGATAAAGTAGTTCATAATAAAGATAAAAACTTTTCACTCACTTTAGAGAATGGTGGTATGTTGTATTAAAAAAGAGACATAAATTAATAGAAAAGAATTATTTTATTCTATATATTCAACGAATAATTATTGTTTTGTGTATTCTATTGTGTATATTATTATTTAGAGGTTGCACATTTAGATTACACTAGACGATTGAATGAATTTGATTTCTATCATACATTCGTACCTGTTTCTGCTCGTGGTAAAGGTATTGCAGAGATTCTAGCTGACTCTGCAATGAACTATATTAGAGAAACAGAGTCACGTGTCATACTATCATGTTCATATCTCTCAGATCGTTGGTTACCAAAGAACCCTGCCTATGCCATGTATGTCATAAGATCATTCACAAAAAGATAACAACAACAACATCATCATCAAATCGATAGCAACAAAAACAACGACAACAAATCAATTATAATAATAAATAAATAAAATTTTACTTTAATTTATTTTAGTAAGAGTGGATGAAGTTTAGATATGATATGTAAAAGTGTCTTTACTTGAGTTAGTATTGATTTTCTTGAACCAAAGTGTATTTGGCTTTGTGTGATATTTCTGAGGGTTATCACTTCAATCACATTGTTATTATCATCAATGACAGTGATCAGTGGTGACAATTATTTCTTTCTGATGGATTAATGAATTAAAATTTATTAATTAAGAATAGCTTTTCAAAAAAGAAATTTGAACATTACATAGCAAGAAATGATTAAAATAGGAATAATAATATAATGGTAATGAATAAACATCTTAGCTAAAATTGGTGGTGGAAGCTGCAAGAGTAAGTATCTTTCAATATCTTTGTGTCCATATTCTTTAGCTTGAATGGCATAGTGTGAAAAGTCAAAGTGTTCATTCTTATTCAGCCAAACCGATTGATTCTGATATAACCATTTCACCATATCAAGGTGGCCTTTGTAAACTGCATCTTGGAATGCAAAGTGTGAACCCCTTTCAGATCGATTACGAACCAACCACTCAACTGTTTCGACATGACCGTTGGCTGCTGCATAGTTGAGAATCTTTCTGGTACCACCTTCCGTTCGATTTTCATGAAGGAATTTAACAATGTCAAGGAATCCATTCTTTGCTGCATCATCCATAGCTCTATGAGAACAACTGATATCTTCAATATTGAAGTGAAGGTATTTCACAACTTCCAGATGACCATTTCCAGCTGCACCGTCCAATGCATCGCCAGAACAAATTGCATTCACAACTGAATGGAGCCACTCTACAATTAGCAAATGACCTTTGGTTGCAGCATAATCCATAACTAAATAAGACACATATTCTGAACTGCAATTGAAATGGATCCACTTTACAATTTCTAAATGCCCGTTGTATGAAGCGTCTTCCATTGCCTCAATAGCTGAGCATCCTTCCGTTCGATTCACGTGTAGATATTCTACAATATTCAGGTATCCTTTTCTGCAAGCATCGTCCATTGCACGATGTGATGCTCTACCAACTTTATTCTCATGTAGCCATTTAATAATCGTTAGATTTCCTCTTTCCGCTGCTACATTAATAAGTTTAACATTATCTTTTTCTATTATATCTTTTTTCTCTTTTTTCAAGTACTCAAGTACATGAATATGATTTCCAAACACCGCATGATAATACATGGTATTTCCTTCTCTATCTTGTGGTCTGTGTTCAGCCAGCCATTCGATCATATCGATGCGACCAACTCTTGCTGCGAAATCAAAAACATCCCAACTGTTCGCCTGTCTACTGCTACGACCTTTCTCAGCCATACTATCAACCTTGTTCGATAGATATTTCAGCATCTCGATGTTCTGGGAAAACGGTGATTGTGATAAATGCGATCGGTATGAAAGGTTTTTAGGCTTGAACAGGTTCTCCAGGTACTGGAATATCTCAAACTTTCCAGAGACCACTGCAAAATTTAGAATATCATCAAAGCATTGATATCTGAGGTAATGTGACTCTAGACGTTCAATCAGATATTTTACTACTTCGAATGAGTTTGGATGTGATGTTTTGATGGCATTCCCCAAGATACGATAGAAATCAAACTCTGTTATATTGTTGATGTCATTTTTTTTAAACCAAACTTTTAACATTTCTAAATAACCATTACCAGCCATAACTCTTGGTTGAGTTACTACTTCACTCCATTTGTATACCTTTCTCTTTTCATCATTATTGTCATCTAATAAACATCGATGATTTCTAACTTGATCGAAAATCAATCGATTTAAAATACGATTGTTAAATATACATATAAATAATGATTTATTCATTTCTCTTATATTTCTTTCTTTTTTATGCAATTTTTTGGTGAAATTAACAATTTTTTTTTGTTTGGACAACAAATTTCTGTCTTTTTTTTCTATCTCGGATATTTGTTGATTTGGCCACAAAAACGTTCCGGATTTTTTTTAGAACAGTTCGGATTCACTTTTGCTAAAAATGAATTAGATAAACACTTTTTCATTTATTTATTTATTTTTTTAACTTAGTAAATACAAAGTAATCTCCATGTTTAATAATTTAATTCAATCAAGTTATATTCGAAATAATATTTTTCAATTCGTCAAAGAGATTCATAGTGAATCTTATAAAAGATGTTTCAGCTGGCAACAACTTATCAATAACCCACAACAACTCATTCTACACAACTATAATGAACAATTCTATCAGTTTATTAAAGATTTCATTAGTAATAATGGAACAACTAGTGAAAGAAACTATCAAAAGATGCTTGAGTATATGGATAGTTCATTTCTGTCGGCTATCAAATGTAATAATATCGATATCATTCGTTACCTATGCGATCATCATCGTAAGTTTGTGTTGAACGATATGTTTGTATGTTCGCTAAGTCTATCGATTAAATACAACCGTTTGGAAATCGTACGATTGCTACACAGCTATATCGTTGAACCTATCAATCTGCCAGTGATGGTAGTAGCAGCGGAGAACGGACATTTGGAGATGCTCAAATACCTAAATTCCTATCCGTCGGTGTTTCCATGTAGCTATGAAGCTATCGATAAAGCAGCGACCAACGGGCATTTCGAGGTTATTCGTTATCTCCGCGAAAACCGAACCGAAGGTTATCTGCATGCGGTCGACGGTGCTTCGATAAATGGACACTACGAGATTATCAAGTATCTCGAGAGTGAATACGGTCCGCTAACGTTCTCTGACGATGCCGTTAATCTAGCGGTGATGAACGGTCATTTAGCGATTGCCAAACACTTGCATGCGATCAAGCCAGCACCACGCATAACAATTGAACATTCAATCAAGAAGGGTCAACAAGATGTATTGGAATGGTATCTAAGTATTCATCCAAACATTAGCAACTATAATTTACATGCTGTTCTATCGCTCTCTATTAAATATGGACATATGCACTTGGTACGATTCCTGATAGAGAAATACGATAACATTCTTTTACCTTCGCATTTTGGCGATGCATGTATATGTGGTCACATCGAAGTAGTGAAGTATATCGAAAGCAAAACAACAGTCGAACGACTTGGTAAAGATATAATCGCCATGATTGCATTTAGAGGTCACCTAGAAATCATCAAGCATTTACATCAAACCGATAAGAGCGTATGGTCCATCAGAGTTCTCAATCAAGCCAAGAAGAGGAACAACTATGAAATAGTTCAATTCCTTATTGAAAATCGTCCAGAGTTTTCAACACAATAAATTAATTTATCTGTAATATTATTATTATTTTTTAAAGAAATTAAATGTTTATTTATTTTATGCTATTGTATTCATTTGAATACCAAGTTTTAATTTTATATTTCTCTTATTTTTTATAATGAAAATGGTAGCTACTGATAGAATTGCTATACCAACAACACCACATACCACCGCAATGGTAATGATCACCCAAGTTCTTGAGGATTTACCAGAGATTGAACAATCTTTGTTTTCGGTTTGAATTAGGAGTGAAAAATCAGGATCTATACTACAGGTCTGACATTGTGGTAAATGGATTCCAATGTAGGTGACACCGTCTTGAGTGCTGTTGATAACTTCATTTCTTGAATAGGTCGATCTTCCATCAGAGAGTGAGAATGGTAAGAACTTTCCATAAAATGCCAATCCATTCTTGATGATCTTGAAATATTTAACGGAATCATCAAGAGTTCCAGTGGCAATTGGTGACTTTGAATCACAACCATAATTGTCTTCCTCTTCTATTTTTGTGTTGAAAACCACTCTCAAAGTGTTTAAGTTTGATGAATACACCCATCCATTGATATCAACTGAGAGTTTAAGTCCATTTGGTGGAATTGTAAATTGTTGGTTGGCAAATGTCAAATCTCTTGATTTGTTTGAATGTTGAATCAGTGCCAGAATATTTACTTTACTATCGGTTTGAATGGAATATCTTAAATAAGTTACATCATCCAAGCTATAATTAAACGTTGTCCATTCTGAAGTTATTAATTCATTGACAATGATTCCACTTGGATCTAACTCTTGAACTCCAACCATATTGAAATTGAAATCATAACCATTCGCTATTATTGATGTAACTGGAGTAGTTTGATTTAGATTGATATGGCCACCATCAAAAATTTCTAGAGAATGTATTTAAAAAAAATCATATTAATTTAACCAATTTAGTATAAATATTAAATTTTTAAAAGAAATATTAATTACTTACTTAATTCACAATATGAACCATAGAAACCAGTAGAACAAATACATTTGGTATTAATACATCGACCATTTTCATTACATCTATCATTGAAACCAAAATCATTAGGAATATCGATAGCTTCAACAAATAGACGGGGCATAACGAATTCAAAGTTATTCAGAATAATCTTAACGTCCAAGAGACCACTGGAAATCATACCAATTTGACAATCCCAATAAGTTGCATTGATTGGGCCTCCAACTATTCCTGATATCATCAATTTACCCACTTTATATGTACCAAAATTTCCACTTGCAATTTTCCTCCATCTGAATTTATTTTACTATATGATGAAACTAATGGGAAACCTATAAAAAAGAAAGTTGAATTTTATATTAATATTAATTTTTTAATATTTAATTTAACAACTTGCTTGTAGTTTTGGCTAAAAAGGGATTATTAAATAAGTATGATCTCAGAGAAACGTTAAAAATATTGGCGATCAGAGGATGTAGTAAAGTGGCTGTACAAATCATATATGTACTGTTGAAATAGTTTATGTCACAAACTCCATTATTTATGATGGTAATTGTATGATTTGGAAAGGATTGATTGAACTGTCCAAATAATTCCAATTTGAAATTGGTCAAATTGTAAGAGGTAACCGAAGTTTGAGATATATAGGTCACTACATTGATTAGTTTGTTAGTTAGTAGAGTATAAAACGATGTGACATCAATTTTACATACTATCTGATACCCAAGAAATATTAAATACTATATTTCTTGATGTAGAGAAATAAAGTGTTGTCTGACCAGTTGGCACTGTAGGTTTATAAGAAAACAATATGTTTGGATTTATGACTTGAAGTGTTGACGGTGAAAAATCACCAGGTGCTCTATATCCTAGAAGTTTTCCCTTTAGAATACAAGTTGAATTTGAATATCCCAACATAAAAAATTTTGAAAATAACTGTGGTTCTAAAGTATTAAAAAATTAATAACACCTTTAAAAATATGATTTAGACCAAACATACCACAATCTACACCAGGTTTGGTTTTTACTACTTTCGGTGGTAATTGAATATAACTTGGTAAATTTCCTTTTAAACAATAAATACAATCTGGTAGAGTGGTGATAGATGTATTTCTAAAACTTAAAAGATTTGCTGTGCAAAAAGAATCTGGAATTTTTCCTGTAATAGAGGGATTGTTTTCAAAATCTATTCTATTGGGAGTAAGATTTGAATACTCTGGAATTTGGCCTGTCATATTATTGTTGTTAAGAATGAAAAATGTCAAATCTCCATCAGTGCTAATCCATCTTTCATCAGGAAATTTAGTAGCCTGCCTGTTGTTAATAAATGAAAACTTGGGGATTTTATAGGCATCGGTAGGCATAGTGGAATTCGAAAATACCCTAAAAACATTTTAATATATTAGATTATAGTTGTAAAATGAAAATAAAAATACTTACAACATATTCAAAAATTTGAATATTGTTAAATTCCTGGGAGAATAGTCTTGCATATTTACTAAATTTCTTTATCTTTTAGGTAAGTATTATTGTTTAAATATAAAATATTAAATTCTTACAAATTTAATAAAAAAGGAGTGTCCATTTGCAAAATTCTATTATTATTATATCGTGTAATTGACCTTAAAAATAGACTTAAAAAACTTAATTGATACCAATCTTAGTAGATTAACTTACATATCAATATAATTTGAGGTTTTAATAAAATATTTCACTTTTTCGAAGAATATGATTCTGTAAACATCCTGTTTTATAAATGTAAGTTTGATATTCTAATATTATTTCATCATTGAATACTTACAATTTAGTTAACATTGGGAAAAGAGATTTATCGATTGTAAAAAAGCTCCCACCAGTATTATTAAGAAATTGGCAATTTGTTTCACTAGTGGAAATCAGTATTGATAAACATTTATTAGAGTAAATTTTTTATACTTACAAAGATCTTGTAGGATAAATAGTATTAGAAATCTTTAATTCACATAAATTGTTTTTGAATTGTATTGAAACAAAATCTGCTTTAAAAACAGATAAAGGAATATTAGGTATTATAAAATCTGATAATTTTCTAAACAATGCAAAATATTTAAATAAGTTATAAATTGTTTTAACCTCTATTTCTTTATTTTTATACTACTTACAAAGTTGATAGTTTTAGATAAACTGGGAAGTCTGGTGATATCATTCCAATATAGTTTGTTATTCTATAATTTAATAGGTTAGTTTGAACTATTTTTTTCTATTCTAAAGATTTCAATCTTACTGTAAACTTTGTAACTTCACATTTGAAGGGGTATCAATTAAATACAATATATCAAAATCTGTATTAATATTTGAATTGTTTCCAATAGTTCTTGCATCGAATGTAGTTAAATTTGGAAAATACAATTGGTTGATAAACGAGGGTATTCCTTGGTTTGTTACTGTAAAATTATTTGGTAAAACTCTATAATTATTTAAACTAATATATCGTAAAATAGTAAAATTTATAACTATAATTACATTTTTGTAATAGTTTCATCATTTCCTGATCTCAAACAAATCAGAGAACCCAAGCCATTCGTAATGAAATCACACTCACTACTGGTCATATTCCATCCAATTTGATAAAATTGTGCTACCCATCTTAATGAACTCACTAAATATATTTAAAAATAAAAATAAAAATTTTTTAGATCTACATTTTTTAATTATCTTAAAATAAAATTGTATCTTACATTCATCAGAGTCAATTTCACCTTTGATCACAATAATGTTATAAAGTAAAAATAAATATATCAATTTTTTCATATTAATTTTTTGTTTATTTGTTAAAATCATTGTCTTTTAAAGTTAAAAATGATCACGTTTTTTTTTTCTTTTTTTTTTTCGATTTATTATAAATTTTTTATTTTTTTACAAACAATCTATTTTTTTTATTTTTTTTATTTTTTTCTATTTTTTTCCATATCTTTTCAAGAATTAAAAAGGTTAACCTTTTTCTCCTTTTCCGAGTTTTTGCATTGCCACATTGACCAATAATTTGATGTTTCTTCTTTTTTTTCGAATATAAAAACCAGCTATTATTAATAAAGAAATTCCAACAACACCACATACCACAGCAATAGTAATGATTGCCCATTGTTTTAAACCAGATTTCGCACAATCCTCTCTATCTCCTTGGATAAGCAAAGAAAAATCAGGATCTATACTACAGGTCTGACATTGTGGTAAATGGATTCCAATGTAGGTGACACCGTCTTGAGTGCTGTTGATAACTTCATTTCTTGAATAGGTCGATCTTCCATCAGAGAGTGAGAATGGTAAGAACTTTCCATAAAATGCCAATCCATTCTTGATGATCTTGAAATATTTAACGGAATCATCAAGAGTTCCAGTGGCAATTGGTGACTTTGAATCACAACCATAATTGTCTTCCTCTTCTATTTTTGTGTTGAAAACCACTCTCAAAGTGTTTAAGTTTGATGAATACACCCATCCATTGATATCAACTGAGAGTTTAAGTCCATTTGGTGGAATTGTAAATTGTTGGTTGGCAAATGTCAAATCTCTTGATTTGTTTGAATGTTGAATCAATGCCAAAATATTTACTTTACTTTCAGTTTGAATCGTATAATTTAAATAGGTTACTTCATCTAAATTATAGGTTGTTGAGTTCCATTTTGTTGTTATCAACTCTTTAATGATTGCTCCACTTGGATCTAACTCTTGAACTCCAACCATATTGAAATTGAAATCATAACCATTTGCAACAATTGATGTAACTGGTGTTGTATGATTAAAATTAATTTGACCTCCTTCATATAATCCTAAATTATTAAACAAAAAATAAGAGTTAGAAATTTTTAATTTTAAAATAAATAAAGATTTTATATATTCTTACTTGATTCGCAATATGAACCATAGAAACCAGTAGAACAAACACATTTAGTATTGATACATTGACCATTTCCATTACATCTATCATTGGGACCACAATCAATTGGCTTATCAAGTGATTCAACAAAAATTTGTGGCATATCGAAATCAAAGTTCTTCATTTTGATCTTTACATCCAACAGACCACTCTTGATTGGTTCGATATCACACTGCCAATAGGATGAATTCTTTGGAGTTCCTAAACACTCCTTTCCTCCTATCAATATCGTTCCAACTCCTAAGGAACCAAAATATCCAGTTACTTTCAAAGATCCACCAGTTGAATTTAATTGACTATAGGATGAAACCAAAGGATAAGCTTTTTGAAAAAGAAATTAATAAAACTATTTGATTATCAATATTTTTTTCTTATTGATTACATACCCTTTACATTTACTATTTTTTCAAAAGTAAGGTAATTAGATTGCAAAGTGACTACAAAATCTTTATTTGTGCTTAAGGGTGTTGGTAATGGCATTGTACATTGAATGAAACTTGAATTACCAAAAGAGGCATTAAAAGTAAAATCATTATTAATGGTTATAAGGTTTTTTCCTGAAACATTAAAAGTACCCTCAATATAGAATGTTATAGAGTCTAAACTATAAACATGATTTATATATGATAGAATCGTTGCTATTTAAGAAAAGAAAAAAAAATTAATAAAATTTCCTTTTGTTTTTTTTGTTTTTTCCTAATTGAACTTACTATCAGTTACCCATTCAATATCGAATGAAATTTTTCTTTTGGATGAAAATACAATAGTTTGACTACCTGAAGGTGTTGAGGTTTGATATGTAAAAAGTGTATTGGCACGAACAATTTGAAGTTGGCTAGGTGAAAAATCACCAGAATCAAGATATCCCAACATTTTTCCAGATAATGGAATTATTTTACTAGAAATATCCAAAACAAAGAATTTCTTTTCTAAATTTGGTTCTATTGTTTAAAGATTAATATTAAATATATAAAGAAGAATTTATCAACGAAACAAAACAACTTACCACAGATAAATCCTTTTTGGGGTATAATAGAAGTTGGAAGTTGTACAAAATTTGGATATGAACCATTCAAACAAAGTAGGCAATCTGGGAGAGTGGTGAGTGATGTATTTCTTAAATATAGTTGTTGAGCAGTACAAAATGAATCTGGGATTCTACCTGTAATCAAAGGATTATACATCATATCGATTTTAAAGAAAGATATACTTGAGTACTCTGGAATTTGACCAGATACACTTGTGTTTCTCACATCCAAAGATATCTTCATATACGGATCGTCTCTATTTGAAATAAGCCACTCCTCAGGAGGAAAAGTTGACACATAAGGATTATTAGAAATAGTCAAAGTTTCAAGTGGAATCACATCAGTTGGAAGTACTGAATTATCAAAAACTCTGTAGAAACATACAATATTTTATTAGATATTTCCAAATTTAAAGTTATCACTAAAACAATTAATACTTACACAAATCCAAGCCTTGCAAATTTCTTCAAATTTCTAGTATATTTATCTATATTTGTAAGAGTTCTATACATATTATTAGTACTATGACTAAAATAAAAAAATAATCCTTTCCTACTTACAAAAATCTCAGTATTACAGCTCTATCTAAATCAAGTAACCTATTTCTTTTTGGTCCACCATCCATTGATCTAAAATTCTTTTAAGATTAGTAGTCATTCAATAATTTATCTCTATTTGTTTAATTCCATGGAAAAACAGAAGAAAATTAAAAAAATTTGAGTGGTTGACACCCAAATTTTAATTTTTTCCATCTGTCATTGAATGGAATTTAACATTTAAAAGTTTTCTTACACTATTCCTTGTACAGGACTAGCACTATATTTTACAACTCTATCTGATTCACCATCATACATCAACCTAGATTGAGATTGAAAAATTAAATTAGCAAATTGAAATTTCAATTTTCAAATATAAAAGTTAAATACCTACAAACTGGTTAAAGATGGAAACTGAATCTCATTGAAATCAAAAACATTTGAAGTTTCATTATTAACAAATTGGCAATTGGTTTCGCTATATAATGATAAAATATTAGAAATTTTAACAATAATATAATATATTATAATGCTCACATGTGTTGTAATTTTGGATAAATAATTGGTGCAATCTGTAGAACACATGGATTTTTTCTGAATTGAATATCAATTTGATTTGATGTATTTAAGAATTTCATCTGAGAGTTTGGAATATGAAAATCATATAGAAGTCTAACAGAAAAAGATAGAAATGTTAAAAAAAAAAAAAAAGTTTTTCATAATTTAATAAACTTACAATTTAAAAAGATATGATAAATATCTAGGGAAATCTGGAGAAATGGTGCCAATATAATTTGTAATACTTGTAAAGAGATAAAATTAATAAGATTTATATTTTTAAAACTGGATTTCTATTCTTTCTTACCTTAGAGAAGATAGTTTCTTGTTGTTTTGATTGTCTAATAAATCAAGTATATTATAATTGTTGTTAATATTGGAAGGTGGATTAGCTGGACCAATATATAACTCTGTTAAATAAGGGAAATATAAATTATCAGTCTCAGTAGTATTGCCATTATTTCTTGTAGTATCAAGAATCATGATTCTATTTAATTTAAAAACAAAAAAAAAAAAACAAATAAGTAACTTTGATAATTTGTTGTAGATTAAGATAGAATAATTACATTTCAGTTATATGCATTATTGAACCGTCGACAGAACATGTCAATTTCGAAGGTGTTGGACCACCAGCATAAATGGTAGCACATGTATCTCCACCTAAGTACCAATCGGCTTGGTAAAATTGAATTAAAAACCTTAGAGATCTCACTATTGAAATTAATTGTATTTGATTATTATTAAAACAACTGTTGTTTCCTCTTGATCAACACTAATCGATTAATTGCTAAAAAAAACTTAACATACATTCATTTGGTTCTATAGGCTGAGATTTTAATTTACATATGAAAATCGATAGAAAAATAAATAAGGAAAGATATTTTACTTCTTTCATCTCTAAATATCTATAATAAAAGTTAAAAAGATCGTTTGTAATTCATGTTTGTCAATCAAAAAAAAATCTCGTAAAACGAAAAAATAAAATAAAAATAAAATAAAAATAGATAGATTTATTTTTATGGCATCACAAAAAAAAAAAAGAATTATTATTGAAGAACCAGGAGTCGTCTGCACAAACCACAGCTCTGGTTGATCATCTTCATTGATGAACGATAAATCAAAAAAAATCTTTCAAAGGTCGAGTACCGCAACACATGATTTTTCCTGAAAAACAATTAAAACTAAAATCATGATCTATTATTTAGTTTTTTTTTTCAGATCAAAGAGAATCTTCAGTGAACTTGTCACTTGTTAAATTGTTATTATAATATAAAAACAGAGTTCTTAAATACTTGAGATATTTATATATATATATAATTAACATTAATATTAGAAGATATAATGTTATAATTTTTAATTAAATGGTTTGTTTTTTTTTTTTGTTATATTTTTGTTTTTCTTTGTTTTAAACGAGGTACTGATCAGTTTTTAATTGGTGATAATGATCGAGGAGTAGATGATTCGCTAGAGTCTCTCTCTGATACAAAACCAATGGGATTGTTCCAACTGATTTCTTTGAGCTTTGATACAATATATGGGAAGAGTGGACGTTTGGCAGGATCGGTGTCCCAACACTGCACGAGTAGATCGGCAAAGTCTTTGTCGCAATTGTCTGGAATGGTAGGTCGAAGTCCGGCGTATGCTACTTGCGCCGACGCTTGCGATCCGTCGAGATCAGAGAATGGAATCTCGCCAACCAGTAACTCCCAGACCACCAGCGAAAAACAATAGACATCCATCTTCTCGCTGTAGTGTCCGAGGTTCTTGGTGATCTCGGGTGGTCGCCAACGCGGATTGCAAATGCCACCGTTGGTCATGGTCATTGAACCGTCGCGTGGCTTCTCACGCGACAGTCCGAAATCAGAGATCTTCAGATTGCCGAGTTCGTCCAGTAGGATGTTCTGACTGGTGAGATCGCGATGCACGATGTTCAGTGTGTGCAGATGTGCCAGACCAAGCGCAATATCGGTGGCCATCTTTAGGACGAGCGGAAAAGAGTATTTGACTTTCGGTGTATTCGGGTTGTGCAAAACATTGTAGAGACTGCCACCACTCATATACTCAGTGATGATACATGCCGGCTTATAACACGCACCCATAAACATAACGATATTCTGATGATTGCCGCGTTTCAGATTTTCTACTTCCCTCAGGAATCTCTCTTTAAACTGTTCTTCATCGCCTATTATCTTCAATTTCTTTACTGCTACATGTATACCTTTCCACCATCCTTCCCAAACCTCTGTAAATAATCAATAATGTAAAAATAAAGAGTTTGTTTGTTAATTATCGTCGTCATCATCATCATCATCATGATTTTCAAGCAATTAACAACAAAACTTACCACTAAATGCTCCTTCACCAACTTTTTGAACAAACTGTATATCATTGATCTCTATTATATCATTTCTATCGTTTAAGATTTCCTTTAGTTCATTAAATCGATTTTTCTTTATCTTTTCATTTTCTAAAGCTTTTTGAATATCATTTATCTATAGATAGTTATATTAATTGTTAATAAAAGATCGATCAAAGATGTTTTGTTTATATAACACTTACACAATCTTTAGCACTATTTGAAGACATAAAAAGTGAATCAGAAATAGATCTACCTCTTGGACGCTGTTGTGAAACAGAGAGATGATTTCTGTTGTGGTTGTGGCTGTTGCCGTTGTTATTGTTGTTCGAAGACGATGATGATGAAGTTGTCGAAAGATTCGACTTTTCCTTGACAGAGTCATGCTCAGAGTGCAGAAAAGTGATATCTTTGGTGTAGTCAGAGACCGCTTCTTTCTTTTGGGCGCCAAAGAAGAGACTGTCGTTGCTTCCACTACTTGTGTTGTTGTGCATGTTGTGATCATTCAGCTTGATGCCTCCACTACGATGCGACGATGACGATACAGTTAGACGTTGGAATCCACTTCCAATACTACCGATGCTATTGTCAGATATCATACTGTTTTGCTCGCTGTTCGAGACTGTTATCGTAAATATATCTTTGGTATCATAGGAAAGATCTCTGGGTGCATAGTGACGTGGTGTGGTTGGTGGCGATATGGATGAATTATACATTGGTTGCGAAGAAGAAGAAGATTGTTGTTGTTGTAGTTGTTGTTGTGTTGTTATGTGTTGTTGATGGCTGACTGCCTGTTGTTGTTGTAGTTGCTGCAGCTGCAGTTGTTGTTGCTGCTGGTTGTTGGAGTTCAAGAAAGAACTAATTAGCGACTTGTTAAAGAGTTCTGACGTGCTGCCTATAGAGGAATGTAAAATCGATGTAGTCGATAGATTGTCCTGATTGTTGCTATTGTTGTTATTGAAAGTAGATGGTGGGAAAGGTGTGAGTTGCAGACCATTAGATAATCTGTTGGTGGTCGGAGTGATAATGGATGGCGATGAAATGGAAAGTGGTATATTGTTGGTATTTGGCATTGGTAGGTTATTGAAATTACTAAAACTATTATTTAAACTTGGAGGATTGGAGGTTATAATACTCTTTAGTTGATTGTTGTTGTTGTTGTTACTGTTAGACTGTGGCTGTTGTTGTTGATGTTGTTGTTGGTGATGTTGTGAAGATGACGAAGCTGAAGACGAGGATATTCTAGTGTTGTTGTTGTCATCGTCTGCGAAACTAAAGTGATTGATACTGTTGTTGCTGATGGTGAGTTGATTGATATTTCTCAGACCATCGTCACTGTCGTAGCCAAAGGTTGCCGTTGAATTTACACTGTTATTAAAACTGAAATGACTGTTGTTGCTATTGTTATTAATATTGTTGTTGCTGTTGATAATATTACTGGCGGCTGATGTTGTTGTTGGAGGATTATAGCTACTATTACTCAGATTATGTCTATTGGTACTATTTGTTCTACTTCTATTAATATTAATATTATTATTGTTGTTGTTGTTGTTGATGCTACTGCTAATGTTATTGATATTGAAATCGATTGAATTACTCATGGCACTACTTGGTCTAAAGGCAGAGGATGGCCGACTTGTAGAGATCTGATGGCAGTGCTCACAAATGATGATCTGGTGGTCGCGTAACGACGAAGATGAATCATTGTGAAGTATCATCGAAGATAGTGAATTTGAAGTTGACGAAATACTACTACTAAGATTATCATTATTGTTGTTATTGTTGCTGTTGCTGTTGCTGTTGATGTGATGATTGTCTTTGCCAGCTACCAGTGAATTTGGTGTTCTTGGTGTCTGACATTCATTGGGAGTGTTAATCAAGCTAGTTGATGTACTGTTTGTATATTCTTGATTGGATAGAGTTGATGATCGATCATTCATGCTTTGTAATTGCATCAATTGTGATTGACTATTACTATTGCTATTTGTAATACTATTATTATTTTGATTATATTCATAAATATTATTGTTATTGTTGTTGTCGATGAAATCATTTGTATTTGATTCTCCCAAATTTGTATCGATTGATGACGATGAATGAGATTGTGATTTATCAAAGGAGGAAGATGGACGTCTGCTGTTGCTGTTTGACGAACAGGTTGAAGTGGAAGTAGAGTTTGACGATAGTTGTCGCTGATTCTTCTTTTTACTGGTTTTTTGTTGTTTCTCCTGCTTTGCAAAGCTGCCTTGTCGACGATGTCCAATCACCGAAACGGTGGAAGGCGGTGATCCCGTCACCACACTGCTACTACCACCACCTCCTACATCACTTAGAGTGCCACTACTAACTGTACCGGTGGTTGCATTACTACTCTCTTGTTGTTGCAACTCTTTACTAGAAGACGTTCCCATCTTCCAAGTGTTTTTACCAGTAAGATAATATTGATTTCTAAATAGAGGTTATATCTTTTACTTTAATATATTTATATATATCTATATATAATAATCGATTATTGATAAATAAATAATAAAAATTAATTTTATTTATTTTGATTTGATGATTTTGATTTTGATTTGATTCGATTAGATATGATTTTGATTTTGATTTTGATTTATGATTATGATTATGATTATGTTTAAGATCTAAACTAAAGTGGTTGTGATTTGATTATATTGAATGACTTGACTTTACTGGTTGATTATTCTATTTAATATAAAATATAAAAAAATGAGCAAAAAACCTATAGATCTGAATATCTTATTTTTGTAATTTTATTATTATTACTATTATTATTATTGTATAAAATGATAAAAAAAAAAAAAGTATTAGTTAGATATCTAACTTTTTTGTATTTTTTATTTTTCAAAAAAATGAAAGATATTTAATGGGTAAATGTATACCATTATAATAGTACAGCAAACAAAAAAAAAATAAAAATAAAAACAAAAAAAAAAAAACAAACTATGCTCATAAAAAAAAATTGCAAATATAATTTAAATTAAATAAATAAATGACAGAGATTTATTTTTTTTTTATTTTTATTTTTATGTGTATGTGTGAGAAGGAGAAGTGTGTGTGTGGTGTTAGTGGTGTGTGTGTGTGTTGGTGTAATAGTGGAAGTGTGTTACTTTCACTAACTAAATAACCACCTCAACACAATACTTGGATACAAAGGTAATGATAATCATGTGGAATTAAGGAAAATAATTAAATAAATATAAATAAAAACAAAAGGCGTGACAAGAAGAAAGAAGAAGAAGGTGTTTATTTTTGAAACATCAACACACAGCACACACATACCCACACACAAGATTCACAATTATATGTGTGTAAGAGATACAATGTGTGTACGATGTTTTTAGTTATTTATTTATTTTTTTATTGTTTTGGTTTGGTGTTGGTGTTGTTGTTATGATGTTTGGATTTGGATGATGTTGTTGCTTCATTTGTATCCATCTTGTTTGTTTGTTTGTTGGTTGCTGCAGCTGTTGTTATTGTTTTGTTTTGTTTTGTTATGATTTGTTTGTTGGTCTGTGGAAATTGAGAGTAACACTGAAGCGACATCTTTGTTGAATGAAGAAATGAGGGAGATTATTAGCAAAATCAACAAAACAAATCATAACAAAACAAAACAAAACTGGTTGGTGTGATGAGAGAGAGAGAGAGGGTGGGTAGTGTTTCAATTGCTAATTAGGAGAGAGGAGGTAAGGTTAGTTGGATATTATAGAGGAAGTGTAGCCTTGCAACAACTACCAATAACCATATATCAAACAAATTATAAAATGAAATTGATCTAATGTAATTACATTATGAATCATAACCATATTCACCAACAACATACAAAGTTTGTTTTTTTCAATACAAAATTAATATTATATTATATTTTTGGTTTTGTAAGATTGTTGTGTTATGTCAATATTGATAAAATAATAAGTCACTATAATACTAATTACACTCTTTTACAATTATCATTAATGTTGTATGGTGCTTCGGAATTGATTTGGATTGAATATTGTGTGTGTTTGTGTGTTTCGACAGCAGAACATACAAACAACAACAATAATAACAACTCGAAAGAAAGTAAAAATAATATTACTTTCTATTGGTGATTTGATTATCATTTTTAATGTTGATGTTATTATTGTTGTTGATGATACATCCATATAAAAATTATTAATTGTTCAACATGTACAGAATCAAGGAGAATTGGATTTGGATAGGAATTAGTGTAAATTATAAAATTTAAACGGAAAGTTGACATCTTGAATCAAATACTGATGATCCAATTGGTAATTATCATACTTTTTTAGAATATATTTTTTAGTAAGAGTGTAAGATTCTCCTTTTTCTTATTTATCTCATATGTTCACCCTATTTTCTCTATTATTATTTGAGAAGGTAAAACTTAAATTCTATTTCCAACTTTTATTACTATAATAGTTTATATTATTTATATTATATTAAATTATCTATTATTATTATTATTTTATTTTGTTCATTGATTTATCAAAACTTGTTGTTCTAAAAACCTAAAATAGAAAAAAAAGAATTCTAAACCGACAAAAACATTAATGTAGAATCACAAAGAATAATAGTTTTTTTTTTATATAGATTCGAGAGTTTATTACTTTTTTTGTTTTTTTATTTGTTTCTTACACTTTTCACAATTTAGATTATTATTATTGTTATGCATTAATCCAAACAAACAATATTTAAAAATTTTACTAAAGATCAAAAAGAAAAAAAAACATAACTTCAAAATTAGAAGAGATCATGCTTTTACTTTAGATGTTGAAAGTGTTTTTTGTTGCTTAGTTGTTCAACAATCTAAATATCGCTATCAAAACAAACATTACTAAGCTGATAGCTATGTGGGAAATTATAATGTGACAAAACAATATCATCATGGTATCACAAATACTAAAAATGCATAAGAATTCAAAGAGATAAGGATTGTTGCGTGGGAGAAATATAAATGTGGTGTTTTTAAGTGGTGGTCTCATTTATACTCAACCAAATTAATCTTATAATTTAATTCCCTTTTGAGGTCAATTTGTGTGTAAAGTTGCTTTATTAATTTTTTTTTTGTTTCAAAATACCTTTTGAAATCTCTTTTTCATCTTGTTTTGTAGTAAATTTTAATTTTGAATACAAATAGTGATCAAAAGTCTTTAACTATTTAGTCTTACTACAGTCAAACACCTTCGGATTAATGATTCTATCAAAAAATATGAAAAATTTTTAGATTTAAACGATAAAAATCAAAAATAGATTTTTTTGAAATCATCATATATCCGACTTTAACTCAAGTGGTAGAGTGTTTGACTGTAGTAAGAATCACAAGAGATATCAAAAGGTTGCTAGTTCGAGTCTGGCAAGTCGGATCTTTTAAAATTGAAGTACCCGGATGCGGTAAGGATAAAAAATTTTGTATTGGTATAAGCAATCCATTTCCAGAAATAACCAGGAATTATGTAAGGAATCAGAATAGAGAACTATATATAGTTATATAAACAATTCACACGAAACCTTGAGAGTCACAATTATTAATCAGAACTCTCAAGGTAAATATAACTAATATTTAATACATTAAATAAAGACAATTATTAATCAGAACTCTCAAGTGTTCTCTCTTTGATTGTATTATATACAATACTCTGATTTATTTTAGATAAATCCATCTTGTTACAATTGGTTTGGATTTTTCCATCTTCCCAATTGGGGGTTTGAGTTACCACACATTGGACAGGAGTCGGTAATTGTTTTTTTTTGCAAAAAAAGATTAGCTCCTCCTCTAGCTGGTAGTGTTCTCATCAATCCTCCTCTATTCTCGGCGTGTGGCCTCTGCACTAATTTGTTTCTTCTCATAATTTGTTTGTTTTATATTGCCAAAAAATTAATTTGCATTTACAGGGTAGCAATTTTATCGAGGCCCACATCTATTAGAGCATAGGGTTTCCAAATTTTCCCTTCAAATTGCAAGGCTCATCGCTTCTTTAACCAAAAACGGAGACAGAATAAAAAAAAAGACTGAGAAACAGTTGTTTTATATTTACTTTGGCCGTTTGTTACCGCTGTACTTTCTTAAATTTGCTGTAAGAAGGTTCTTCTGTGTTATATTTATTAGAAAACTTATTAGTTATTATTTGTTTAAATAGTTGTTTGTCTTTGGTGACATCATAATTCGATACTTGAGATCTTCATTGATTCAAAAGTTATTTTTATTACATAGTTATATTTTATTTTAATTATTTTTTTATGTTTTACAAGTGAAAGTTTAACTATAGTGAATATATTGTTTAATGACCATGTTTCTCCTTTTTAGATATACCGAACTGTGTTTTCAAAAACTCGTAGGTAACAAATGTAATACCATGACTTGGAATACTCTTCATGAAGTTTGGAATGATACCTCTGTAGAGACCAAGGAAACCTTCTTTTTTCACTGTTTTCTGTAGACCATCGATCAAACCGGAATAACGTTCTGGATTGGCAACGGTTCCTCCAGTGACCAGACGTGTTTTAATGACGTGGATTGGATACGATACAACCTGTCCCATAGTACTGGAGATGGATGCGCACAACAGCAGCTGTGAAGGCGTGGCAATCTCCGCTGGCGATCTCTTGATGATCTCGTGTTTCAATGTTTCATAGACGAGCATATTGATACCAGAGTGAGGAATGGTCGAGAGAATCGATGCACCCAATCCACGATAGAATGCACGGAAGCCGTCGGTTCTGTAGGTCTGACGGAAACAATCGAAAATACCAGTGTAGGTACCGACTGGCTCCGCAGAGAGTCTGGTACGAACCACCTCCATTGGGAAGAGAGTGGTGTGCGAAACAACACCGGCCGAAGCACCCGAGATAAAACGCTGGGCACTGGTCAACTCTGCATCGGTCTCGGCAAACAAACGCTTGACTGCCTCGAACGATGCAAACTTGACCGCCGACTCTGGACTGACTTTGAGGATGTTGGCAAAGTTACCTCTGAACAAACCACGGAAACCACCGTCGGCATAGACAATTCTAAAGGTTTCAGCAATCGATCGAGGAGCACCGTGATTCAGCTGATAGGTAAGTTTGACACGTTCAATCGGTGCAGTGGCAGTACGCGAGATAACACCGGCAGCAGCACCGGCACCCATAAACGACAATGTGTTTTTAATAGCAATTTGAGTGGCCTCTGATAACGATTGTGCTGGAATAGTCGAGAATGAAGGTGGTGGTGGAGCGAAACCTCCACCATCATCACCACCATCCAAAATCTGTGAATCCTTCCAAAACGCTAAAGCTGCTGATAATTTTGTTGTTGGTAATAAAACTAATAATTCACTAATATAAATAAATAACAAAATAATAATAAGTTAGTAAGAATCCATTACATATTCAATAACAAACTATCTATATTTCTATTCTATCTACTAACTACTTACCGCCATTCATCAAAATCCACTTTCTTATCTTTATTTGTATCGATACGATTGAATAGACGTACCAACTCTTGTTCAGAATATATTTTAATTCCAAGTTTGTGAATTGATTTCTCTATCTCTTGAATATCCAATGTTCCATTATGATCGGTATCAAACTCATTGAAAAGTTTTTGAAGTGATTCAATATTATGATTTATATAATTTGAGAATTCCTAATTATTTTTAATAATCAACTTTGTAAGCAATTGATTCATTTGAAAAGATATAACTTTTTTTTTACTTACTTCTATTGAAACATTACCATCATGATTGGTATCTACTTCTTGAAGGAAATCATTGATTGATTGATCGGTGGCAGGTATCTTTAGTTTCAAGAAACCCTCTTTCAATTCTTCCTTTGTAATTTTACCATCGTTATTGCTGTCGAGTGAATGAAATAGGTTTGAAATATATTGTTTATCACCAGATACCACTGTAGGATTAATATTAGAAGGTTTCATTTTAAATAATTATATTATTATTATATATGTAAATAAATAAATATCAATAACTAAAAAAGTGATTTGACCTTCAAACAACAAACCTTAAGAAAAAGGGCTTCACATTGATCAGCCCATATAATCAACCAAACACACACATCACACAAAAAAATACAAACAACAAAAAAGATATTTTAATTTTTTTTTTTAATTAAAAAAATTGTTAAAAAAAAATAAATTAAATTGATAATTGGTTTGGTTCAATTTCGGGTTCATCAAAATTTCAATATAAAAAGTAAAAGATAAAAAGTCAATTGCGCTCGTGACCATCAAAAATTTTTTTTTTAAAAATACTTTATTTTTTTTTTTTGATTTTGACCGAATCGGTAAAATATAATAATTATATAATTATATATTACCATTTATGTAAAGACACGAACGACACAGACAGACAAATTGTTTTGTTTTGTGAAAAAAATAAAATAAATTATAATTTATATATTTATTATTATGAAAGCCTTGTTGATTTTGATTTTTTTTCTTCAGAGTAATAACCTATGGCACCATCATAGCTACGGTAGATTGTATCTACACTCTTATCGATCTGACTCCATTTATTCTTGTCTACTGAATAGAAATGATTCTGATGAGTCTTACCACCGATGAATAGAATCTCTGAGGAGTTTTGACGGAATTTCTTTGGACAAAAGATCATCGAGTGTTTGTTGCTGCTGTTCGATATGGCCAGTGGCGGATTCAGTATCTCTTTGCTTTTGGTCTTGATCGACACCGAGTAGAAGTTTCGCTCCTTGTCGAGAATGTAGACTTTGTCGTGGCCGTCGAAGCAGCTGGCAATGATACGCTCGCGGAATCCCATGTGTTCGATGTAGGTGGTGCATTCGCCCGATGCAATATTGAAGGCCAACATGTTTTTGATTTCCTTGCCGGCCAAGTCACAACCACCGACAATATAGATGATGCCATCCAAGTAGAACGAGAGTGATTCGGAGCGCGGCATCTCCATTGCGCCGACATGCTCAAACTCCATTGTCTCTGTGTCGAACGAGTCGATACGAGTGACACGTCCAGTCTTGGTTGCACCGCCAATCAAGTAGATATAGCGACTTCCGTCGTAGCAAGTGGAGATTCCACAGCCACCGAGCTTCGTTTGAATGGGTGCACTGTGATCCCATTGTCGGGTGGCGATGTTGAAGCGCGAGTAGCTATTGGATTTGTTGGATCCACCGAATATGAAAATGTAGTCGCGTGTCGCAGCGAGCGAGTTGAACGGTAAGAGACGCTCTTCGTAGTCTTCGGCTTTGTGTTGTGACCACTCCAGTGTCTCCAAGTCGAAAAAGTGTATTCCATTCTCGCCTACCGTCAGCAGCATATTGATGACGTGATGACAGGTAGACACCACCGGTTGATCGTCTTCCAAATCGACAATCTCGTACATGTTGCTGAGCATCGACCTGGCATTCTCGAGACGTTCCTCTTCGAACCTGATATCAAAGTGATTCGGTAGCTTGTAGCTGTTGGTTTTGAACGATCCCGAATACTCTTTGATGCGCTTCAACAAACTATAGTTATTTTCATGAAAACATTCACTTATATTGCTTCCACTACAACTACTATCCAAACCACTATTATGACCACTACTACTTCCAATGCCATTGCCATGTCCATTGCCAACACTACTACTATTTCCATTGCCATTTCCAAGACCATTTATAATTGTCGACGACATGAATTCATTGATTGAAGAAGAATCACGAATAGATTCAATTATAACAGAACTATTCATTTCTTTTGAATTCCAATTGACATCTTCTTCTTCTTCTTCCTTTTCATCTTCGCTATCTTTCTCAGAATGATTATCATTATCTTCCAATTGTTTAGTATCCTCTCCACCTCCACCAAGTGTATTTGAACTCTTTATAATGATATTGAGTGATTTCAATTCCTCCAATATAGTTTTTAGCAATGTTTCCGCTTCTCTTCGTTCATCCAATATCGGTTTCTTTATCTTTAGTTCCTCTGTCATCAACATGGTATGCAGTTCATTATAGTGTTGTACAATCTTTTGTTCGGTCTTATTGAATGATTCTATCATAACGGTACACCTATTCATAAGTCTCCAAAGATATTCCAACCTCTCTGTATACTGTTCACTCTGTGTAATCGATTCTAAATCATCGATCAGATGTCCTCGATGCACAGAAGTACAACATTTCACACAAACGATTTCATTACAAGTCGAACATAGAAACTCTAAATATTTATTATGTATACTACATCTACTTTCATCCATCTCTTTCTTCTTTTTTTAATGTTTAAACTAAACTTAAACTAAAATAAAACTACAAAAATAATACAAAATATATTTACAAAAACATAACTAACTTATTTATATATATATATATCTTTTTCTATCTTATTATTATATTATATTATATTAATAATGTTATAAAACCGAATAATTTAATTATTTAATAATAAAATAAGTTAATTGTTTAATTTTTGTTTTTTTTTTTAATTAATGTGGTTAGGATTCGCAAACTTCTTGTTATTAAATTCTTTGATTATCGCAACAACAACAATTAAAAGAATCAAAAAATCTGAATACTAAAAAATCAGAGAATTTTTTTAATTTAATTTCATTTATTACAAACATAAATGTTTTAGTTTGTCAATGATCGATATTAATGTTGCTGTTTCATTGTCTTTAGATATATCTATCAATATATTTTGACAACTATTTAAAATAGTTGATCTCTTCTTTTTCTGACTTTCTTTAAGTTCATCGTTGTTATTGTTGTCATCTTCACCATTGTCATTGTTCAATTTATCAATTATACCTATTGTTGTTAAATATTAAACATTGTTAAATTAGTTAGTTAGTTAGTTAGTTGTTTGTTTTATAATGAAGTGTAGTGTTGGTGTTGTTTTTAGTACTTTACCTAATGTTAATATATAAAATATTTGTAAATCAATAAAAGTATCGGTACTTGTATAGACAAGAAGTTTGATTGTTTTCACTAGATATAGCAATCCAAATAAATAGTTAAAGGTGTTCTCATGTTGAAATATAACTTTTTTGATTTGATTAAGTATTGATTTGATGAATTGCATTGTATATTGTTGATGTTGTTGATAGTGTTGTGGTGGTTGTTCTCGAATGTTATTCGAAAATATAACGATATTACTACACAGACATTGATAGAGAAACGAAAGAACCGTTGTTTCACATAGATTCGAATCGATAAGTCTAGGAATAAAGTGATCGACCAAAACATCATAGTATCCAACAGCACTATATGGTAACTGAATAGAGGCAATCATCGTGAATAGCTTTAATTTCGATTGTCTAAACAATGATTGTAAATATTCATCATTATTAATAGCCTAAATTTAATAGAGTTCAAAGCAATTAATAATGATAATAAGAATAATTAAGAGTATTATTATTATTTACTTACTTTTATCATTTCATTTGTATGATATTCAGATATAGATGATAAATCAATGATATTATGTATGATAATCATCTCTTTTGTGAAATGTTTTGTTGTTGGTAGATTATTATGTGATTGTTGTAATAGCTTCAAATTGATTTTGGTTTTATATGTTATTGTTGTTGTTGTTGTTTTTGATTTATAATAATCTATTCTTTGTTGTAATATCCAATCTATATTTATATCTTTATCTACATTTATCGACAACTCTAATTCATTTGACTTTGATACTATCAATCTAATAATATTATAAATCTGTTGTATATGTATAGAATTCAACCAAATACCATTATATAACTTGATTATACTACAATATAACTTTGATATAATATCTTTATCTAAAAATAGTATTAATATTGCTATTAATGTTAACTTTAAGAATATAATTTTAAACCTTACCTTTTAGTTTATATTTAGATAGTAATAACTCTAGTAAATCAAGTGTAAATGTAATCTTTGAAGGATCAATCGTATTGTTGTTGTTGTTGTTATCGAATGAGAGTAGTGGGAATATGATCTCTTGGAATAATGCATCTTGATAGTGATTAACTATAGATGGTAGTTTGACTTCAGAGAGTAGACAGTATATGAATTGAATACAATTGGCTCTGGTCTGGTCAGTCGTTATAAACTGCTGTTTAAATAGTTCGCCAAACAGTGTCTTTGCTTTGAAGTAAGGAAAGTGTCTTACAATCAATCTAACCAAGAATTGTTGTTGACCTTTATTCTTTATAGAATTCTTTACAATACTATTAATCACACTGCTATTATCAACGATAGATAACTATTATTTAAATATAGTATTAGGTAAGTGAAACTTTTAATTTTAAATGTAAGTTCATTGTGTTAATTTAAACTTACGATTTGTAATTCATTTAGAGTATCATCATTTTGTTGGTGATCTTCATCGTTCGATAGTTGATTCAAACATTTGGTAATCGATATGTTCAAACTGAGAGTATAGTTATTGGTATAGAGATGCTGTAGATGTTTAAATGGTTGTTCCAACTCAAAGTCATCCACTATTCTAAATAGTGTAGATATGAATGATTTAAAAGTTTGGCTTGACAGTTTCCTATTAAAAGTTGCATTTAAACATAAACTACCAATTCTATCAATGATTTCAATATTAAACTATAATAATAATAACAATATAAAAAGTTGATGATTAGTATTATTAGATTAGTCTATTATATTATTGATTATTCTAACTATTCTACATACATTCATCTTACTATGTAAATAATAAAAGTAGAAATAGATGACCCAAATCGATTCATAATCAATCGTTGCAGAAGAAGTAACTAAACTATTTAAAAGATTATACCAACTTTTAAGAAAGAAGAAAAAGAAGAGATAGTTAAAGTTAGTATTATTATTTTCATTTGTTAGAAATCTTTTTAGATTATTAAATAGTAGTAGTAGTAGTAATAGTTACATTGTTAAAAGATGATTAAAAATATTTTGTTGATTTGGAAGTAGATAAGAGATGTGATACGGTATCCATATGAAGGTTGAAACAAGATTCGATTCATTCTCTTGAATAATACAATCGAATAGAAAATTGATATGTGATTCCAATATTTTACATTGACCATCGTAACTATTACTATTACTACTATTTAACTTTAATAGTAATAATAAAGATGGTTTAAATGTTGATAACATATCAATCTTTGATTGAAAATCACAATGTTTAATAAAGTTGATACCAGGTGGTGTCCAACAACTAGTTGTTTCATATCCACCATGAGCAGCACTAATAACATCATCTAATTGTTGTTGTTGTTGCTTTTGTTGATCCTTATGTACACTTATATTTGTATTATCTTCTACAATGTTGTTATAACTACTACTACTACTGCTATTACAATCAATTGTTGGTTTATAGCTATTAATAAAACTATATAATCTAAAATTTAAAATACCAATATTAGCTAGATTATTGATTATTAATTAGGATTAGTTTAGAAGTAGAATAATGATTATTATATTATTACAATATGATTACATACGTCTTTCAAACTTTTGATTACTGATGATCGATTGTAATGATTTCAAGTTATCATAGAAGAATTGACCATTGAATAACTCTAATGACTTCCATTGTTCGAATACAACTGAATTGAATAGCTCTAACAGTTCTATATAGATAGTTCTCTCTTGTGTTGCATCTAATTCATTGACTAATAAATCAATAACTACAAATGTTATTCTAAATCTATATGTTTCATCTAAAAATTAATAATATATCAGTAATCTATCTATATATATTTATATTAAATTTTAATATTAAATCAAACTTACCTTTAATGATATTTGAATGATTAGCAAGTAATTGGATTATATTATTTGTAAATGATTTTGTTGATAATATAGATGATATAAAACATTTATATAATATTGTGAATAATGATTTTATAGTTGATTCTTGTTGTTGTTGTTGTTGTTGTTGTTGTTGTTCATTTGATTTGATAATAGAATGTATAAGTGATTCTAACAGTTGTAATGATTCAATATTATACTGTGATAGCTGTTTGTCGTCATCTATTATTAAAGATTCCAATCGATACAATAGATTGATTCTATCGATTATATAAACGAATTGATTCAATGATAGATTCAAATGATAATCATTATCATTGAACATACTATCGATATCACCATTGCCCAAATAATCTAATTCACCACTATTATTGCTATTATTTATATTATTATCTATGTTATTATCTTCTTTTTCTTTAATATTATTATAATAGAAATCAGTATGTTTAAAAAGATATGAAAAGATAATTTGTGATTTGCTCTCATCATTAGTTTTCACCAAGTTATTCAACAACTGAATGATTAACTCTAAACTATCGTCATTGTTATTGTTTTTGTTATAATCATTTCGATCGATGGTTAATAAGTAATTCAATGATAATGTTATTGGTAACAGATGATCCTATTGTATATGTTTATTTAATTGTTAGTTAGTTAGTTAGTTTATGTATGCTTAACTTTGGCTGATGATTATGATTATGATATTATTTACCTTTTTAAATATAAAATAGTTTTGATTATCTAAAGATGATGATGATGATGATGATAATAGTTTATTCGATAGTTCATCTCTAAATGATCTAATCTCAACAATAGTTGATTCTTTTAGTCTTTTCTGTTTCTTTGGTTTTGCATTCGATAGTAAATCAATGGTAAACATTTAAAATCGATAAAATAAAGATAATTAAATTGATGTTTGTTTTGGTTCACCTGTTTTTTTTTTTTGGTTAGCAAAACTATAGTCTCTGAATATCACTGAAAAAATGAATAAAAACACTGTTAAAGAAATTGTTATCAAATAGAGAGAATGTTATTGAAAAACATTTTAATATCTATTATTGAAAAATATTCCTTTAATTTTTAAATTAAATATAGACTAAATATTTTGGAAATAGATAAATTCGATTACAACAATTAAATAATTTTTTATAAATATAAATAATTCTTTTATTTTTTTTAGAATAAATAAAATAATTTAATTTATCAGAATTTAGTGATTATTACAAAATTGTGCATTATCTCTACCTTGAAAGTCATTTCAGGCCGGAATCCTGCAGTTTCATTTGAACTTTGTTGAGTAGAAGCACTTTGAACTATTGAAATTGATAGTTTCTTTTTTTACAGATGATTCACAAAAAGATGAAAAGATGTCAATAAATAGAGAATTTCATCCGCATGTTTTATTAATAGAATTATATCTCAGTTTTATTTTAAACAACCAAAAATAAGGTTGTTTTTTATTTTTAATATTCTTTAATATATAAATCAGATTGAAAGTATCAAATTCCACCAGATTCTTTTTTTAGAGAATAAAATTAAATTCATTTTATTTCGTCTGAAGAGTTCCTTCTAATTAAAACTCATTGGGTAATTTTTAAAAATTTAAGATGACTTAAATAAAAAGAAACATCCGATCATAATTATTTGTAGATCTTTTGTTCTTTAAATTAATAATATTTATTCTTTTCTTATATAATATTTTTTTTTCATGATTGAACTTCCTCAAACTTGTTTTCACTTAGCACTAAAAAATTCTTTTATTATTTAAAATGTTATTTCTAATATGTTAAAAGTAGAGCAGTGACCTATTCTCCTGAAATTTGAAAGATCTGAGAATCTCTACATTTTAATAGATAATTCAATTACTATTGGTGATGGTTTCAAGATACTGATTTAATAATAGATTTAATGATTCTATATTCTTTGGACTCAGATCCAACAATCGATGTATCAAGTCAATTAATTGTTTTGAATACCTGAATTCCGAAATTTTAATTTCTCCTTTGGTTTGGAGTAGTTGATGATTATTTCGATCATCTTGATGACTGATCAATTTACAAAAATAAAGTGTTAGTATCAAATGATAATAAATAATATTTTAAATAATGACTATTGAATATTTACCAGCATAATAATTTGAGAATTGTTGATCCAATTGAAAAGATGTCACATGATTGAGCATATTGTATTATATTCATCTTTTCCTATTAATTGTTTATGGTTCGAATTTAGTTATAAATCTAATATAGATTTGAATAGTCAATTCTATTTAATAGAATTTACTTACTGGTATATAACCTTGTGCTCCTCGAGTTGCATATAAAATTGAGTTTATAATGGATGGATCTGTTATTTCATGATCGATACATTTCAAATTCAAAATCGAATCACCTTCAAGAATGTGTTCATTTGTATCTGGATACTCAATGATTGTTGATTCACCAATGAATTTACAATAGCCAAAATCTCCAAGCATCAAAGTCAAATCATCTTGATCTCCACCAAAGAATACATTCGATGGTTTAATATCGCAATGAACAATTCCAAGTTTATCAAGATCCAAAAGAATTTCGAAAAGCTGCAAAATATATTTACGAATATCTGATTCTCTAAAGATTCTATATATATATATTCAAGTGGTTTGTTTGATATATAAATATATATCAGTGTTCTTTCATTAATACATTTAGGCAAAATTTATAATTATACATACGTATTTAGATCAGTTAAACGTTTATACTCTTGAGCAAGATCCCCACCATGACAATATTCAGTAACTAGATGAAAGATATGATTATCTTTATCATCTAAAAAATCAAAGAGTTGAACAAATCTTGGATTACCTTTGAGTAATTTCATTGCATTGATTTCATTTAATGCTCTTTCATAATTCCGATTATCTTTATCTATATAATCAATTTTTTTATATACATACTTTGAATTGGTTGTGTTAGTTTAACAATTTTTAACTAATTCGATATCTAAACGACCTTACCAATCTCTGATCAGTACCACACACTAAATCTACTTGATTGATATGATTACTGTTTGTAAATCTTGATATCGAATGATATTGTTTGTTATTAATGATAATCGATTGTTTGAAATAACTAAGATTGTGTTTGAATTGACATTTTGCAATATTGAATCTGTATGATTGTGATTTGTTTAATAGCTCGATGCATATTGGTATCGCATCTAAATTTAATAGATTCGAGGGGTAAGAATATGATCTTATTATTATTAATTGATATTGAGTATCGACTGTATCTGGTATTACTATCTCATTATTATTATTATTAATATTTCCTATTAATATGATATTACAGTATTGTTCATTCTCCTTATCTTTCATATGATTGTAAACTAAAACAATGAATCTATCAAATAAAGAATCAATATCAAATTTCAATACATTCTTTCCTTTGACTAATCTATCTGTTTCCTCGACATTATTTGTATTCATTTTGAAGTGAATCTTATGCATACTAAAAGAATGATTTTTTTGGTTTTTATTATAAAAAATTTTTATCTTGCGACCAATAAAACTTAAAATTTTGATTCTGGATACAAAAAATCAAAATTTTTATTTTGGAGGTCTAAGACCAAAAAAACTTAAAATTTTGATTCTGGTTACAAATTTTAAGTTTTTCGACTTGATTGATAGGTACTGGCATTGCCTTGGCGGCTACCTTATTGTCCTTAGACGTACAACACATATGATAAACCACTAAGATTAAGGTTTTCAAGATTTTCTATAATTTAGATACAATTTTAATATAAAATAAATATTTTAGTTTTTAAAATTTTTATACTTACTGTGCAACATTTTCAAATGATTTTAAAATAAACAAATTTATATATTATATAAATATTATATTTTCGAAATATCTAAATATATTTAAAAGTTTTGATTTGTTTTCAATAATAAAAGTTCAAAATTTTCAATATTTATAATAAAGAAATCCTTACTCCCAAAAAAAAAAAACTTAAAATAGTGTCATTTTTATAAATATATTTATTTGAAAGAAATTAACTTGGCACTATTCAAAGATGGTTAGAGGAGATTTGATTGAAATAATAGGTTTTTAAATATGAAATTAAAATATTATATAATTAAGTAAAATTCTGTGATTTAAATTACTGTCGTACATTACCAAATTTAATAAGATTAAATGTAATTTGGGTGTAGGTTTTATTTCCTTTACCTCACCATTCTTTTTTTTTTTTTGATCACAAAAACACTAATTTTTTATATTTTTTAAATTTATAAAAAACTGTCAAGGGAAAAACAATTCTAATAATTCTTTCTTTTGTAAATGTTTTAATGAAATCATGAAAATAAAAAGTTAATAAAAATATAGAAATTGTAATTCTATATATTAATTTATTTGATTGATGAAAAAGAGTATATAGAAAATATAAAAGAGAAAAAAATGAAATTAAATATATTGTTTTTAGAAAATAACATTATTCTTTTATTTTTTGTTGATTAAATAAAAATTATTTAATTGAACTTTGGAGATATCTTTAATTATAATATTTGACAAACATTTACAGCTTCACTTCTCAAAGATTCCCTCCACTCACTCGCCAAATCAGTTGTTCCATTGGTACTTTGATGAGTGGCAGTACTTTGAGAACTATTGATATTTATAGTTTCTTTAGTCAATGAAGATACACTGGATAAACTAAGATTTTCAAGATTTTCTTTATAAATTGGTAAATATTTTAATTAATAAAAACACATTTTATAAATTTCTTTTTAAAGATTAGTTAGTTTAATAAACTACTTACTGTGCAACATTTTCAAAGTCTATTATAAAAAAAATAATTATTGAATTTATATTCTTTTATCTTGATTGATTTTATTTGATTCCTTAAATGTTCAAAATTCTTTGTATTTATAACAAAGAAAGGAAGATATAGATGTCAATAAAATTTTATTAATAATTTAATTTTAAAGAGAATAAGATCTCCAGATTTAAATTTCCAAAAATAAATTCTATTATTAGGTTTTATATTTAATACTAAAAATGTTCTTAAAATTCATTCCTTTAAGAATTATTGAGATAGAATATATGTATTTATAATAGCTTTGATTTTCTCTTTTAATTGAATTCCTTTTATTTTTTTCATTTTTAGCTCTTACTAAAAAACAATAACTGAGATCAATGAAATATTTTTATTATTATCATCATCTCTCTTATGATAATAAACGAATCTAAATCTATTATTTAATCTTTTTATCTAAATTTAATTTTAATGATATTTGATTAATAGAAATTTATTTATAAATGAACATGTTATTATATAAATTTAGAGAATATTGTTAGAAATAATAGTTTATTCTTGTAGTTGTTGATGTACAATTAAAAGAATTGGTGAGTTTAAGTGAGATGATGATTTGATTTCAAACAAGAACCTATTATAATCGATCAGAATCGCTGGTATCTAGATATATTTCTTAAATAATAAGAAAGTTGAATTTTTAAATACATAATTAAAAGTTGAATTCTTAATTAATCAAAACAAAATTAATAAAATAGATGATAGGAAAGATGAAAATAAAAGGGAATGTTGTTTTTGGTAAGTCGAACCAAAAAAACATTAAAATTTATTCTTTGATTGATTAATAAAATTATTTAATTACAAAATAGAACAAGTTTGTTTGTTATCAAGCCAGATTTTACCTTCTCCGAAACCAGTAGATCCATTGATACTTTGACCAGAGGATGCGCCTTGTGAACTGTTAACATTGATAGTTTCTTTGGTTAAAGATGATACACTATTCATATTAAGATTTTCAAGATTTTCTTTTAAATTTTGATAAAAATTAAATTAATAAACAAACTTTTTAAATTCAATATATATTTTAGTTAAAGTGAATAAACTACTTACTGTGCAACATTTTCAAAGTTTTTAAAATAATACCTATAATTGAATTTATATTCTTATTTATCTTTTTGATTGTTTTGATCTTAGAATGTTCAAAATTCTTTGTATTTATAGCAAAAAATTGTTCACTTTGTCCTAATAAAAGATAAATAAATATCAATTTATAGATGATAATAATTTAAATTTCTACCTCCTCCTCCTTTTTTAATTTTAATAAAAGATTGATATCTCCTATTTTGAAACTACTAAATTTAAACTCTATTTTGTTTTTGCAAATTGGTATTGGAAATATAAACAGTGTTTTTAAATAAACAAATTTCATCTCAAATAAGTCATTGATTTTTAAAATATTTAATCATAATAATCATTATTCTTAATCTTAAGATAAAAATAATATTGATTGGGTTAAAATAATAAAAAAATTAATAAATTTAGTATTGAGAACAAACAATAAAATTGTATTTAATATAATGCTTTTTTAAAACTGAAAAAAAAATTTATAAATTTTGTTTTGATTCATATATAAAGTAAGAGTAGATTGAAAACAAGATGTATGAAAATATCTATATATAAAATAATAATTTTATTCTTTTTTTTGTTGATTAAATAAAAAATAAATATGTTTATAAATTAAGTCAAACTATTACATTATTACACAGGCCCACTCTTCGGAATGAAATCCAGCATTTCTATTGGTACTTTGTTGAGTAGCTGCACTTTGTGAATTATTTACTCTTATAGTTTCTTTGGTTAAAGATGATACACCACTAAAATTAAGGTTCTCAAGATTTTCTATAATTTTTGATAAAATTTGATTAAAATTTAAATAAATGATTGGTTTTATATATTTTTTACATACTGTGCAACATTTTAGAAAGATTTAAAATAAATATCTATTTAATTTAAAGTTTTAGTATTTTCTTTTTTATTTGATTGTATTATTGTTTTGATTCTTTAATGTTCAAAATTCTCACTATTTATACTAAGAAATCCTTTTTTCAAAAAAAATAGGAAACAAGTGTCAATGTATTTTTATTAATATATTTAATTTATTTGAAACTATTCAGTTTTTGGTCACTTTTCAAAATTCGTGATTATGATCTACCAAATAATAGGTGTGCAAAGAAAAACATATCAACTTAAAAAATCAAAAGAATTACACTCAATATGTATATATCTTGAATTTTAAAAAAACTAAGAATAAATATATATCTTTCATTTCCAAATTTGGTATGATTACACACCTAATTTTTGAGTAAGGTATTTTTTTGATCAGATGAGTGAACACTATTTTCTAAATTGTACAAAATTCTGTGAAACAAATTATTTTTTGTGTGTAGTGAGGGTGAAATAATTATTTTAAACCTTAATTTTAAAAAAATGATTGGTTTTCAATTTATATCTACATTGTTGTTCTTTATTTTAAAAATAATAAGCTTGTTTTAAGATTTGTTTTATTAATACATGCATTAGATCTTAACTTATAAGGTAATTGATTAAAATAAAAAGTTTAACTAAAAAATTATGATATATTTATATATGGACTGTTGACGAAGCTTTAGCTTAAATCAGAACTTTACAAACTCTTTAAATAATTGAATTATTATTAATCCATAAATCAATTCTACTATTTATTAAACGTGATACCATTACTAAAGAGAAAGAATTGATTAGGAGAAATTTAAAGTTGGATAATTATTTCTAAATGTATATTCTTATATATCTTTTTGGATTGTTTGATTTGATTTTATTCTGAAATGTTCTTAATCATCTATTTTAAATACCTATAATGAGTGATTTTCTAGTAAACCCTTTTATTGCTAACTTAAAGCAGACGACTATTTAGAGATACAACACAGACCATTATTTAGCAGCACTGAGGCCACAATCTTCATCCTCGCCAAGTAAGCTATAAATGAAGTTATAATGAAATTCTTTTACACCATCTATATCTACAAAACTCTTCTAATGTAATTCATTTGCCTGTTAAATGAAATTAGATAAATTTCAAAGAAATTAGAGTTATAATACAAATATATAAATCAAATAAATAAATTAGTACAAATTTATTAGATCTTTTTTTTGTTTTTTTTTGTTTTTTTTTTAACCAGATTAAACTTAAGTTTTGTTTTTTTTAAAAATTAATTTAAACAGGGGTGAAGTCAGTAATCTGATGATCTAAACTGATTAAAAAGTTTAAATAACTTATACCAAACTAAGAGAGAATATAACTATGTTAAATAATAATAGTAATAATTTTTTAAGGTCCACTATTAATAAATATATTACTAACAGTGGAAAAAGAATAGTTTCAAGTGCAAGATGTAATAACTACTTAAAAATAAACAAAAACAATAGATTTAATCATGATCAATACAACTTTAAAGATCAATCAAATAACAATAATCAACAACAACAACAATCAAAGTTTAATCTATCGAATATATTTACAATTTCTGTAAGTTTTTAAAAATATAACTGAAAATAACAAACAAACAAATAAACAAAAAAGTTAAACTTTTATCACTTATTGTTATGTTATATAGTCAATTGGAATATGTTTAATAGCAGGTGGAACAGCAAGTCTATTGGATCAAAATCAAATTAAAATACCAGTTGAAGCGATGAATGAATTGAAATCGTTGCTTGGTGATCGTGTTGATCTTTCGAAAGGCGATATAGAAGCACATGGAAAAGATTTCAGTTATCATCCACCACACAATCCAGAGGCAGTTGTCTATCCAAAGACCGAGGAAGAGGTGACTGGCATCATCAATATCTGCTCCAAGTACAATGTACCGATCATTCCATACGGTTCCGGCACCAGTCTAGAGGGACACATTCACGCTTACCACGGTGGTGTCTGCATTGATTTCCGTCTGATGAAAAAAGTGATCAAGTTGGAGCTAGACGACTTCCACGTAACCGTTCAGCCGGGAATCACCTACGACGAGCTCAACGAAGAGCTACTGCCACACGGCTACTTCTTTGCTATGGATCCAGGACCCGGTGCATCTATTGGTGGCATGGTCGGAACCAGCTGCTCGGGAACACACGCCGTCAAATACGGCACCATGAAAGACAATGTTTTGGCACTGAGAGTGGTGCTCCCCGATGGCCGATTGGTAAAGACGCGAACCGTCGCCAAAAAGTCGTCGGCCGGCTACGATTTGACACATCTGTTCATTGGCGCCGAGGGAACTCTCGGTGTAGTCACCGAAGTCACTCTGAAAATTCACCCGCTTCCTGAGAGAACCGCCGTCTCGCTAGTCACTTTCGACTCGATTGAGGATGCCTCGAAAACAGTGATACAAACGATGCAAGACGGCATTCAAATTGGTCGTGCTGAACTGCTGGACGACGTCATGTTGAAAGCTGTCAATCTGAGTAACGATACACAGTTCGAGGAGGTTCCAACATTGATTTTCGAATTCACAGGATCACCTGCGCAAGTGGACGAACAGATTCTCAAGGTAGAGTCAATCTCTGCAAAGAACAAATGTAATAAATTCACATTTGCAACCGATCCAGTCGAAAGAGAGAAACTATGGTTTGCAAGAAAAGTTGCTCTCTGGAGTGCAACCACATTGAAACCTGGCAACGAAGTTTTAATCACCGATGTTTGTGTTCCAATTTCACAACTATCGAAAATCATTGTAGAAACAAAGAAAGATATTGAATCAACTTCATTATTAGCACCATTAGTTGTATGTTAACTAATTTATTTATATTATTAATATTTAATTTACTAATTATAATTATCTTTTTTTCAGAGTCATGCAGGTGATGGTAATTTCCATCTTTTCGTGCTATTCGATCCAAACAATCAAAAGGAATTAAATGAAGCAAAATCTTTGAGTGATAAACTAGTTCATAGAGCATTAGAAATGGGTGGTACTTGTACAGGTGAACATGGTGTTGCTGTAAGTTATCATTATTATTATTACTATTTGTAGAGTTTATAAATTATTAATAATCTTTTAATTATTACAATTAATTATATAGCTTGGTAAAAAGAAATATTTGGAAAAAGAACTAGGAAAAAATGCAGTGGATTTAATGAAAACTATTAAAAGAACAATTGATCCAAAGAATATTATGAATCCAGGAAAAGTAATTGATGTTTAATTAGTTTGGATATTTAAACAAAATAAATAAAAAGGATAAATTAAGTTATATTATTATTATTTTAATTTATTTTTTAATTGTTTTTTAGAGACCTAAATCTTTGGCAACCATCTTTGAACAAATGTTGTGATAGAAATTTCTGTGGGTGGTAAAGGTGGAGACAGCCAATTCTCTGTTGACTTTGTTCAACTCACGGTATAGTGGTCTGACGAATTTCATTCTACCTTGTTCGACGAGGAATTTGGCAACCAATGGTTGGATTCTGGTGATTCCCGATTGCAAACAAAGACTGTACCACTTGGCACGATACTCGGCGTTACGAGTCTCGGTGAGGTGATAGAGTTTGTCCATCTTCTCGATGGCGTCGACTGGCAAGTGATCGTTGGCAGTCAAAACCAAGAGTGTGTCCAAGAATAGAATGGTTTGTTGTGAGTTGAACGCTTGGAAGTCCGAGGCACTCTCGATACCGTCACCCTTGGTGGCGATCCATTTCTTGGCCAACTCTTTGGCTTGCTCGGCCAACTGACAGGTGAAAGCGACCTGGTTGTGTGGCATACCTGGGTTGTTGAACCACGACTGCCAGTCGACGACGGCGATGGCGTCGGCCATTCCCTTCTCAGTGAAATAATTGATAAAGTAGTTCTTCATTTGTTCGGCGGTGATCGATTGGTAGGCAAAGTGAGCGATGTATGACTTGAGCCAAGCTTCAAATTCGGTGACTCCAACCAAACTCTGGAGATAGCAGAGCAAGTTGAAACCTTTGTCGTATGGCACCGAGCTGAAAGCATCGTCTGGATCGATACCGTCGAGATTTGGACGGAGAGCGGTCAGTGGATTGGTGGCACCGAATTGGTCGATGTCGTCCTTGAGGTGTTTCAAACCGTTGATCGCTTCGAATTGGAACATGTCCTCACCGTAGAGACGACCGATAATCTTACGCTCGACAAACACAGTGAAACCTTCGTTCAAGAAGAACTCGGACCAGAAACGATTGGTAACCAAATTACCGCACCATGAATGGGCAATCTCGTGAGCGATGACATTCTCGAGAGAACGGTCACCAGCCAACAAAGTTGGAGTGACAAATACCAACATTGGATTCTCCATACCTCCGTATGGGAATGAGGGTGGAAGCAACAAAATATCGTAACGCTTCCAGATGTATGGAGTCAACAATGATTCACCGGTTTGAATGAACTTCTCGGTATTGGCAAATTCATAGGCACCGCTATCAACCATCTCTGGCTCCGACCATACCATTGTTCTTGGTCCAATTTCTCTTGATTCTAAATGTCCAACAACAATTGCAATTAAATAAGTCTAAAAATATATATATATATAATATCATGTTAATATAAAGTATTATTCTTTTTTCTAATCAATTCTAAACATACTGGAATTGCAATATCTTGGTCAAAAGTATAGGTAATCTTGTCACCATCAACTTTCTTTCCAGTGGAGGAAGCGCTCATCAAAGCAGTCAATGGAGCTGGAACAGTAATTTCAGCAGAGTACTTGACTTTGTTTGATGGACTATCTTGACATGGAACCAAAGATCTAGCATGAATACTATAATTATTTCCAAATAATAATAAAAATGAAAAAGGTTAGTTTTTCAAAACTAATTCGTGTTCAATTGTTCAAAATTGACATATTATCTGTTTTGTTTTTAGAAAAAACACATACGCTTGACATTGTGAGAACAAATATGGATGTTGTTTACCAGCAGTTTGTCTATAAATAAAATAATGTTTTGAAAAAGGTTAGAGATGTGAATATTTAGCTAAATCTATCTTTAATCTAGTCTGTCTGTTGTTTGTTTATACTTACTCTTTTGATAACCATTGAAGAGCAGTAGATTCAACGGTGGTTGAATAGTGTACACGAGCAGTGAATGTCTTGTTGGCACCACGTTGTTCTTGTGGAACTTCAATGACGATGGCAGTACCAAAGATTTCGTGTTTGGCAGCAAGGTGATACTTGATTGGTTGGTTTGACAAATCGGTGACACCAGTGACATTCAAGTGATTGCTGTCCAACTTTAACTCTGAGACTTGGTCGTTTTGGAGGGTGGCAACGACATCGACGTAACCAGCCAAACACGACTTGGCAAAGTCTACAGTCAATACCAAGTGCAAAGAATCAACTTTTGCCTCTGATGGATTCGATAGTGATGATGGATCCATATTTTCTAATTATTTATAAATATTAATATTATTATTTCTTTTTCGAAAAAATGAAATTAATCTAACAAAAAAAAAAAAGGGTGAACACATTTATTGTCAGCAACATCAGATTAGATTTTTCAAGAGAATTTTTTGTCCAAAAAAGTCAAATAAAAAATAGTTTTTTTTAATTTTTACTATTATTTTTAGATACAAATCTATAAAATATTATTAGATTATTATTTAGATAGAAATTATTTAATCTTTGATTTGTCAAAGTAATCAATCAAACAATATATTTATTCTCTAAAAACATTTTGAGATATAAAAAAAAAAATTTTGGTAAAAAAAAAAATGAAAAAAAAAAAATACAAAGTCATCTGGTCATTTAAGAGTGGTGCTGATGTTAATACACTGAAGTGGTCAGAGTCAATATATTATGATTTATTTCGGTTCATTTTTTTTTGATATCAATTTATAAAAAGAAAAGTTAGTTGTTGTAATTTTATTTATTATTATTGTTTGTTATTAATTAAAAAAAAAAAGTAAAGTAAATCTTAAATCAATCGATAGATATATACCACAGTTCATTTTATTAGTGATCAGTTAATATATATATAAAAGCGAAAGAAATATATAATGTCAAATTTTGTAAGAATAATGATTACTATATTGATCATTCATTTTTAAATATAAATATAATATTAGTTTGATTAATAAGATCTAATTACTAATATAAAAACACTATCGATAAAATTATATATAGTTATATAGTGTTAAATACTTTTTTATCTTGGATAACAAGGGTAATAGAATTATAGCAAAGTATTATAGTAATGATTTCGAAAATGTAAACAAACAGAAAGCTTTTGAGAAACGTATATTTGAAAAGACTGCCAAAGTAAATGGTAATGATCAATCACACTTTACGAATAGATAGAAATGAATGATAATGATAATGTGTATTCTTTTATTGACAGATCAATTATTACTACTATTATCATCATTATCATAATAATATTATAGGCGAAATTGCAATGTTGGACAACTATATCATTATATACAAGGCATACTCGAATGTCATCATTTACGTCGTTGGAGACAGAGATCAAAATGAATTGGCACTACTCCATGTTATAAATAGTTTTACTGAAACTTTACATTCTTTGTCAGAGTATGTATTGTTATTATTGTTATTATTATTATTATAGTTATTATTATGAATGAATACTAATCAATTTCAAAAAGGAATGGTATAAATAAAAAGACGATTTTAGATAATATAAACTTGACACTGTTGACATTGGATGAGATTATCGATGAAGGTATCGTTTTGGAGAGCGATCCCACCGTTATTGCAGATCGTGTTGGTATTAGGGTCGAAGGTGAACAGGATGATCTTGACCAATCGATTTCACAAGTTATTACATCTGCCAATAATTTCTTGAAATATTTAAATAAATAAATAAAACAAACAAACAAACAAATAATAGAATTAAATTATAAACATAACTATCGATACTAGGTCTTCATATCTCTCTAAATGTTGTTGTAATCACAACAAAGTTATTCCTGGGAATTGATCAAACAAATCAGATCAAACAACAACATTCTACAAGATCGATCAACCTAACCATCTAAACAACCAAAACAATCAAAGTCTTAATCATCATCATCATCATACCATATTTTACTGATTTTGAATTGTAATGATCAGTCACAGTACTGTTTAAGATTGGATTGTTGTCAAAATCATTGCCTGTCAAAAAATAAAAAAAAATAATCAAAACAAAATTTAATCACAATTGTGTGTGTGTGGTTTGGTTTAGGTATGCATGTTCATAATAAAATAAATAAAAATAATTAAAATATTGTGGTGGGAAGCAAAAAAAAAAAAACAAACAACTTCATTATTAATTTTTTATATTAAAAACACTTTATAGTTTTGTCATAAAATTTATAAATAGAAAACAAATAATTTATTAAAAAATAATAACTTTGTATAATATCTAAACAACAAAACAAAAATAATCAAATAAATTTATATACTTTAAATAATATTAAAATATGCCAATCGAAAGAATATTTGCATCACAAAAAGTAGATTCACTACATGGAACAAAGAATAAAATAGTTCAAGTAGATTCCAATGCTATTCCAGCACAAGCATTTAATGTAAATAATAATAATAGATTTTACAAAAACAAAACAAAAAACAGTAATTGATTTTAACAATTGTAAATCTGTTTATATTTTATTTTAGGTTCTAATTGATAATAGGATTCAATCGGTACCAGTATATGATTTGGTTGCAAATAAATATAGTGGATTTCTAGATATCCGTGATTTGGTTTCATTTACAGTGTTTATCAATGATAACAATGTTCAGGCACAGACTCTATTGGATATTGTAAACTTTGGTGTGAAAATGTTTAAACATCCTACTGATGTATCTATAACATGTATGTTATGTTTTATTATCATTATAGTTATTATTACAATTTGTTTGTTTGTTTGAAATTAACTTTATATTTTCTAATAATTATTATTTTAGATTTATCAAGAAGAAATCCTTTCAATTCTGTTACTTTAGGATCACCTTTATTAAAGGTAGTGGAGATACTCTCGAAAGGTACACATAGAGTTCCAATAGTCGATGAGAATAACAAGTTGGTGGATATCATCTCACAGTCATCGATAATCAGTTTCATAGAGAAGAATATTGGTGTTGATATTTTACCATCTCTAGATAAAAAGGTAAGTTTTGTTTAACATTTCAATTGAGTCATGATGTTTTAACAAACAAACAAACAAACAAACTAATTAAATGTTATTTTATTGTTGTAAAGATTTCAGAGTTGAAAGATTTAGGTGTATCACCTGTTACATCGGTAACGACAAATGTAAAGGCAATCGATGTATTTAGATTGATGGATACACATCAGAGAAGTGGCGTTGCAATCGTCGATGAGAATAACAAGCTGGTTGGAACCATTAGTAGCGAGGATCTAAAACTGTTCATTAACAATCCATCGACCGATGTACTCCAACTGACAATCATGAAGTTCCTAAGTTGTATTAGACAACTTAATAATTCAGAAGTAAGTGTAGTCTTATATGAAAGTATTAATAATAATATTAAACATTAAGCTAACTATCGTTTTATTAAAATAACAAAACACAATCAAAACAAAACAAAACAAAACAAAACAAATATATAGAAACCATTGGTATATTGTACATTGGATAATACATTTAGAGAGTTAATCGCAAAGATGGTTGCATCTCGAATTCATAGAGTATTCATTGTGCAACAGGACATGACACTCGTCAAGGTTATCAGTATTACAGATATTCTTAGATTTATTTTAAAGAAAGAAAACACCGTGTAAACAAGCAACAACAAGCAAGTGAAGAATAATAATAATAATAATAATAATGATGATGATGTAATTACATTAAGATCTAGATAGAGAGAAAACAAGTTAAAAATAAATGAATAACAAACAAAACAAAACAAACAAACATGATATATCTATAACAAATATATATATATTTTTAATTTTTTATCAAGTTATTAATTACATATATTTAATTTCTTTATGATTTGTTATGGTTATTGATATCATTTTGTTATCACTCTTTCTTGCTTTGCTTTGTTTTGTTATATGTTTATGTTTCAAGTTTGATTGTAAATACAACTGAATGTATTTGTTGAATTTCAAATGTGATCGTTGATTTATATCCAAAGTTTGCCATGGCACCTTTGATTAAACCGATTGCAAAGTACACATAATCAGAACAGTCTTTGGTTGTTGAGTTGGGATCGAAAGAAAGATGAAGTAACCATTGAAACCTTTGATCTGTTAATACAAATACACCCTACGTATATAGATAGATAAATAGCAAATAAACAATTGTTTGTTAATCGAATTGTAAACATTCATTCATTTGATGTAATTCATTTATCATACCTTATGATTGGTTCTTAAACTATCTATTGATTTCTTAAATATAGCAATCCAAAATACTTTACAAATAAACTTTACAACATCTAATACCTCTGATAATAATTGTTGTTCAATTGTTAATCTATATATATATATCGTATAAATAGTTAGATAAGTATTAGTTTGTGTTTTTGTTTAATAATAATAATAAATCAATTGAGCTACATACTTTTCAACAAGTTTATGACCAACTTTATATCCTAGTTTCTCTAATTTCTTTGATATCTGAGTCTTGTCTCTCGATGACTTGACGATGTAGTCGATCATTTCAATATACAGGAATTCAAAACAGCTTACACTGATCTCTTTTTGCGGTAGTGTTGGCGCGGCTGCGCTGTTGGCAGTGGCCAATGCCGACGATGCTGTAGAGAGTGACGATGCTGTTGTGTTGCTGGTCGGGTTGATAGCCGACGCCAAATTCGATGTCGATATCGCTTGATGATGATAGGTCGACGACATCGTATTGGTCAGCGGCGAGTTCGCAGCGGACAACGATGTTGGCAGTGACTGACTGAACGATGCCAGTGGACTTATCGATGGATTGCCGACTGACGACGATATCTGTGATGCTGTAATCCCGGTGAAACTGGGTGTTGCCGATGTAGAAGTAACATTGATGCCTGGTGTTGACAATCCTACACTCGATGACACTGATAAAGGACTATCATTTGATGGTGAATTATTATTATTATTATTGTTATTACTCATTTTGATTGTAAATATCAATATCTAATAAAAATGATGATTGACAAAAAAAAAAAATTTAAATCAATTCAGATTTTCATGAAAAACAATAAAAAATTAATGTTGCAAAAAATAATAAACTTATTATAGATTTATTTGAAAAAATTTACTTTCTATTGTTGAGTGTTGATGATACCATTTTGGTATCAGGTACTGTTACTCTAACGTGATATGTTAAAAATGTAAAGCCATACCTTCTTCCTTCATCCAAATTGAACGTAAATTCACTACTGCTATTGTCTTCCCCTTCAGCAAATACTTTTCCTGTTAGCGTTTTAACATATGACTAATATCGTCCGAATTAGATAGCAAATCATGCTCGACAACTTTGACACACGTGGATCGACAAGAGCTTTGGTTTAATAGGGTTATTAGAAAAACTTATATTATTCTTCATTTCAATGTCATTGGATAGACTCGGTACTAGAAAGAAAACTAAATTATTCATTAAAATTAAAAAAAAAAACCAAAATAGGTTAGTTTTTTAAAATATTTATAAATATAAGAATATATATAATTCTGTCTTACAAATATTTTAAATAAATCTATAATATATTTATCACTTTAATTTCATAATAATAGTATATATCTTTTGAGAATTTTAAGAATGAATTTAATACTCTATAATTTATAAAACAATGAGAAAGAAAATTTTTGTTAAAACTTTACAAAATTTGACAAATTAATATTATATTAATTAAATACTTCTGTTAAATATCGTTCCTAAAGTGTGGGTAACATAACTCTAGAGCAAATAAACTATTTCATGAAAATAGTTCCAAAGAATATCCAAATTAAATATGTTTATAAATGTTAATTGAAAAATAGTTGTCAACAAAATAATTTTTTGTTTTATTTAAATTAATTTTTGTTTAGATCTTTACTGGAGCTGGAATGGTGTAGTTGATCTTTAATTTCTCTAGTTTCGATTTCAAATTCTTTTGTTTGGTGGCAGTACGTGCTAAACGATTGGATTCAGTGTTGCTGTTGCTTGTTGTTGGTGTTTGTTGTGATTGTGTTGTAGTTGTTGTAGTTGTTGTTGTTGATTTAGATGATGATCTTAAAGTTGTGGCTGGTCTCTTGTTTGGTCTAAATGCTCGCTTTGGAACAGAGGTTGAAACTTTACAAATCAATTTCTTCTTGAACATGATGTATCCATCCATTGATTCGGCGGCGATCTTTGCTACCTCCTTATCATCAAACTTTACAAATGCATAGTGCTTCGATTTTTTGGTCTTTGGATTTCTGGCGACCTTTACATTGGTTACATTTCCAAACTGTGAGAAGTACTTTGTCAACTCTTTCTCAAAGAAACCATGTGGTAAATGTCCAATATAAATGATTTTATCTGCTTCCTATAAATTATTTTAATAGTAGATAATATAATAAAAAGTTTGTTAGAATTTATCTTTTTGAAAAATGATTTAATGAATTTGAATGGGAGTGAAATAATAATAAACTTACATGTGGTTCAGAAGTAATTTCAATTTCTTTCTTTGTTGACTTTACTTTTTCAACTTTCTTTGGTTTCTTCTCTGTTGTTGCTGATGTCTTGGAAGCGGCCAACTTGGCAGCAGCTGGAATTTGTTTGGTTGGTTGTTGTTTCTTTTCGATTGGTTTTGGTGTGGTAGTGGTGGTGGTAGTAGTTTCTTCTTTTTGTTTCTTTGGTGTTGGTTGTTTTGTATTTGGTTGTTGCTCAACAGTTGGTTCTGGAGCAGCCTTTCTCTTGTTCTTTCCACTGGAAAGTGGAATGATATCCTCGGATTTAGCGAATGCATCTGCTTTCTTTGGTGTGGTGGTGGTGGTAGTAGTTGCTTGTTTAACTGGTGTTGTGGCGGCAACTGTTTGTTTGACTGGTGTTGTTGTTGCTACTTGTTTAGTTGATTTAACTGGAGTTTGAGCTTTTGGTGGTGGAGTAATTTCTTCTTCATCATCATCACTATCTTCATCACTGAAATCTTCATCACTGAAATCAGCAGAATCGAAATCTTCATCATCTTCGTCGTCGTTGTCACCACCGAATCCGTGGTCAGCTGGATTATATTCCTCGTCATCTTTATCTAAACCAAATTCCTTCTCTAAAGCAGCGATTTCATCGTCGTCCAACTCTTCCAATTCCTCATCGTCGAAATCCTCATCTTCCTCTTCCTCTTGAACAATCTTCTTTACTGGTTGTTTCTTCTTTGATGCTGGTTCCTGTACTGTTTTGCTATTGATGTTCTTCTTTGTTGTGGTTGTGGTTGTAGCTACCTTTTTAGTTGGTGTAGCTGCTTTAGTTGGAGCTGGTGCAGCTGCAACGACTGCGGTGGCAGTCTTCTTCTTCTCGACTGGAGTAGCAACTGGTTTGGCAGCGGCAACAGTCTTCTTTGCAGCTGGAACAGCTGGCGCAGTCTTAGTTGCAACTTTAGCAGCTACAACTGGTTTCTTTTCAGTTGGTGCTGCAGCAACAACAGCCTTTGGTTTGGCGGTAGTTGTAGTTGATTTCTTGACTGTTTCTAAAAATATAAAGTAGATTTAAGAGAGAGGTAACATTAATATCTTATTTACTGATTAATCTTCTCAATATAAAAACAACATACTTGTGGACATTTTAAATATTATTTATATTATATCGAAATCAAATAATTGATATCACAGTCAAAAAATATTAGTAAAAAAAGACGAAAAAAAATCACATTTCTCTCGTCAACCGAAAGAATAAATTGAATTTTTATTTTTTTATTTTTTTGAATTTTTTATTTTCGCTGCACTTTGGTCGATAACGTTATAATAATACTGAAACAAAGTAAAGTACCACAAACATCAACCATATGACTTTTATTTTAAAATAAAACACTCTTAAAAAATATAATAGATTTGAAATTGTTCACATAATTAATATTATAGCAATGAAGATTGATTGATTTGACCACCACAAAGCTGTGTTGTTTCTTTGATTGACAAAAGTCAATATTAAAATTTTTTTTATAAACATTAAATTTATTTGTTTATTTTTTTTTTAATTAAAAATTATCGTGTGTGAAGTTGATTGCTTGATCAAAAAAAAAAAATATCCTTTTTTTTATTTTATTTTTTTCTTTGTATTAATAATTGTTTTCCACATTGTTTCATATTATTTATCATTTTTATATTATTATTTTAAATTATTATCATTTTATATATTACCAATTAATTGATTGAAATGATTAAAAATATAGTTAGAGGATATCAAATCAAAATCAACAACAATCATGTATATAAATCAACAACAATAACAACAACCTTCTCTTCATTAAAAACATCTGTATTATCATCAACATCATTATTTAATCAACAACAACAACAACAATCGAATATTATAAAACTACAGAGATATCAATCGACATCATCATCTTCTTCTGGATCATCGTCGTCATCATCATCATCCTCTAAAAAAGGAAATAATAGCAATGAACATGAACATTTAGATTCTTTAGAAGATTCATTGGTGAATCATAATCAAGAAGGTAAAAATAGAATAAAACCACATGCATATTTATTTAATCAATAATATTATTGTTGTTGTTCTTATTAATAATAATAATATTTTTAAGAATTCCAAAGAGCACCTAGATTCTTTTGGATTGGTGTCGGTGCATTGATTTCAGCGGTTGCCCTTGACATGTATCAGGACTATCTGGCTTTCGACGAGAAGATCATGCTTTCCGACATCGAAAAAATACTCAATAATGATAATCCATTGGAACGCACTGAAGCTCTCTTAAACATTGTAGTAAGAGCTCCAATCTGTAAGTATAATCAAAATAATAACACATTAATTATTGGTATTAACATCAACATCATTATCTTTGTCATTAAATAATAATAGATCATACTATTGAAAAGTTATTCAAAAATGGAATTGTAGATGTTTTGGTAAAATCATTGGATGATAATGATCCAACTGTACAGGCAACTGCTATACGTGCACTTCAAGAATTTATATCAAGAGGTTATGGTATGTAGTAGTAGATGTATTGGTTCAACCCTTTTTGTAAACTACAATTTGTGAATAATTCATTAATTGTTAATGTTATTTCTATAGAGGTATTTGGAGAACAAGCAGTTCAGAAAGGAGCATCTACAATCGTTGCGAAAACAATGTTGCTAAGAGGAATGAATTGTGAAGCTGCAACCAATCTTTGGTTTTCTTTAATGTACATAAGTAAGTAAACAAGTCAATAAATAATACATCCCATAGACATAAAACTAAAAAACAAACTATTTAAATTAGAGAGAAATCAACAACAATTATTAGGCTCAAATGAATTCATATCGAATTTGAATCAATTAGCTCACTCTGATTCATTGTATCTCCAAGAAGTAGCTGTTGAAACATTTAAAATATTGTTTGCAAATCGTATGTAATTAAAAAAAAAAAAAATACAAAACTGGTTTGACATATTAATATTTTATTATATTAATGAATATTCATTTGATAATAATAATAATAATAATAACAGGTGATAACTACACATTGTTACCAAAGATAAGAGGTGTCATAGCACATCTTCGTAAATCAAAGAATGTTCTGATTTCGAATTACTGTGAGCAGTTTCTCGGTGTGTTGAATGGTTCGTTCATTCCACCAATTGGCACACCGGTTTCAAAGCACAAGGAGATGACTGACCACGGTCTGTACAGGCTGCATCTCTCGTACAATGCAATGATGGCACCACTTGCCTATCTCTATTGTTCTTATAGGTGGTCGCGTTACACCAACGACACCATCTACACCAATGCCAAAGGTGTCACCGGTGCCATTGCCCTACTGATTGCAGGCTCGTTGGCATCGATCAGTCTCTATCCACAATATCATACAAAGATGATCGATAATCGTATGCGTGATGAATTAAAGAGATTGGAATCAACTGATCAACAACTACAACAACAACAACAAACAGATATAAATACAGCGACAACAACAACAACAGCAGCGACAACAAAAGCAACAGAAGATTTAACAATGTTTACAAAATTAAAGAGTGCTGCATTTGCACCGGCTTCACTCTTTGTTATCAATCAATTGTTCCCAGTAGTAGGTAATATCGTTCTCATTAAAGGATGGAGAAATTCAAGATTCATATTCCTGCCTGCTGTTGCCCTTTTACTTCCTTATTGTTTGGAGATGAAAGGTCAATAATAACAACAATAATAATAATAACAATATAATAATAGTAATAAATTGAAAATATAAATAATAATAAATTATACTCCAATAAAATGAATGATTTTATATTTTATTTAAACAGAATATGCATATATACACACAAGACAACTTAAGTTTGTTAGTTACTAATCCATTTTCATAAAGACTTAAATGATTCTTGTTTAATTGAAAAAAAAAACAAAAAAAAAAAGTTTCCTGAAAACATAGATTTATATTTAGATATTATTTCCAAAAAATCATTTGGTATATATTTAGTTTATTTGTTGTTCTCTTCTCTTTCTTATAATTGAAAAAATTTGAATGAATATAACTTGCACTTGCAAGTTAAATATGATTGTTGTTAAAAAAAAAAAGGTTGCCTTTTTGGGTTTCTCGAATAGTTTGATTAACTATTAGTTGATTATACATTTTCCACCTCTATCGAAATCCTCTGAATATAGCTCATTGTCCTCTAAAGAATCTATTGAATCTTCATCGTCACTTATAACCAATAGATTTTCTATATCCTCTGAATCTTCATCATCATTATTATTATTATCATGTTGTTGTCGTTGTTGTCGTTGTTGTTGTTTTAAATATTGTTGCTGTTGTTGTTTAATACCATTACTAATATTATTATTTTTAGCTGCGGCGGTATCAGGTGAAATTGTATTGAGAACTAATCCGTCTTCCTGTACAGAGAGAGCAGTGACTTTGTCACGTAGAAACTTTGTGGTTTCGTCGGTGAGTACAACGTCCTTTGCTTGATAGACCAACTCCAATGGATCGATAGTCGGTGTCTTATTCCTAATGGTATCAAAGAATTGCGACAGTCCATCACACAGCAAATATTGTTCCAAAAGTTTCAACAGTGCAATAGATAATCTAAATAAAACTTCAATAGCCATACCATTTGAATTCGATCCCCAAAAGAAATAATCCTAAACAATTAAGAATTACCAATTAGTTGAAAATTATTATAATAATATTTATAATTATTATTTTGATTGTTATTGTTATTTACCCAAACAATTGATATAGATTCAACTGGTAATATATATACAAAGATGGTACTCCACCAAGACTGAATGAACATATACACAGAAACACCGGATGAATGCAGGTGTTTCGATAGAGCAGGAAGGTGTGCTCCCAATTCATTTTCAAAGATCTTCAAGTACGACGGCAGCAGTGTGTTGTTTTTCCTAAAGAAATGTCTCATCTAAAAAATGTCGAAAAAAGTAAAAGCTTAGTTTGTTGTGTTATTATAATGTTTCTAAACTACAATAACTAACCCCATGTTTTTTAATTAATAAATCCATCAACCAAAATGACTGTTCCTCTGTGAAATAACATAGTAATACCAATGCCAGATAATTCATTCCTTGTGTATATCTAACTTCATTATTATAATTTGCATATGCTTTTAAAACGTTATATAAAGATTGTTTACAGCTATGTTTGTTTGATCGATTAAGAATTAGATTAGTATTATTTGAATTGAATTAGATTAGATTGGATCAGTTAGTTTAGTTACTTTTTAAGTTGTTTTGATTTCAATTTCTTTTTGTAGTCTGATGAGGGATAGGTTCTTGCTACGTCGGTTGCAACGTCTGACTCTATTTCCTCGTCGGAGATCTGTAGTTGATTCTGAAAGATGTCTTTATGCTCGGGATTACCCATGAGTTTATCGAGCTCTTGCATCGTTTGCCATACCGACGATCTATATTGATCGGGCAGTGGTAGCTTCTTTGTGAAGTGCTCCTCTATCTTGTTTCTGATCAACATGATCCTTGTCGTAGGTTTCTCTCCATGTGGCCATCTCTCCAGATAGTAATCCCAAGATTGATCATCATCTTTTATCATTTATTATCACACAATTATTACTGTTTATTTTTGAAAAAACTTTAATACTAAATTATATATAAATAGAACACACAATATAAATATATATTACTATTTCTGATAACAAACAAATAAAATAAAATAAAGAATATTGAATATTTCTTAAGTATTATTAATAGAATATATAAATAACTTATAAATAAATAATTAAAAATGAGAATGAATTATATTAGAAAGTTTGCTAAATTAATAAATGATTGGGTAATCACTCTTGCAAACATCAAGTAAAAACAACATGTTGTTACATCATTTTTAACGATCATGTTTTTTTTTTTACTTTTTTTTTTTTTTTTTTTTGTTTATTACTCAAAAATTTAATACTGCGAATTTTCATTCATTACATTGAAATTTAGTATTGATTTGATTTATTTGTTCAACCAAATCACACCACAAACCATCATTCAAATTTTTGATTATCACCATTATCATCACAGAAACGATTATATAGTACTAATCATGTTCATCTAATTAGTGGTATCATCATCATAAATAAATAATAATAGTAAAAGTATCTATTTTTAGTCGTGTTGTTTTATGTTATGTTGTAACTAATTAGATCATTTATATACTACTATAAAATTGGTTTGTTTGTTTGTTTGTTTGTTTGTTTGTTTGTTTGTTTGTTTGTTTGTTTGTTTGTTTGTTGATGTATATAAATAGAATCATTGAATCACTCAATTATTATTTGTTAAAGAATAAAAATCAAAGTAAATTTCAAAAAATTAATATTTTAAAGTTTTAAATCTTTTAATTAATTAAAAGATATACTCTGCTTTTCATTGATCATTGATCACATTCAAAATCGTTATAGTGATGACTAGCTCCAACAATCCTAAATTGGCATAGGATGTCGTTTTTTTTTTCAATCCGATATTCACCAAAATTAATATCTTCCATTCCATTTTTAAAATTTTAAAAAAAAATTAAAAATTTCCTTGCAATTTATGCTAATGATTAATATGATTTGTGTCTGTTTGCTCTTCAATCAATCTATCTATCTATCTATTTATATAATTATAATTAATTTGTAAATAATAACAATAACAATATTAACACAATAATAAATGGCATTATTTAATTTAGTTGATCAAGCTGCATCTTATGGTGCTTATCATCATAATAATGTGTATGTAATTAGTTAGTTAGTTATTATCATATTAGGTTTAATCAACCTATTATTATTATTATTATTATGTTGTTGAATTCAGTAACAATAGCAACAACAATATTTAATAATATATTAATGTAATTACTACCTACCACACCTTTCAATAAATAGAAATAAATTCATTCATATTGTATTTGTACCAGCTATCCTTTATACTGCATTTGTAATGTTGTCGTTTGTCAATGTACCACAGGCAGTTCCTTACTTACAGCAATTGAACCAAATCACAACATTCCTCCCAGTTTCAATCACCACTCCAATTGCACTGTTAATCTCACTCTACTACTGTGTCCTTGATATCAGAGTTGGTGTAAGTTTATTTGATTCTCCAAATACTATTCTATTCTATTCTTTTTTATATATATCTAACAAAATATGGTGTTGGTGGTTATATTATAATATGATGTGTATATGATATGAATGTATTATATATAGGTTGTAGGATTGGCATGGATTATGGCAGCAAACTATTTGGCAGAGTATACAATTTTGCATATGAGCAATGCTTTTATGTTTGCTTTGGGTGTTCACATTGTTTCGTGGGTATTGCAATTCGTAGGACACGGTGTGTTTGAAGGTCGTCGTCCAGCATTGGTCGACAACATCTTCCAAGTGTTCATCGCTCCATTCTTTGTCACCTTGGAGTGCATCTTTTTGTTGGGTCTCATGGGTAAAACTCAAGTCGCCGTTGAGAAACGTATCATTTCCAACATTGCATCAATGTCAAAGAAGACCAAATAAAAAAAAAATAAACATAAAATAGTTTGGAAATAATGATGGTATTTTTATTAATTTGGAAAAAATATTATTCATACAATTTAATATAAATAAATATCTTTTTGAAATTAATTAATAGATGATTATCAAATGAAAAGCTTTCAATGTTGTAATACTAAAAAAAACTACTTAATAAATGAACAGAAATGTTGACCATCTAGCTTGACGACAGATTTTATCTGCATGAATTTGGCACTTTTGCTCAAAAAATTTTCAAAAAAAAACTTTGTAGATCAGTTCATCGAAAACTTGTTGTTGATTTAATTTAGTGATAATAAATTGATCAAAATTATAATTAATAATAAATATAAAAAAAATGAGTATAAATTTGGTAGAGTTAGTATCTGTTTGTTTAGAGCTTGCAGAGCAATCAGGTGATATCATTAGAAATATTTATAGATCTGGATCATTAGATGTAAAATATAAGTAATTATCATAGATTTTGGTTAAAATAGAAAACAAAACATTGGTATTGATTTGTTTAAACATTGAAATTCAAAAAATGAAACAAAAAAAAGAGGTGTAGATGATCCAGTTACTATTGCAGATATCACAGTTCAGAAACATATAGTTGCAGGTCTGAGATGTTATTGGCCAGAGCTAAGAATCATTGGCGAGGAAGAGTTGCAAATCGGTGAAACACCAACTGTTTTACCATCACTCAAACGACTGGCGTCGTACGATGCCATCGAAGTTCCATTGAGCGAGCTGATAGTGTTTATCGATCCTCTCGACGCAACACGTGAATTCACTCTTGGGAACGTTCAGTGTGTGATGACACTGATTGGAATCAGTCGTCGCGGATCACCGATTGCCGGAGTGATTCACCAGCCTTTCGTCGATGTCGCTGGCGATGCCTGTGAGAATGCAGAGCAATGGGTAGGCCGTTCGGTGTATGGCATCGTTGGCATTCCAGTGGTGGGTGTGCGTGACCGTCGTCAACCGGAGGATCGCGACAAGATCATCTTGGCAACGACAGCATCGCACTACAACGAGCAAGTCGATAGAGCAGTCCAACTAATCAAACCAGACAAAGTTATTCGTGCCGGTGGTGCAGGATTCAAAGCACTGATGGTCATTGAGCGACTTGCCGACGTCTATGTATTCCCGACTGTCGGTATGAAGTATTGGGATATCTGTGCGCCACACGCCATTCTCTCTGCGTGTGGAGGTCACCTAACAAATCCAGCCGGTAACAATATCGATTACTCTGATCAAAAGATTGAAAACAAAGATGGTGTAGTAATTTCAATGGGTAATCATCAACATTTCATTAATTTATTAAATAATAAATAATCTTATTGTTTTGTATTTTGTATTTTTAGTATTTTTAAACATAAAGAAAATAAAAGATATCAATGACGCAAAGACAATGAAGAGAAGATGATAATTAATAATTGAGAATATGAGTTTTTTATTGTAATTTAATATGATCAACTAATTTTTGATATTAATATTTAAAGTTCTTTCTTTGATAACATCTCGTAACTTGGGCACGTATCCATTCTATTGTTTGAAGCTGTTCCAAAAGCGATTGAGATGTTCCAGGTAGCAAAACCAGATTCCTTTGGTGATTTGACTTGGTATTAATAAAAACCTAGGAGTGTTGTTTACAAAATCTAGTGGTAATTTGTCAATTTCCAATTGGTCTTTGTCAACAGAGCCAACGCCTACAACAAATCCTACCATGACAGCCCAACTGACAGATGTTGACGGAGCAGAAGATCACACAAAAGGGAGTGCTTGATGCAGAGGTTGGTCCAACAAAATAGATTTTTTGAGACAAGTATGACTTCAATTGTATATCAGGGGAAATATATCACTAACATCTATGAAACCTGTTTCTATTTTCAAAGTATGGAGAAACAATGGAATAACTCGTGAAACTTTTCTAAAAAGTTTGATCTATTTAAAAAGACTCACCAACAACAAAGACTACTCCCTTCAACTCAACTATCGATATCAATTTTGATTTCTACCATTTCAAAATCGGGGTTATGACCATATAGTTCCATTTTAGTGAATTAAAATTAGTTGATCATATTAAACTACCATATTGAATATTCAACTTTTCTAAAAGTTCAAAAGTTTTTATTATAAATCAAATTCTAAAGATAACTTTATTATAAGAGAATATATTGCATTATTACTTTAAAGATCAATCAATCTAATTCAACTTTATTTTAACTTGTTTGTAATAAAACATATAAAACTATGATATAGTTAGCATTTCACAAATTAATTAAATATATTATTATTTATTTTATTTTCTATTTTTTTATTATTTCAAATTCTTTGAAGAACAGAAAATAAAAATGAAAATAGATAAATAAATAAATCACCCTTTTTTTTAAATCTTTTAGATCAAATTATGTAAATTAAAAGATTTTATTTTTTTGAAACTGTTTTTTTTTTTACCACCTTGAATTTTTTACCCACATAAATTTTACCAGACGAAATGTCTGAAAATTAGTTTAATTTTGTGACCATTATAAGGTTGGAAGTGTCATAATAATTAAAAATAAATAGTTTTATTTTTATCATTGCTAATTTTATTTATTATTATTTAATTTTTTGTTTAAAACAACAAATTGTATGTTTCCTTTTATAATATTTTAAAAATAAAATAATAAATAAAAATCAGGAAAAGTTAACAACAAGCATAATATCCAATTATATTAATTATATAATTATGGCAAAAAATGAAGATGTCAACAAGGAAGTTGAACATATAAATAGTAATAATTCAATTATTAATAATAACAATAATAATAGTGATAATAATAATCAACAAAATAATCAAAATACTTTAAAAATAAGTAGATTACCACCACCTTTACCTCCTACATCTAATAACAACAATAGCAATAGCAATAGCAACAACAATAATATTAGTAGTTTAAATAATGTAACAATAACAGTTCAACCACCACCACAACAAACAACCACACAACAACAGCAACAAACAACAACACCTTTGCCACCAATGAGCCAACATCAACAGTTTCAACATTTAGATTTCTATAGTGATGGTGAGAGTGATAGAATGACAAGAGATAACAACAACAGCAATGCATCTGAGCATACCAAAACAAGACCAAGAAGACCATCTTCACCGTTGGCATTCCTAAGATCGCTCTCACCTAAACACAAAGAAAAAGAAAAAGACAAAAAGAAAGAGAAACATCTAAAGTCGCAAATGGAGCAATTATCTGTTTCACCACCAAGAGGCATGGGTGTACATAACTATTACAACCACGAAAGTACACCCTCTACATCTCCAAACATATCATTATCAACAACAATCAATAACAATAACAATAATAATAATAATAGCATAAGTTTAGTTACAAGTTTTAATAATAATAATAATTTAGTAACTAGCACAGGTAATAATAATAATAATAATTTAATAACTAGTAATAGAAAGTTTAGTGGTGCAAGTTTGGTAGATAGCGGAATGAGTAGTGGTGGTTCAAGTTTGATGTCGAGCAATGGCGATAGTAGATTCAATAGTCTACCACATACGGTGATTCTGAGAATTCTAAACTTTTTGGTACAGAGTAGAATCGATGGTGAAAAGTCAGAGATCAAACTAGAGTATCGCTCTCCTCCCATGCCTCACCAAAAGTCTGCTGCTGGCGGCCAGGAATCAAGCTTGTCTTCCAGTGGTCAGCCGCTATCCAACTCACTCCAATCCAGTATCAATAACAACAGTGGTGTAAAGGTCAATCCGAATCAAGATCTTCAAACAATGTCACTGGTCTGCAAGTACTGGGCGAAAGAGATAACACCACAGGTATTCCACCACTTTGTAGTGAAGTCACCGAAGCATCTGAAATCGCTGATACGTCTGGTGTCGAAAGGCATCATCGATGGTGGTCGTCGCTTCAACTTTTACTACGTAGCGATGATTCTCGACAAGTCGTCATCGTTCCAAAAGTTTATCAATATTCTCAAGCATACAATGCCAGACCGTCTTCCCGACAAGTTCTACAAGGCAACCTCAAAACCGATAATGACAAACGTCTTCTCCAAGTCGCTGTTTACTTCGTTCTTTGACAATTGCTCGACGATGGAGTATTTCCGTTTCTATCAACGTTGGGTATCGCCAGACAATTTCGAGGCGATCGGTCACGCTCTCCGTACGAATCACTCGATCACTCATATTTCGTTTAGAAACAACAATCTGGACGACGAGTTTGTCGTCGATATCATCCAGGCACTCCACGAGAATAACACCATTCAGATTCTGGATTTCCGTCTCAATAAACTCGGTAACCAAACGGCTATCAGTCTGGCCGGTGCACTCCTAAAGAATCGGTCGTTGACCTGTGTCGATTTGTTCTACAATGCCATTGGACCGGAGGGTGGTGTTGCCATTGCCAATTCCTTGCGTACCAACCGTACCCTGCGTAAACTCTACTTGGGATGGAATCATATCAATGGACAGACCGCTTCCATACTCTCGGAATCACTCAAAGTCAACAACGTCATCGAGAGCATCTATCTCGATCGTATCGATGACCATTCCGGTTCGCTGCTGGCCGAGTCACTGGCGGTCAATACCTCTGTGACAGAGCTGAACCTTGCCGATTGCCAACTGAAACAATTCACAGCCAAAGCACTGGGTAGTGCTTTCAAGGTGAACAAATCACTTGCCGATCTCAACTTTAGATGTAACCAGCTTGGTGCCGACCTCAAGGATATCTCACAGTCGCTCAGCGTCAACCATACTCTGACCAGAATCAACTTGTCCGACAACAGAATCAACGATGAATCTGGCAGACTCTTGGCAGAGTCACTCAAGACAAACCACTCGATTACCTCACTCTCACTGTCACTCAACCAACTCGGTAATAAATTCGCAGATGAAATGGGAGTAGCGCTATTAGAAAACACTACATTGAAACTCCTCGATCTCTCTAACAATCAAATAGAGTTTACCGGTGCACAACATATTGCCAATGCACTGGCGTCCAACAGCACATTGAAACTGTTGAATCTCTGTCAGAACAGTCTCAGCTCCAAGTTTGGTCCTCTCATTGCTTATTCACTCACTCAGAACAAATCGTTGACACATCTCGAGCTTGCTTATGTCGGAATCGGTAGTGCCGGTGCAGTCTCTCTGGCCAAAGCAGTCAAAGACAACATCCACCTGCGAAAGTTGAATCTCAGCGAAAATCAAATCGGCGACGACGGTGCACTTGCTTTTGCCGATGCAATCAAATCGAATCAGTTCCTCTACGTCTTGGATTTAAGTTACAACAATTTCACCTATCGAGTCAAAGAAGTCTTTGAAAAGATACAAGAACAAAACAATACTTTACAATTCTCAATTTCATCTGTACCTCTACATTGGAAATTCCAACTATAAATAAAATATCTGTTATTTTTAGTTTATTATCTTTGTATCTCTTAGTCGTTTGATTTCCAGCTCAGAGAATCCCAAACGCTCCATCACCTCGTCGGTATGTTGTCCGAGCGTTGGTGGTGGTGTTGTTTCAGTGTGAATCTTACTCTCACTGAAATGTATTGGACAACCAACAACCTTTAGTTTATCAAGTTCATACACTTTGTTTTGAGGAGTTGTCTTTTGTTTGTTCAAAGTGGTTGGTGTTGGTGTAGGTTGTTCAGATAGATCCAATTCCCATACCATGTTTCTATGTTGAATCTGAGGATGTGAATAGACTTCCGAGAGTTGATTGATAGGTGAACATGGGACATTTGCTTTGCCAAGAAGATCGATCCACTCTTTGGTTGTTCTCATCATTGATCGCGCATTCAAATGTTCAAGCAGCTCTTGTCTGTTGGCAACACGCTTTGCGTTACTAGAGAATCGAGCGTCGCCACTAATCGATCTGTCGACACCAAGGGTATTACAAAGTGAATGAAATTGTGAATCGTTGCCAACAGCAACAACGTAGAATCCATCCGATGACTTTAGTGAATCGTACGGAGAGATACTTGGATGTGAATTACCGATTCTCTTTGGGTTGACGCCCGTAACCAGGTAGTTGGATGCCTGATTAGCCAGGAAAGTAGCTTGAACATCCAGCAGACTTACATCGATATGCTGTCCACGATTTGTTTGGTTTCTAAGATGTAGTGCTGCCTGTATAGCAACGTTCGAGTACATTCCAGTCATCATATCGACAATTGCAACGCCACACTTCATCGGTTCACTCTCAGTTCCTGTTATACTCATCAAACCACCCATCGCTTGAATTGCAAAGTCGTAACCAGGCAAATTTGCAAACGGTCCATTCTGACCAAATCCAGTAATAGAACAATAAATGATTCCTTCAAATTATTATTATTATATTAATATCAATTACTATCATCATTATTAACCTAACTAATATTAATTGGTTGATATCATACTTGGATTGATTGAAGAAATAGATTTATAATCTAGATTATATTTTTCCAAACCACCAACTTTAAAATTTTCCAATAAAACATCACACTCTTTTGATAATTCGTGAATAATCTAATAATAATAATAATTTGTTTGTTTTTAGAATTCTAGCAATAATAATGATGATGATTTAATAAATAAGATAGATATAGTTTACCTTTTGACCTTCAGGTTTAGAGAAATCAACTGCAATTGATTTCTTATTTCTATTTGTGCAACTAAAGTAAGCTGTATTTATGTTACCTTTTGGATCCTTTAATAAGAAGTAGAAAAACAAGATGGTTAGAGGATATTTTAAGTTTTAAATCAACATTTATCATCAAATATCATGTTTGTTTGTTGTTTGTTGTTTCATTCATTCATACTTTATAAAAAGGAGGACCCCATTCTCTTGTATCATCACCTTGTATCGATTCTACTTTGATAACATCTGCACCAAGATCACCTAACAACTGTGAAGACCATGGACCTGCTAACACACGACTCAAATCTAAAACTTTAAATCCTTCAAGTGGTTTTATTGAAGTAGCATTACTACTACTACGACTACAATATCTATTATTTAATGATAATTTATAATTATAAGAACTATATAGTTTTCTAGTTTTTGTAATAAACATTTGTTACTCTATTAATATTATTATTATTATTACAATCGTTTTTTAAAATAATATAATTAAATAATCGATTGATAGATTTTTTTTAATCTATCAATTATCTCACAACAGTGGGTGTTGTGTTACCCAAAAAAATGTCTTTCATTGTTTAAAAAATCTGCAGATAATTCATTATCTGCCAACTCATCTCACCACCAGGACGATCTAAAAAAAATCTTTTTGAACAATGATATTTAAATATTTATTTAAATAATATATATTATAAAGAATGAAATTAAAATTCAATTTTTTTATTTAAATTATATATTTAAATTAAAATTGCAAATTAATGTAGAGTTTGGTTGTTTGTTTTGTTTTAGATTATAATAATAGATATTGACTCTCTTTTAAAGGATAATCTATTTTATCAGAGAATGTTGAGAATAACATTGAAAGGATGGTCGATAGAAAAGTTAGACCTGTTGAAATACATATACAAATCCAACCTGTAGTCGGATGCCAAATATGTTGTTTGTTATTTCCAAAAAAGTGATAGTGATGCTCTTCATCACAGATTGCATCATTGCTGCCACTATTACTACTTGAATGTCCATCGGGATCGATATATCCATGATCTATACAATCTCTTCTCAAACTTTTTGGTATACCAACAAATATAAAAGTTGAAAGAAAACAAAAGAAACAAATTACCTAAATAAAATAAAAAAATATTAATCAAAAAATAAATAATAATGTAACAATATAGTTATTATTACTTACCATTGGTGTATATTTTGTAAGGGTAGTTAATAATTTACTTTGTTGTACTTTTTCATGGTAGATACATAATAGCACCAATACCATTCCAAATGCTGTGAATACCCAGGCAATTATAGCAAAAGAAATCGAAGCTTCAAAGAGTTGCATTGTATATTTATTGGTAGAGTCCCAACCTTGATAATAAGTTTCATCTTTTGTTATATTCTTAATCCAATCATATTTATAATATAATTGTACATTTGTAGATTTCTCTTTAAAAGTCCACCAATATGCTATCCAAAAAAAAAATAAAAATTATTAATATCTTTTTTAAAAATAATATAAATAGTTTTTTAAAATCTTACTTGAAAGTGATACAATTAATAATATAAATGATATAAATAATGTTACCAATACAGAAATATTTACTTTTTGTTCCATTTCTTTGAATTTTTTTATCTTTTCAGAGTTTAATATAACAAAAATTTTATTTTACAACTAAATTAATTTATAGGATATCCCTAACTTTGAGTTATCGATTCTTTATTCTCTGGGATTAGTTACCGCATCTCCATGACATTTATATTTATACTTAATTAAGCTTAAATGTCAATATACAATTCAATTTAAAAAAGGGGTTACATATAAATTTTGATCATATTGTCTAAAATTTTGGCAAAATCAATATTTTTTTTTTTTTTACAGTTACAATCGTTCTTTGGGTTGTATTAGAACCACAACCAAAAAGATCCACCGAAATATTCTTTTAATATTACTAACCAGGGATATTAAAAAGTTAGATCAAGAAACCTATTTTGAATTTTCAAAGAGGTATGAATATCTATAAATATAACTCTTAAAATTGTTGTTTTTATAAATTTTAAGAATTCATTCATTTATTTACTTTACGAATTACTTTCTTACACACATATTTGACAATGAATTATAAAAAAAAAAAAAGGGTGTTATATATTAATTAATTACTAATCACCCCATTAAAAAGACAATCAATCAGTGTTGTGGGTGTGTGAAAGCTTTTTTAGTCCGATTTAAATCAGTACTTTTTATTTATATTTTGCGAAAGTTTTTTTTTTTTCCTTTTTGTTTTTTATTTATTTTAAATGATCAATGATTGTTTATAATAATAATAATAGATTATTTTTATAAATAAATACAACAACAACTTTTAAAAATGTATAGTTTAAAAAAGAATAAATTTGTAGTTTTATTGTTATTATTTGTATTATTAGTAGATTGTGGTGTTTATTCGGTTAGTGTTAAACAAAGAGAGAGCAAAGAGAACAAAGAGAACAAAGAGAATAAAGATGATAAAGTCGAACTTTGTAAATTTCTAGTTGGATATATTAAGGGTCTTGACAATTCAGAGGATGGCAAAGTCATTGAACGTCAACAGATCAAACAGGAACTCAATGAAGTCTGTCACTTCATGCCAGATCAAATGAGTGAAGTTTGTTATAACATGTTATCGAAATCCGACTTTTCGATAGTTGAAGACATTCTAGATAGAAAGTTATCGTCCAATGACATTTGTGATAATAGTGATAAATCATTAAAAATTAAACAACCACAACAACAAAAACCACAACTACCAAAAAAACCAAAACAACAACAACATCAAATTATAAATAGAATTTCAACAGATAGATTGGAATGTAATCTTTGTAATTTCTTGGTCAGTCAAATAGAAGGATATATTCAGAAGAATCAAACCGAAGAGGAGATCATTGCTGATCTCGAACAGAGTTGTAATATTCTTGGATCAATGTCCACCGATTGCAAAGAGCTGGTAGCCGACTACATGCCCGAGGCAATCAAAAGAATAATGAATAAAGAGAGTCCAGATGTTGTTTGTACTGAAATTGGAATTTGTACACCAACAACTACTACCACAACAACTAGCAGTTCTTCAACTACAGGCGGATCCAACCCAACATCCAAGTCACACTCTGGATTCGAGTGTCCATCATGTGAATACCTGGCAGGTCAAGTCATCACCTACTTAAAAGAGAATCAATCGATATCGACAATGCTACAGGAGTTGAATACCGATTGTCAGGTTTTCAGAGATCAATCTTGGATTCATATCTGTCAAAAAGTTGTTGCTGAACACGGAGAAGAGTTGATTAGAGATGTAAGAATTTCCAAAAGTCCGTCAGAGGCGTGTAAAATGGTAGGAATATGTGGTTCAACAACTTCATCATCATCGTCATCGTCGTCATCCTCGACATCCAACAGCGGATATAGTAGTGGTGGTTCGACAGCAACTTCAGGAACTTCAGGTACATCCGCCTCTGGAAGCGGTGGTGGATATCTCTCCGGAAGTGGTAGTAGTGGAAGCAGCAACAGTGCAAGTTCAGGTGACAGTGGAACTGGTTATGCCTATCGCATGACCATCAACTAAAAACCAATCATTTTAAAACTCCACCCCCTATTACAAAAATTATTTTATTGTAATAAATAAAATACATTAATTTATATCATTATCAAAGATCCAATCTTTTTGAACATAAACCATGAATCATTATTTTCATTCTGGATTAATTAATTAAAATACTTGCTTCAAATCTTTTTATTGAATTACTTTGAAGGTTTATTTTAGACAAATTAAGACCCTTGTTGAATATTAACATAAAATTTCCTTTGGACAATGAATCAATATCTTGATTGTACAGGCAACTATAATACAGCCAATAATGATTTCAACGGTGAATCAATTTTAAAGGATGTTTCAAATGGTTTAAATGTTGTTACTGTTGATCAAGTAACAGGAGACTCATATGAAGATAATTTTAACACTGCCAATGATGACAAAGAATGGAATAGATTCCTTCTTTTCATCCAATCATTGAAAGTTTGTACTTTTGTTTTGATATCCGTCCAAGATTCAATTGGAGATATTAATAACACTTCAGAAAGTCGCACCCCACTTATTTCAGTTTTTACAAATTTGGAATAATAAAAAAATAAAAAAAAAATGTGAAAAAAAATTTGAAAAAACAAAACTGAGATTCTTGCAAGGGGGTTCAAAAGTACCTGCTATGTTTACCTATATTTGGTGCTTTATTTTCAATTATTTTTATAAAAAACATGCCAACAATGTGTGAAATAGGGGTTTAAATCATTTTTTTAGACTTACGAGTCCCCGGAGTGAAGCAATCTCAAAAAGATAATAAGAATCGCATTCTCTTTGATTGGTGCAACTAGGTGTATCTATTTTGTAAGTTCATTGGGATCAGCATTTGAACAATACAGTGTTAATGGTCAAGTTTGTGTTTCATCTTGGTAACTTCCTTCAATTCTTGATGGAACTTAAAAATATGGAGAAACAACGTTATATACTGAGCAGAGTATATTTACAATTCCATCATTTAATAACCCTTAATTAATAAAAAAGCTAATAAAAGTATAAATTTTAATGTATTTTTAAAAAAAAAGAATTAAATTAAATTCTTAAGATATTGAAAAAATTATTAAAAAAAACATTTTTAATTTCTCCTACAATGTTTCAAAATTTTTTATAGGTGTGATCAAAAATGGATCTTCCCAATAATTATTTATAAATAAGTTTTTAAATCTAAAATATATCACTATTTATTTATGTTTTTAATATTATTAAATAATCTATTTTGTATTAAGATAGTTCTTTGAATATAAAATTTTTTTAATTTTAAATTGATTTTGTGAATACAATTAAGGTTTCAAAATTATAAATAAATTTTAGAATTAAATTTATAGGGGTATTTTGTTTTAATATTAGTAAATGAAACTAATTTTTTTTTGATTTAAATAAGGATTCTATTGGAATTGATCGTGATACAATAGAAGAAAGATTGAATTATAATAAAACCTAAAATAAAAATTGGGTTATATAATTAAAAAAGTCTGAAATAAATCTATTTCTCTCCTTTAAATACAAAGAATTTTGATCATTTTAAGAATCAAATCAATTGAATCAAAAAAATAAATAAGAATTGGAATTCAAATATTATATATATAAATTTTGAAAATGTTGCACAGTAAGTAGTTTTTTAACTCCTTTTTCTCAAATTTTGAAAGTTTATTTATTAAATAAATTTTAAAAGAAAATCTTGAAAACCTTAATTTTAGTAGTGTATCGTCTTTGGCTATAGAAACTATTAATATCAATAGTTCTCAGAGTTCAGTAACTCAACAAAGTACCAATGAAACAACTATATTTGGAAAGCCTTGGGCTCGACAGGAACACCCAAAGGGATGTTCGATAATGTAATATTTAAATTAAATAATTATTTTTATTTAATCATTAACCAATAAAAAACAGTTTATTTATAAAAAAACCTAAAAGCTTGTATGATCATGTCCAATCGGGTATTTAATTGTTTTTAAAATTTTTAATGATAATTCTACTTAATTTACTTCTTGATAAGTTTATTTTTGGTCTACCATACTCCTCCCCATCCTCTATAGACTAACTTTTCTTAAGAATTAGTAATTTTATGAAAGAAAGAACCATATTGGTAAAATTGTCATTGATAGTTCAAATATTCAACAATCGATTCCCAAATAACCTTAACAAAAAAATTAATAATTATTATCAAGAAATATAGAGTTAAAGTCCTTCTACATTTAAAATACAATTTGATTACTTGATATCCACAATATCTTCATGTTTTGAAATATAAGAGTTTTATTTTGAACCTAGGTTTATATTCTCATGTAGAGTAAAATTGTTTTTTAATTTTCTACATATCGGTTTTTTTATTAATTCAATTATTTATTTTAAAAGTTTGTTTATTAGAATAAGTATTTCACCCAAAAAACTGATCCAGTATGTGTTGTTTACTTTTTAAAATAGTGTAGTGAAAGAAAACACTAAAATAAGAATAACAAATGGAAATGAAACATATTTCTTATAAATTATATTTTAAAATCCTAGACCCAAACCTTTTTTTATTTCTTTTTTAAGTTTAATTTTTTTATTCTAAAAATCTCATTCAGATACATCACAATCACCAATTTGGCTGCACCCACAAAACTTTTATTATTTCAAATAAATAAAATATATCGAAAAAATTTTATTGACTCCTGTCTATACCTTTTTCTTTGGTATGAAAGGATTTCTTATTATAAAAAGGAAACATTTTGAACTTTTTTAAGAATCATTTCAATCAAAACTTATTGAAAATTCATTTAATTATATAAATATTATTTATTATTGAATTATATAGATATTTATTTTAAAAACTTTCTAAAATGTTGCACAGTAAGTAAAAAAAATAATTGAAACAAATATTTTAAAAAATAGGATATTAATTAAATTTTTGATAAAAAGAAAATCTGGAAAACCTTAATTTTAGTGGTGTATCATCTTTAACCAAAGAAACTATCAATGTCAATAATTCACAAAGTGCAGCTGCTCAACAAAGTACTAACAGAACGGCTGGATTTCATTCAGAAGAGTGGACATGTGTAATAATGTAATAAAAAAATAGCAATTTAATTAAAATTAAAATGTTAGAATAAAAACCAAAGTTAAACCGAACATATTAATTAAAAATAAAGAAGAGTTGTAAATTTAAGAATAATAATCAATTTTCTCTTATTATTAAGAACTTTTTTATTATGATGATTTTAACTTTTAAGAATCAAATCAAATCAAATCAAATAAAAAGGAATAATAAAAAAATGTGTTTTTTCATTTTATAGGTTGTGTTTTTATTTCCTTTTTTGAATTTTATCACTATTTTGCCAACACACACACTAAAGATGTTCAAAATTTTTTGATTTTTTGGGGAGGGATAAAATGAAAATACACAAATCAAATAATTGATTATATAGTATTTTTCTATACTTTTAACTTTAATTTGTTTAACCCTCAAAAAAAAAACATAAATTTAGTTCCCCCAAAAAATTGATTCACAGGTTTTTGTTCATGTGTTCAAATAAAACTTACCCCAAAAATTAGAAAAAAATAACACTCTATATATTTTTCTTAATTTATTACCTGATTTGAATAATTGTGTTCCTAATTTATTTGAATCATGATTGAATCTTGAATATTAAAAAAGTTAAATTGTAAAAATAGTATTCTACTATAATCATTGAGATCTCAATCACCAATTTTGCCCAAAAACCTGATAATTTCAATTAAATTTTATATATAACTTTTTATTGAAACTAATTTATCCTGTTTTATTTATTATAAATAGGATGAATTTTGAACATTTATTAGAATCAGATCAAATAAAAAAAGAAAATAAAGAATATAAATTCAACTAAAAGATATTATTTTAAAAACTTTTGAAATGTTGCACAGTAAGTAGTGGAATCACTTTTACTAAAATAACTTTATTAATTAAATTTTTTTCAAAATTTAAAGAAAATCTAGAAAATCTTAATATGAACAGTGTTTCATCTTTAACCAAAGAAACAATCAAAGTTAACAGTTCACAAAGTGCTGCTACTCAACAAAGTACCAATGGTTTAACTTATAGTATGGCTGATGATTGGTGGGCATATTTGAATAAACCTCAAGGAGACTGCACAATATTGTAATAATTTTAAATTACAATTTATTAAATAAAAATTTTTATTTAATCAACAAACAATAAATAAATATTTATGTTTAAATTTTAAAAATCGTAGTCTATTGACAAAATTCAATATAATTTATGATTTTTTTTTTTACAATTTCTTAAATAATCTTTTATAGGAAACATTCATTCAACTTCTAGAGTGAAAAACCCTTCTAATTATATAAAAAACAAATTATTTTAAAGATTCTATCTTTAAATTATAAACAGATCAGAATGTTAAAATGACCTCCCTTAAAAAACTAAAAATAATTTTAAAAGAGAAGTTTATTGGATGATGAAAATAGAATCTTGAAAATAGCAAGTTTAATTTAGAATTTAATCTAGATTTAATTTAAATTTATTGAAATCAATGTATCCTATTTTTTATGATTATAAATACATACATTTTGAACTTTTTAAAAATCATATAAAAACAATTAAAAAGAAATATTCAAATTGATAGATATTTAAACTTTTGAAAATGTTGCTTGGTAAGTATAACAGATTTTCTTTAAATTTTAAAAAAAATCTAATTAAAAAATTTAAAGAAAATCTTGAAAATCTTAATTTAAATAGTTCAAAAGAAACTATCAATTTAAATAGTTCATAAGGGTCAAAGTACTAACGGAACAACTGTACTCCCAATCCAGTATTGGACTAAAGATCAATGGGAAAAATACGGAACATTTGGTAACCAATACCTATATAGTAAAAGTTCCTGTGTAATATTATAATATTTCATTTTAATTAAAAATTATGAAAGAATTAACTTTATTAGTATTTTTTTTGTTCAAATTAATAACAAGAATTCTAATTTTTTACAGTGGTTGGGAAACGTCTATAAAATATATCAAAATCATTAAAGATATTATTTATTTAATTTCATTTAATTGATTATTAGTTCGAATATATCATAGAGTACTGCAGATGAGAAGTAAACTAGCACAATATAACGTAGTTTGAATATATAGTTGTGAAGAGGAAGAGGAATCGGGAAGTGAGAGTATGCCTTTCGTGAGAAATTCAGCATGAGCACTGCAAAGAGTCCAGCCTGTAGGTTGAGACCCAGAGATGCACCAGATTCAAGCATCATAAGGAATCCCTTTGGATTACAGAGTGCAACCGTTAAGATGAACCCAAATGCAAATATATAGAATACGAATTCACGAATTGGATATTTAACATTGGTCGAACCGACATTGTCCACCGACTGTACCTCCTTTGCATCGATTTGATTGTTTACCCAGTCAATCTTTCTCTGTATGGCATTACCAATAGTACAAAGAAATCCTGGTAATCTATTTGGTTTCGATCCATTATATCCTTGTTGTTGGTGTTGTTGGTGTTGTATTTCTTGTTGTTGATCATCATCGACTTCAATACGATTGTTAAATGATTGTTCATCTTCCTGTTGTTGTTTCTGTTTATTTTGCAATGATTTAGATCGCCAGGAAACAGAGAATCCGTCGAGTGTCTGTTTGTAACCAGTTCCCACTGTGATGTAGCTAATGGTGATAGAGATGACAATAAAGATATCGACAGCCCACGCAATCCAGAGATACTGCGGGTAGTAATCGTGAATCACCTTCATCAATGGGATCGTTGCAATCTGTGAATTCTTACCGGCATCGTAGAGATTCGGTGCTTTCGGATTAGTGGCGTCAGGCATCTGTGGAATGATACGCAACAAGAACCAACACCAACAAATATTCAACAGGAACACAGTGGTCAGTGCAGAGAAAACCGTTGCATAGCACTTGTACATCTCACGGCGTGAGAATATTATCTTTGGGAATACAACGGGAATCACACCGGACGCTCCACCAAGGGCAACCGTAGAGATCAAAAAAGATCGACCAACATACGCCCAATCATTGGATATTTCGAGTCGAACGTGATTAGCTACGACACCAGTAATCAACACAATGGCAATTAGCAAAGTACCCTTTCCAAACGTAAAGAATGTAATGATATGCTGTAGAGAAGACGATCCAAAGATAACAATCAAAGTGAACACAACAATCGTAGGTAATATAAAATAGTTTTGTTGTTCTTCACTAACTATTAATTTACTATATGCCATGGCTGCTGCCAAACCATAACTAATCAAAATAGCAGTACTAGTAAAGAGTTGAGTTGATGTTAGTTTTTAATCGAATCTATCAAACATATCGATATTCAAATTCAAATCCAACTACTTACAAATGTAATACTACAGAAAATATAAATACTCTATGTGCTGCGGTACCAAGGAATTTCAAACCAAGATAATGAAGATTCGGAGTGACTTGAGCTACGGAACCATTGGCGGCTTGAACAGATTGTGATTGATTTAAATCTATCTTTTCGAAATCTTGACTTTCACCAAGATGATTATCATGATGATGCATTCCCGTTAGAATTATACCTTGAGCATGCTGCTCTTCGTATTCTTCTTCCTCTGTATTGGGTTGCTCACCTAATCCACCGATATACATAGATTCTTCAGTGGATTGTGCTGCATCCTCACCAGTGTTGTTCATTGCCGATGAAGAGGATGTCGAAGATGGCGATCGTTTACGTCTGATACTACCGCTGCTTCCGCTACTTCCAGGACTGGCAAGTGGAGAATGATCACTACCGTTACTGTTGCTGATACCGTTGCTAATACTGATACCACGAGATGTGTTCAATCCGATAATCGATGGATTTTCACCTCTGATAATGGCATAGCATCGTTGGAGTATCTCAATGACAAAGAACAGCGACAACACCTGCATAACATAGCACAGCGTATAAGACCCCAGAAACGGAGTGAATCCCGACTGTGACAGCTTAACGGGTAGTCCGAGAATACCCATTCCTAGGACACTGGCAATCACAATGAAAAAGAGATAGGCAAGCACTAAGATTGGTGTTTTCTCAGAGTCATCGTCGAATAGCTCATCTCCATGTTGTGGTTGTTGTTGCTGCTGCTGTTGCTCTTGTTGTTGTTGTTTCTTTTGATGTTGATGCAGCTGCTCTTCGATATCAACACTCAGTCGCACTTGATCGTAGGTGTTGGCACCACCAGCACCACTTATATATTTATCATAATTAGTCTTTAGCCATTTAAGCATTGTTGATTTAAACTGATCTGGTTTATTGATTATCACAATCTTTCTTTCTTTTTCTCTATCTCTATCTCTCTATTCTTTCTCTTTTACTTTTTCTTTTCGTAAGTATTTATTAAGATGAATTATAAAACTTAACATAAAATATATATAGTAATATTATATTTAATTAAACACAATCCTTTACTTTAATAACTAATCTTCAAGAGTTGAAACAAAACTAAACTAAACTAAACTTTATCAATCCTTCGAATATTTAATTTATTTAATAAATATAAAATAAATAAATTAAAATTATTATAATTAATAATAAAAATAAATATAATATTAATCTATATCTTTTTTTAGAGTACGTAATATAACAGAAGCAAATTATTATTAATAATTAAATAAAAAAAGTGATATTAATTTAAAGATTGCAATTGCAGTTAAAAAATAAATTAAGATTTTTTAATTTTTTAAAAATTTATTTTAAATTTTAGTTTTTCCCAGCCCAATTATAGTAAAACGGGTGTTGTTTTTATTTTTTGTAAAAAAAAATTATTATTAATTTTAAACATAAGTATCTTATTTATTTTCTTATCAATACTCGATTATTCTTTACAAAAGTCTTCACAATCTAAACAATAAAGTGATAAGCTTGTTCAAAAATACAAAAGGAAAAGAAAGAAAGAAAAAGAATTCTAACCAAATTATTATATAAAAACATAAAATCAAAAAAGTCGTTGATCTACACAATTTATTTTTGAAAAAAAAAAAAACAAAATCTAATTTTGGAAATCATGAATTGCATTAAATTGGTGGAATAAGTATCAAAAAAAAACAACTAAAATCACTTTAGTAAGAAATATCATCATCTCTATTTCCGTGCTGTTTAATAAATCAAAACAATCTACTATTTTAAGATGAACAATTTTTTATTAATCCCACAAAATTCTTAAAAAGGAAATAAATTTTGTAAAAATCGATGAAATTCAAATTATTCAATGGAGAGGGTTAGAATTTGGAAACTTAATACATAAAACATTGAAGAATTCTCCTTTTTGATAAAAATTAACAAATTTTAATTTGTTTGATCATGTTTACAAGTAAACAATAATAATTTCCTTCGATTGGAATTTTATTTATAGTTAAAAAAAATAGAAACTTCGGAATATATTAATTTAATAGATTAGAGTGGAATTTAGATATATTTTGAAAAAAAAAATGTTATATAGTATGTTATAAAAAAACAAATATAAAATAGATTTTAATTAAATTTTAATTTTTTTTACAAATACTTTAAAGAAAATTTGGGTTTCATTAATTTTAGTTGTCAATCATCATCATCATCAATAGAATATGATTCTTCTTTCAAATTGAATTCCAAAATCAATGGCACTCAAGGTTTTTCTAGTGAACAAGGAACCAATGGAGTAACAGCTCCTATTTCACACGGTGTCTTCAAATGGTGGTGACAGCCAACCAAAATACAATATTTGAAAAGTAAAAAATACAATCAACAAGTGGAATGAATATTTAAAAAATAAATTTATGAATGAGAATAAACAGTACAAAATTTATTATTAACATTATTGAAAAAAAGGAAAAATATAAAAAAAGATTTATATATTATGGAATGTTAAAAAGAAAAACTTTTATTTTATTGTATTGAAAAAAAAAAAATTTGTTTGTTGGGAGTAATTTAATATTGACCACCGTTGTTGAAATAGTTGAGATTCATTGAGTACTCATCATTATTACCACCACCACCACCTTTACGTTCAATATGATTGTATAAGTCGTTGTTGTTATTGTTGTAGTTTTTTTGTATATTTGTAATAAATAGAGAAATTTCAACCTAAATTTTTTTGTGTCTTCAAAACAATAAACAATCTACTATTTTAAGAAATCAAAAATTTCTTTAAGTTGAAAAGATGAAATTCAATTTGTTCATTTGATATGAAATAGATTGAATTTGGAAACTTTATTTAGTATAACTCCAATGAATTCTCCATATTGATAAAATATATAGAAAGTTTTAAAACTTTATGTAACCTTATTTTCGAATTTGTATTAAATTGTTTATTGGTTAAAAAAATTACTCCTGAGATATAAATATTGAGAATTCTGATCAGTTAATATATAAAAAGATAAAAGTTCAGATAGAGATTTCAAAAAGAAAAAAATGTTATTTAGTATGTAGAAAAATATATTTGTATAGAGATTCTAATTAAAAATTAATATTTTTTTAAAAACTATAATTTTAAAGAACATCTTGGAAATATTAATTTTAATTGTCAATCATCTTCATCTTCATCTTCATCTTCATCCAAAATCAATGGTACACAAGGTTTTTCGGGTGAACAAGGATCCAATGGAGTAGCAGCTCCAATTAGACGTGTTATCTACAAATCGTTGTGGTGGTTCTAAAAGCAACAACTTTGATGAAGTATAAAGAATTATTAAAAATATATATTTTTAATCAAGAATAAAAAAACTCTTTTGTTTTAACAGGAGAAGAAAAGGAAAAAAAAAACATAGGATTTGTATTAGAAATATTTTTGTTAGATAGTAGAAGAATTATAATCTTTTTTAAAAAAATTCTATATTTATTTTTTTATTTATTATTATTAATTTGATAAATAGGATATTTAAATTTAAAACATGAAATAAATCACAATTTAGTTTGTAAAATCAATCTGTCTTTGTCATAAATCGAAATTTTTTTTAGATTAAATTCTGATTTTTTTTCATTTTTTTTGTTTAGTTTTAAATTTTAGTAGTACTAGAGAATGAGTGGAAATAGTAATGATCTTCCAAATGAACCGAATATGAGTCATCTGGGTTCAAAAGACTATCAGAATGTCTATGAACCAGCACAAGATTCATTTCTGTTTATTGATGCTCTAAAGAAGGATGTCGAGTATCTGAAGGGATTGCGACCACTCGTTGCCGTGGAGATTGGATCGGGCAGTGGTTTCGTCATCAGCTATCTATCGATGCTACTCAATAACGATGGTTATTTCTTGTCGACCGATATCAACCCGATCGCTGCAATGACCAGCACCCGAACAGCTACACACAACAACGTGCGTCTCGATGTAGTGAACACCTCGTTTCTCAGTGGCATAGACCGACTGCTTGGCAATGTAGATGTACTGCTCTTCAATCCTCCCTACGTTCCGACGCCATCCGAAGAGATCGAGCAAGGTGGTATCGCCGCATCTTGGGCAGGTGGAATAGACGGTCGTGAAGTAATAGATAAACTACTTCCACAAATAAGTGTATGTATAAACAACACTAAATTACATTACATATAACTAAACAACAATACAATACAATACATTACATACACATATATAAAAACAGAATATACTATCAGAGAAAGGATGTTTCTATATTGTTTTGGTTGAAGAAAATAAACCAGCTGAAGTGGTGGCAATCATGAAGAAATATAATTTTAAACACAAAGTAATTAATATATATATATATTTAGAGAGAATGATGATGACGTGATATGTTATATTAATCAAATCACTACTATATTTCAGGTGGTTGGATACAGACAAGCATTTAATGAAAAACTTTATATCGTAAAATTCTACAGAAGTTAATTTTGGTTCGTACTTTATTTTTTTGGATCTTCACTAAGAAGTTAGTGATGATTATAATCATAAGTAAACAAAAACAACAAACAAACAATCAACACAACAACAACAACAACAAAACAACCACTCCCTTTACCTCCAATGAATGATAACACACCTAATCAGAATGCGAGTGGGTAAGTGAAAACCAACATAAATGTTATGTTATCCGATTTTTATTGGTTGCGATCGTTGTAAGACAATACAAAAATGCAAACAAGAGTGTGATTGTTGTTTACCAAAATGACTTGTTTGTGGTTCGCAACAACACACAAACAACACAAACAACACATACAAACACGATTCTCAAATGATGATTTCAGTAACAAAACAATAAACAAACAAAGGAGAAAGAACTAAACATAAACTAAAAAAAAGAATCCCCCCCAAAAAAAAAAAAAAAATCAATTTTGGTTGTTTAATTTGGTTTTTTTTTAATTTTTTTTAAACCATTTCATTTTCTTTGTCAGTGTGTCAGACATTTAATATCATAATTATTTATTTATTTTTATGCATTCACACACCCTTTAACTTATTTTATTATTATTCACCAAGTTTGGTGAAACATTTTCTTAATATTACTAATCATTCAATACAATACAATACACAATACAACATACTCAAAGTATTGAAAACTATTTTTTAATTATAGTTTATTCAAATTGAATCGAATTAAAGTTTATTTTAGTTTAGTTAACCTAGTAGTAGCATTAGTAGTTTCAGAATAGAGAGAGAATAGAGAAGAATAGAGAAGAATAGAGAAGATAGAAATAGTCATCATATTATATTACGTACAAATAGATCATTAATTTAATAATATAGTAGATTTAGATGTTTGATTTCAATGTAAAACAACAATAAATATTCTTGTCAAGAAAGAATTTGGTATTGGGATTGTAGATAGAAGTGGAGCGAATAAGGACGATCGATCCAATCGAGTGTTGACTTGGAAAATTAACCTTTGTTTGGATTATAATTTTACATTTACTTTTTTTTTTAATTAAAAGGAAAATAAAAGTTTAAAAATATAACTATACAACGATAAGATCGATCCAATCTACACAACCAGCTTACTTCATTTGCTGGACTCGCAAAAATATTTGAAAAAAAAAAATGGAACATCATCACCAAATTTATCAAAATAATAACATTAATAATAATAATAATAATACATATATTGAAGAGATTGATAATTTACATAATATTGTATGTACTTTTGTTTGTTTGTTTGTTTTTCAAAACAAAATTTTGATTTGCAATTAAAATATTTAAAGCAATATTGATTAATGAAAAAAACAAAAAAAAATATATATATATTTTATAACAAATACAAAAACATAAAAACATATATATATTTATTATAAAACAAAAAGATTTCTTTGCTCTCAGAGAGAATTCAACAGTTGGAAGCAACAGCAGCAGCACATGAAAATTCAAATTTCACAGAGACACGTCCGGTTACGCCAACTACGATGGAACACGAACCAATTAGAATAGGAGGAGGATATCAACAACAACAACATCATCATCAACTACAACAACATCAACAACAGAGAGATCCATCTGCTGTGATATTCCCTTGTCCTGATGAGAATGCTCCAGACGCTGCTGAAGAACAGCAGGAGCGTATCATTCGAGTGTTGGCAGATACAGCTCCCTTCATGATGTGGATGTCTGACGCGCGCGGAAACTTTGTCTATTTGAATTCAAAGTATTTCGAATTCACCGGAGTATCGCTGGAGGATTCGAATAATGAGGTTGGCGATGGTTGGAGTAACACTATTCACCCGGACGACAAGGAGCGTATATTCTCAGTGTGGCACAGCTACTTGCTCGAGCGGAAAGCATTCAAGCTGGAATACAGGAAACGGCGACACGATGGAGTCTATCGTTGGATTATCGATACGGGATCGCCGCGCTACTCTGGCGTCTCTGGCAACTTTATTGGCTATGCAGGCTCGTGTATCGACGTCACAGAGATGTGGCATGCCAAGCATGAGATCAAGACATTCACCAAGCAGCAGGAAGCTCTGATGCGTTGTTCCAGTGTCCTGCTGACTCACACACCGCAGCGCATCATCGATAGCCAGTCGGCGGCAATCGACCACCAAACAAAGTCACTCGACTACTACAAGCTCGTCTTGAAATCACTGGCGTTCACACTGCTCTCTGACTGCGCAGTGTTGTTCCTCGTCGATCCCGACGATGCCAACCTGCTGCATATCGTTCAGAAGTACAATGTTATCATCGAGACGAACAACACTTCGATTCGCTTGCCAGTTGGCTACTGGCAAGAGTGTATCAATCTCTGTGGTGGACACAGCAGCGGCGGCGCAACCACCGACACCTATGAAGATGTACATTCGGCAGACCAACACAGCTTTGAAGATCCACCATCGTCGCCTTTTGGCGAGGACGACACCACCGCGCGCATGATGGAGCTAATCCACCAGAGTTCGATGCGGCTGGTTTGTCGTCCATCGATCTACTCTAGTTTCTATCAACACTACTTGACGCCGATCTTCCAGCGACTTGGAATGCTGTCGATGACCGCCGAGTACATTCGCGGTACCACAGACCATCCGTTTGGATTCGTTTGTGTCGCAGCGAAAACAGAGAAGGACTACAACTCGGGCGAGCAAAACACACTGCGAGTCATGGCGAACATTCTGTCTGCCTACATTCGCCAGGAAGAAGACACCAAAAGTTTGGAATCACAACAGAATCTGACGTCGACGCTGTCGAGATCGTCACGCGAGGGAATCATCAAGGTCAATGCCACCGGACTAATCACCGAGATGAATCCGTCGGCACTGGAACTCTTCTCGATGAACTCGCGACAAGTGAAACAAAAATACCCAATCTCTGTTCTCTTTCCTTTCATCACCGATACAATGCGCGAAGGCGATACTTTCGAACACTACATGAGTGAACACATCGTGAAATACCGCCAGAACATCACATTCAAAGAGAGTTCGGCGACACTGCTCAATGGACATCAGTCGTTCCACGTTGATCTCATGATAAAAGAGATCTTCATTCAAGACACGAAAGTATTCATCTTTTTGATTCGCAACAAGTCGAATCGCCCGGAAATACCGGCACCCGTCAAAAACTCGATCGACAGCATCGTCAACATGTCGAAAGCGTTGGTCGATTCCGATGTCAAGAGTAAAGGCGTAGCTGAATCGATACTCAGAGTCAGTAGCAATCTTCAGACGCTTGTCGATGGACTGATAGATCTTCCCAACCTCAAACTACCTACACTCAAACTAAAGTACGACCTGATGAAAGTGACCGATTGCGTTGAACAATCGTTACTCTTAACATCGCCAATCGCACAGAAACACGGCATTGAAATACTGCCGATCTACGACAACCAACTTCCAACCTTTATCAATGGTGATATGTCTCTACTTCGTCAGATTCTCATCAATCTACTTGAAAACAGTATAAATTCAACCAAAGATATTAAAGCATTAGTATTACAAGTTAATCTTTTACAAAATAATAATCAAAATCGTCAAACAACATCAACAACAACAACAACTACTACTTCAACATCAAATAATAACAATAACAATAACAACAACAGCAATAATAATGTATTCACAACTATTCAATTTGAAATTAAATTATCATTATCATCTGAAAGAGTACAAAAAGTGGAACAGCCATTCGTAGAGATTGATAGTGGAATTCAGCAATGTCAGGACATTATTCAAATGATGGGAGGTTCTATTCAAATTGGACAGAGCGGATCAACCTATAAATTTACCATTAGTTCCTCCTATGTATCGAATCTACCGCCAAACTACAATTACAACCGAAGAATCCTTACCATCTCTCCGAATTACTACCGACGACAAATGCTTTCCAAAGTTTGGCATCGATTCCAATGTCACGGTGATTTCGTACCAAAGTTTTTATTGGTAAATATCAACAATATAATATATCATCATTATCAATTCCAAATACTAATAATAGTTCCATTCTTTCCAGAAAGAAGATATTTTAAATATTGTAGAATCAAACTATGAATTTGTTTTTATAGATTTCTCATATGATCAAGCGATCAATGAATTCATTGGCAATCTCTCTTCTCTGCGATCAGAGATGAAGTCAAAGAAAATAATTGTTGTCATCATCGACAGTACATTCCCATATATACATAGAATCACACCATTCATTGATCATATATTGATCAAGCCAACCAGTTTAGATACTATAGAAAGCTTAATTAAAATCTAAAATCAAAATCAGATATCAAAAAAAAAAAAAAAAAAAGTTTCACAAAGCAACTAACTTTATAGACTTGCATAGATAGCTTCTGTTTAAAATATATATAATTTTATTAATAATACAACACACAATCCAACCAAAATTTCAAGTGTTCAACGTTCAACAAGTTCAACATCCAACCTTTATAAATATTTCAAGAGTATTGAAATTTTCATATCCATATCCATAACCACCTAACCAACAAACCAACCATATGATAATGTACATTTATAATATATTTATTAAAGTTATTTATATTATTTCCAAAGATATTGTTTTTTTTAATGATAATCACAATCAAGTTAAATATATTAAACCCCTTATTTTTTTGTTCTATAATTATTATTATTCTTTGATTATTTTTATGTTATCCATGGATTATATTTGTTTATTTATTTACAAAACTAGAGCTAACCATCCTGCAATTAGACCTACACCGCCGATTGGTGGTACAAATCCCTTTTATTTTTAAATTAATTAATTAATTAATACTTTTAAAATGAGTTAATAAAATAAATATAACACAACACAACATACCATTTTCTTTTGACCAACAGTCATATAATATAAGGATCCAGAGAACAATACAACACCAGAAGTAAACATAACACCAGCAAAATTTGGGTTTTTGGAAAATGGTGCCATCATAATTGCAACTATAATATCAGTAACATTCGTTCATTTATCACGTGAGTGTTAATAATTAATATAATCTAACTAAAATCTATACAAATATAATGTTAAAATGGTATGCTACCGACTTGAATGTAGTAAATGATAGTGAGAAGCTGTTTTCCAATAATCCAATTTAACAGGATCACTAACTTTCTTTTTCAGACCATGACTACCGAATGCACCAAGACCAACAGCGGAGGCAGCTGACAAACCACCGATTTTCCACCAAATCGATTGTGATGCTGATGCTAATATATTCATCTTTTTTTTTTGTAACTAATAATTATCATAAATAAAGATGAAATGAATGAATAATTATGTTTGTCATTTTTTGATGATCATAGTGCCAAAGCCTTTTTTTTTTTTTTTATTCTTTGATTTTTTTTTTTTTTTTTTTTTTAAGTTTAGCTTTGTGTAAAAAAAAACTCTTTTAATAACCATTCAACACACACCTAATTAGTGTATCATCTTTGTATTGACACAACCAAGTTTTTATACCATCGATTCGAATTGTTGTTGCATTCAGAAGATCAAAACAACACATCAATACATCACATACTATATATAATATAATATATATTCTAAAAATAGTTTTTAATAATTTATTTAAATTAAAATCATATATATCCGATAAATAAATAAATAAATAATATATAAAAGCATGATCAAAGCACTATCAGCAATTAAAGATCATGTTAAATCTATAGATGAAGGTATATATTATTATTACTATTACACATTTACAATAAGTCATTTGAATTATTAATCATTAATTGTCTGCATCAAAACAAATCAACTAAAATTTAGAGGAAAGAAAGACAGGTCCAAATGTAAGTGACATTAAGAAATTCGAAAGAACATATAAAAATGTACAAAAGTTGATTGAATTACAAACCAATCTCAAAAAATTACGTAAGTTCAGACAGGTTATTTAGAGGTGTCATGTTTGGTGATAAAACAAAGAACTAAACAATAACAATATATATTTTATATATATTAAATTTATAGAAAAAGAACAACCAGAACCAACATTATCAGATCAACAGATTGTAGATCAATTCAAGAATTGGTTGGCATCTAATGGTTGTCAAGAATCATTGGATAAAGTAAAAATTGTAAGAACTCTGGCAGAGGGTACCGGTTTGATTGCCAACACAGAGATTAAGGAGGGCGATGAATTCATCAAGGTACCACTGAAACTGTTCATGTCGCAAGAGACTGCTTTCAAATCGATCGGAGACAAGGTGTCACGTGAGCCACTCTTTAAGATGTTGCCAAACATGCTGTTGGTGATCCACCTCATTCAAGAGACACAGAAGCAACAGCAGTCGTTCTGGGCACCGTACATCCGTATGCTCCCGAAATCCTACAAGACAGCGCTCTATTTCACACTGGCCGAATTCCAGCTGCTCATCGGATCACCCGTCCTCGAGGAATCGATCAACACCTACCGTAACACTCTGAGACAATACTGCTTCCTCTACGATTTCTTTGGAAAGAATCCGGGTATTCTCTCGACCTCGAATTTCACATGGGAGTTGTTTGTGTGGGCGGTCTCCACGATGATGTCGCGTCAGAATCAGATCCCGTTCACCAACACCGTTCCGGCTGCCGCTCCGTACATCCAACACAACGTGCAACATTGTTTGATTCCATTCTGGGATCTCTGTAATCACGTTGCCACCGGAAAGATCTCGACCTACTATGAGTCGGATTCTCACGCTCTGACTTGCTCTGCGGTCAAGACTTTCAAGAGTGGCGACCAAGTTTTCATAAACTATGGTGACCGTCCAAACTTCCAGCTACTGCTATACAGTGGATTCTGTTTGAAGACCAATCCAAACGATACACTGAAATTCAAGTTGCAACTGGAGGACGACGAGTTGCACCACGACAAGATGCACATTCTCGAGGAGCGTGGAATCTCTCAGAGTCCACAGATTACACTCGATTCGAACGCCGCCAACACCTCGCTACCAGCGATCGTGTTGCCATTCATGAGAGTCTATGCGATGAACGAACAGGAAACCGCCAAGGTTGCACCGAAACTCGAAGCGGGACACAGTCACCACGACCACTCCAATTGCAATCATCAACCAACCCGAGAAGCATACACACTGGTGAGCGAACAAAACGAGTTGGCAGCATACAAATCGATTGTCTCTTTACTGAAAAAGCGATTGGCAAGCTACCCAACCACTCTACAGGAAGACGAACAGATGCTCTCAAAGAATCCAGCCAATTTCATTCGTTTTACATTATACATTAAGATTGCAGAGAAAAAGATTTTGGATAGATATATCAAGCATGTCGAATCGATGATTGAAAAAGGTGTAATGACATACTATGTCGAACCGGAACCAGAGGAAGAGTGTCATGATGATCATGACGATGACGGTCATGGACACAGCCATGGTGGTGGACACGGTCATAGTCATGGTGGTGGACATGGTCATAGCCATGGTGGTAGTCATGGTGGACATGGACACAGCCATGCTGGTGGACACGGACATAGTCATGGTGGAGGTGAAGGTGGACATGGACATAGTCATGGTGGAAGTGGAGGTGGTCATGGACATAGTCACGGTGGAAGTGGTGGACATGGTCATTCCCACTAAAAAAAAAAAAGAGAAATAATAATAAAAAAAAAAAATTAAAAAAAAATTCAAAAAAAAATTTATACAATGAGAATGATTATAATCAGATTTGATTAAATCTCTTTCTCTCTTTCTCCCAACATCTCAAAAAACAAAAGATTTTTGATTCAAGTAAAGAAAAATTAAGAAAAATCAAAAAATTAAACAACAATCGGGGGTTTAGGATTGAGACAACAAAGAATTGTGTTTGGTCAAGCGAAAGACCATGAAAGTCGGAGTTTGAACACAATACCTCAAAAAAAAAAATACATGAATATTTTTTTTTAATTTTTTTTTGAATTATTTTCAATTTTTGTTTCATTTTCAAATTTTTTGGAATATCTTTTGCTCAAAAAGTCAGACTTAACATTTCATTCAGTTCAGTAACATCTAAATTTTTAATATATATTTTATTTTTATTAGTCAGCATCAGTGCAGTTGTTGTTAGACTTTTAATAAATTCTTTGAATTAAATATTTAAGTTTTTTAGTTAGTTATTACAGATCAGATTGCCTATTCAATGTCTGAAAACGACAACAATCAAACACCACCACCACCACAGTCACATGGTTGTATCTTTGCTTCGGCAGCAGCTGACATCAAAGAATCCATCAAGAATGCTTCTCTAATGGAACCGTATGTGTTTTTTATTTCAAACATGGGGCAGACAAAAAAAACAAAAACAACACGTGAATGCATGAAATAAAGTTTATTGTCTTTGCATCATTTCTCAAATAATTATTATTATTTTTATACCGAAATGAAATATGCAACAATAACAACATGCATACATTAATCTAATGTTTAATTAATTAGTTTGTCCGAAAAACATTAATCATTAATATTAATTAAATAATATTAATTATAATATCTTTTTTTTTTAATATATATAGAGCAATGGAAGTAAGCACAGTTCATACAGGTGTCTATTATGGATCTTACTTGCAATTGGACGGTCTTTTAAATTGTCAAAAACCAGAGAGTGAGAAAGCAGGTAATCCAGCTCATGAAGAGATGCTTTTCATCATTATTCATCAAGTAAGTTTAAGATTGTTATTGACAAATGTGTTATAAATAGGGGGAAACTAATTCTAATTCTTGTTACATATTATAGACATATGAATTGTGGTTTAAACAAATCATTCACGAAGTTGATTCAATCGTAAAGATAATGTCTACTCCACCAACTCCGGAGCGTCAGAACGGTATCATTGTCAATCGTTTAGGTCGTATTATACAGATTCAAAAGTTGTTGGTAGAGCAAATCAGTATTCTAGAGACTATGACCGGTATGGATTTCTTGGAGTTCCGTAATCTCTTGGTTCCGGCATCGGGATTCCAGAGTGTACAGTTCCGTGTCATCGAGAACAAACTTGGTATTTTACCGACCAACCGTTTGCAATACCAGCAACACCATTACCACACTTTCTTCTCGGAGAAGGATCGTGACATGCTCCACAAATCCGAGAATGAAACATCGCTACTCGCACTGGTCATCAAATGGCTAGAGAGAAATCCATTCTTAAACTACAAAGACTACGACTTTTGGTCATCCTACAAGAATGCTGTCGACAAAATTCTTGAGAGAGACTTGGAGAGAATCAGAAACAACTCGAATTTGACCGACGATATTAAAGAACAAAACTACAAAGAGGTTCACAAGAATATGGAATCATTCAAAACACTATTCAACGAAACCGAATATAATAACAAATTGGAGAAGGGTGAAGTTAGACTTACATACAAGTATGTTTTTTAATAGGTGTTGCTAGCAACAAACATAATAATATTAATTTTCGGAATTCTTATTATTAATATTATAGGGCTATTCAATCTGCTTTGTTAATCTATTTGTATAAAGATGAACCAATCTTCCATACACCATTCATCATTTTGAATCAATTGACAGAGATTGACGAGTTATTGGGAATGTGGAGATTCCGTCACATGATGATGGTACAGAGAATCATTGGAGCCAAGATTGGTACTGGTGGATCATCAGGATATCACTATCTTAGAACCACTGTTGGTGATCGTTACAAAATTTTCTTGGACCTCTTCAACTTGTCCTCATACCTCATCCCAAGAAACACTCTACCACAGCTTCCAAAATCAGTCAGTGAGCAAATGGAGTTTGCTTGGTCACCATTATAATCGTTTAAATATGTAAATTATTATATTCATTGCAAACAACTTAGCAACAACAATAGAATAGCTCATATCACAACAAAACTTATAAAAAAAACAATTATTATTTTATTAATTATTTTTTATTAGTTTTATTATGTTTTCGCTTATCCATTCTTTTGTCAAGTTTGAATTTGAAATAAATCCACCTTTTAAATTGTTTGAAAGAAGGAATGAGTAATCTTTATCTATTATGCGAATCTTGACTTTGTTTACATTGGATATTTGGAAAGTAATGGTTTTTAATCTTGGTAGATTGTCAATGGAATGGTGGTGTAAAAATAGGAACCTGCTACACTCTTCCACGCTGATTGTCAGAATTAAATGTTCTATGGTCATCAGTGATCCCATGAAAATACAATGACTATAGTCAGAGGAGATTCGGAAAGTATCCATTTGGGTTGGTACGTCACACATCTGATTGAAGCGATATCCAAATTCAAGATGAGAAATTGATTTCGGTATCGATCTAGGTTTAATCGGTCGGTTAAATCGATATCCAAATTCCAGATACTCCAAAGTCTGAGGTAAATAACTAAATTTAATAGGTTGATTGAATGAATCCCCAAACACCAATGTCTTTAGTCTCTTTGGGAGCAGATTGGGTCTGAGTTCACAGTTGAAATTATATCCGAATATTAAACATTCTATACTATCTGGTAATGAATTTGGAGCTATTTTTTGATCAAAGTTATCTCCAAATATCAATGTTGTAATATGATTTGGAATTAAATCCTTTTCAATTGGTTCATTATAATTTTTCGCTAATTGCAAAGTTGTAACTGTAGGTGGAATGATATCTTTATCATAAAAACTATCATTAAATCTTAAAAACCTATTATTATCCAGAAATTCTAAATATTACTAAAGTTAGATTTTAATGAATTTAAACTATTTAATAAATAATATTACCAAAAAATATATTCTTTTTATCATTTTCTTCTAAATTTACTTTTCCAATATTATCACTTAAAAATTCTATTTTTATGTTATTATTATTTACCAAAGGAACCATCCCAAAATGTAGTTTTTCATGATTAGAAAATCTAATGAATTTATCTTTTTCTTGAAATAATTTCCTACATGTCAAAATAAATGATACTCTATCTATATTATCTGGTATACTATTTACAATTTTATTTAGTAAAATATGAGGTAATGATAACATTGTTTTTTTAAAATAAAAAAATGATTAAAGATGAAATCTTTCTATTATTATTACTATTAAAAACAATCATATAAATAAATATCTAAGTTATTATTCTTTATAAATAAATTTAAAATAAATAAATAAACTAAACCATGTATTTGTTTTAACAATATTACAAACCAAGAGTGTTTAAAACATTTTTTACAATTTTTTTACTATCTCTTCAAAACAACCACACTCTAAATCTCACACTCTTCCAAAACAAACTAAATGGTTTATGTTTTTCGCACTAAAGCAAATACATATAAATTCTATCTTTTCACTTTATTGATGTTGAACAATAGAAAAAAAAAAATGTAATTTAAAATAAATTAATTTTTTATTTTTGCTTGTTTTGCAAAATACATTAATTTTTATTATTATTTAAATTATTACAAACTAATGTAAATCAAGGTTATTATTATTATCAAGTTGGTTCTAACCATCTATTGTGCCTTTTCTTTTTTTGTTTCGAAGTTTTGAAGTTTCGGCGCTGAGATCTCTTGAGGAATCAAGTTTTGAAACGGACTCGTATAGTTGTGCTTCGGTGAGTTGTGGTAGTTCGTTGAGGAACTTCTGGATGACACCGACACTCGCCAAATTGTAGGTCTTTGATTGAATGAGGTGAACACGTTGGAGAATCTTACTCAACATCTCGTATTTGAGAAGATTGATTTGGTCGGATGACTTGGTCGATTTGTTACCTTCGGTAATACCAACCAAATGGTTAAAGTAACTACCAAGATATGGAACGGCAGGTGGTTCAACGGAATCCATGATCTTTCTGAGTTTCGAGAGAGAAGTCGGTGAGATCATCTCCTCAAATTCCTGAAAGATTGCATTTGCCTTGGAATTGTTGATGTAGAACCATGTAGATTTCAATCTCAACACAGCACCATGTTTCATACCAGCAATAATAGCAATTGCACTATTGAAATTCTTTAATACCCAACAATTCTATAAATAAAAATAATAATAATTGGTTAATAGATAAATATTAAAATTTGTTTTAACTATAGTATAATTACCAATGCAATATTAATAAATTTAAATATCAACATAATTCTCTTGTCCAAATTGTAACATGTGGTAATTTCACTTGCAACCCAACGAGAGATGTAGTTGAATCGATTGGTTACATTGACGATGGATTGGGGTGGATTCGACTGGCTTTGTACATAGTCAAGCAGTTCATGTTTGGTAATTTTAATTATGAGTGATTGGTCTATGATTGATAGTTGTCTGGCAATCTCGTGTGATTTCAAGTCCAGGAGAGTGAAATTCTCCTGATAAATGAAATCGGGAATCGGTGGTTGTTCCCAACTCTCTTGGTCTTCATCGGGCACATAGGTTCCATCTCTACGCATCTTGATAATGTTGGTCAGCGAAGTGATTTGATTCTTGATCGAGTAGGTCGAGGTTGGCATTCCTTGCTCGACTGTCTCCTGACAAGTCTTACAAAACTCGAGAAGATTAGCCGATTGCTTCTCATTGAAATCCTCCCAGTTTCGGTCAACCCAACGCTGAACGAATCTCAACACCTTTTGTTTGATAATCGGTGAGTTATTCTTTCCAGTATGATAGAATCGCTCACTCAGCAACTGAATTAGCGTATCTACATTGGTAAATAACATATAGGTATCAAAAAACATATTTTCCAATTCTTTACCTATAATAATAAAAATAAAATGAGCAAGTTAGTTATAATGTTTTCCAAGTGTGATAAAGATAATTTCACAAAACTTACTATGTCCTTTCTCATGAGATAATGCATTTACCAACATTTTAAGAGTGGCAGCTTTAATCTTTGGTACACCATCTTCAGAGGTAAATTCAATGTCAACATTGATGACTGGACTTGCCATAAGATCACGAATAAAGTCATCACCCTCAAGGTAGATGCTGGAGGTAAGGTTACCAGTGCTGGTCGATTCACGAAGTACTCCACCGGATTCTTCACGCTTCTTGAGTTTACGCTTGCTCGGATCACTGGAGCCACCGAGTGACTTGCGCGTTTGAAGTGCAGCAGCTGCTGCCGGAACAAGCAGTGTACTGATACTACCGGAGTGTCCGTGGTTCGGTTTCGTTGGTAACACCAGTGCGGTCAGCCTCTTCTTTGAGTTGGATGGTGGAATTACCAGCGATTTATCGTCGACGTTGATCTCCTCAACGAATTCCAACTTCGATTGTTTCAATAGTTCGAGTTTCTGTGCGACCGGAGTCGGTTGTTGGTCGGAAATTGGAGGTGACTTGCGGTACGACGAAGAAACAGCGGATGAACTTGAACTACTGCGATTGATAACCGTTGATTCTGTCAAGCCGACATCGTCGCGATTCGAAGTATCCAACAGGATAGACGAGGTCATAGGCATCGAATGACTAACCATTTCGAAATGAGCACCCATTCCACCACTTGAATAACTCATATTCTTCAGAGTATCTTCATAGGTAACCTCCATAGGATCAACAAATAATATTGGATTGGCAGATACTGGATTTACAGAGTGCGATAGATGTTGATTGGAATTGGAATGAGAATGTGTGATTGAATTATTGTTATTGTTATTGTTGTTGTTGTTACTGCTATTTGAATAATGATTGATATTATTGTTGACATAACTATTGCTATAATTATTATTATTATTATTATTATTATTATTATTTATAATGGTGGAACTGTTTATATTACTATGGCTACTATGACGAATTAAACTACTGATTACAGATCCATGAGTATTATTATTGTTGCTGTGGTTCGTTGGTTGATCTTTAGTGTGTATAAATGAAGCATTTATGTTATTGTTACTAAAGCTATTGGAAAGCTTACGGTCACGCTTTCTCGGTGTTGGAGAGTTGTCCGATGGAGTCACACTGCAACTACTTGTCGTAGTAGTAGTATTGGCGATATTGGCCAATGAAGAGTTACTACCATTTCTCTCTGGGAACGATGGACGTGGTGTAGATGGTGAGCTGGTACATTGATTGATAAGAGATCCATTGGAATTTCTTGGTGTCAGAGAATCTGTTGCTATTTTACTGTTATTCTGTTGTTGTTGTTGTGATTGTTGCTGTTGTACCTGTTGTTGTTGCTGTTGTGGATTCTTTAATTTTGCTGTCAAGGTTCCTTTGGCTAATGCAAAAAAATCAAATATTTTGGAACTTTTCTTCTCCTTGTGATGTCCTCTTGGTGATGTAAATGCAGAGGTAGATTTACTCAATCCATTCGATGGTTTCGTGTAGTTATTGTTGTTATTATTATTGTTATCAATAGAGTTTGGTGATACTAAATCTTGGTGATTTCCTCCAATGTCATCATCTTGCCAACTATCACCAGACGAAGAGGATGTAGTATGCATCAACTGCTTCTCTTGTTCCATGCTGTATTCGTAGGAGGTAAACGAGCGGACACGTGCACCCAATCCAAGATTACTACTGCTACTATTGTTTCCAGCGGTTGCCAACTTTGAGAGGTGGTCGTTCGAGATGGAACTACTCATCATGGAAGTCGAACTATTGTTATCGTCGCTAGCTAAACTATTGATATTGTTTGGAATACTTGTAGTAACAGACAAACTATTCTTTGATAACTTCAAAGGTGGTACTTTTGGTCGAGTTTCAGAGTTTATAATTGGTGATGAACTTGTTGAGGTGATTGGTTGTTGTTGAATATTGGTGGATGTTGGTCTTGTCGGACTAATAATTGCTGAAGTGGACAGTCTCGATTTGTTATTATTACTACTATTATTGTTGTTATTAGAGAGTGATGGCATTGAAGGTGGTAAAGGTAGAGGTTTAGGTGGTTTTCTCGAAGGTGAGAGTGGTGTTTGGCTGGGTGATAATGGTTCATTTCCTCCACTGGCGGAATGAGGTGACAACGACATTTGTTCCATCATATTACTGACTTGAGAGGCATCGGATTGATTGTTGGCAATCGATATCGATTGAAGTCTAGGAATCTCAACATGTAACTTTTCATACTTTAGTTGTTGTTGTGGTTGTGGTTGTTGTTGTACTATTTGTAATTGTGCAGTTTGTTGAATTGGAAGTTGTTGTTGTTGATTCACTCTCTTTACAATATTATTATTAATTGAGAAATCTCTAAGTGTCTTCCATTGTTTTACTTCGGGTGGTACCTCGGGTATTTCGTTGTGGTCTAGATAGAGTGTATGCAGTGGAAGTGCAAGAAAACAAGATGGAAACTCTGTCAATTGATTATGATTGAGACTGATCTTCTCTAGAGTAGCGATAAACGAGAGAGGTGTCACAGACTGACCAGTCTTGAACCTATTACTATTGATATTGATCGATTTCAACAACGCTAATTCCGCTACTTCATTCGGTATCGAATCCACTTGATTATGTGATAGATCGATTCTCTTTAATTTTGTTAATTTCTTTATTTCACCTGGAATTGTTTGTATTTGATTCTTTTTTAAATTCAATCTAAAAAAAAATTAATTGAAAAATGAAAAATGATTGATCAGTAATTTTTCTAAAAACGGAATAGCAATTATTTGATGTTACCTTCTTAATGATGGTATATTACAAACACCAGTTGGGAATCTATTTAATTGACAATGATCAAGTGATAATACTTTTAGACTTCGAAAAGCAGCCCAGTTTATGTAGCAACGGTCAAAGTCGATTTTGTAGTTCTTTCCTAAGAGAAGACGCGGTAGTTTCACCAGTTTCGTTTGATCCACTTTAAATGGGAAGTAGGTAAAGTGAGTACCCTCTAGATCGAGTCGATTCATTTTCGAGTTGCTATTGTTGTTTGGAGTGACATCACCCTCGGAATGGGGAGATTGCAGCGGTGATACATTGATAGATATAAATTGTGTCGGTAGTTTAGAGGTCGGCAATCTAGACACCGGAGACAACGCACTGTTTCCTGGATATCCACCGTTTATATTATTACCGCTACTACCATTACTATTGTTATCATCGTTACTGTTGTTTCCCATTATCAACGGTAATTGTATTTGAATTTGTTGTTGTGAAAGTTGATAACCTTCAGTTTGTGACAATTGATGTTGTAGTTTTTGTTGTTGTTGTTGTAGTTGAAGTTGTTTGTTGTTGGACAACGACGATGACGATGATAATGATTGTATAGGCGGATACATGTAAGCATAGGTTTTCGTTAGGAATGCGGGCAGTGTTGGATTGTGTGAGAGCGACAGTTGTTTGAGCATCGGGAGTTCGGTGAGATTGGGCAGTTCCTCAAGGAGATTCGATGTGAGAGAGAGGTGTTCCAGTTCGAGCAGTTCGGTGATCGTCGGCGGCAGCACTACCAGGTTGTTCCGGTCCAACTTTAGAGTATTCATTTGGCGCCATTTGTTGATTTCATTCGGTAGTTTGGTGAGCCGATTGAAACTAAAATCTGCAACCATCAATACCGGTGTTGCCTCTATCAGTTCTATAGAGATTTCAGTCAAGAGATTCTCACTGACATTTAACGACCTCAATTTATTTGTAATTATATATGCCAAAGAGATCTCTTTTAGTTTCATCCTAGATAATCCTAAATTATCTGTTGACATTCCAGCATTTCCATTTTGAAAATTATTATTTTGTTGTTGTTGTTGTTGCTGTTGCTGATTTTGCTGAGTATTTTGAATTTGTAACAACATTTTTTAAATTCTTAACTAACAAATTATATATAAGTCAAACAAAATTAATTTATTAATAATTTTTATTTATATTTATGATTAAACTTATTGTTATGTTAAAATGAAATAATTTTAATAGAATTATAAGAATAATAATAATATATTGAATGATTTTAAATATAATTTAAAATCTGATGCTGACTGGTGTGTTGATTGATTATATATGTTTTTGAAAGAAAAATAAAATAAAATTTAGAAATAATAAATATTCAAAATGTATATGATTGATTATATATATGTTTAAAATTAAATCTAAATGTTTATAAATATATCTATATTCTTTATCTTTTTTATATTTATTGAAAAGAATATTTTAATTTTAATTAAATTATTATTTGTTTAAAAAATTAAATTACTAAGTGATGAAGTGTATTTCTAATTTACAGGTCGAAAATATAAAAGCAAATAATAAATTAAGGATTATTATTATATTATATAAAAATATATTTTGATATATTCTCTTGTTTATTATGATTTTGGTTATTTATGAGTGGTAAATGAATTCAACCCTGCATAGCTCTTAAATGTTCCAGCACTGGTGCTTGTTTTGATTATCATATAAAAATAATATATATATTCAAATTATTTATATATTTAATTAAACAAATTTTTTTTGATATTATTATATTATTGATTATAATATATGTGTGTGATCAATAATAATATTTTTGTTTGTTTGTTTGTATGTATGTTTATTGTTATGCTGCTCTTCTTTTTGATTAGCATTTCTTCTTTGTTCTATTTCTATAAACAACATCAACATCAATAATAACAACAATAACAATAACCAAATTAAAAACAACACCCACCTATGCAAATACTATACAATATATTATTGTTTTATTTTTTTGTTTTTGCTGGAGTACTACTAGCAAGTTCAGTGTTCAATTTAACGATTTGGTCAAATTAGTATATAATATATATATGTATATGGTATATATAATTATATTTTGATGGATGTTTTCTTGAATGTGTGTTGGTGGGTGGGGCGTGATTGGTAAGAGGAGATCAATTATTTTCTTCTCTCAATAGAACAATAGCTTTTTGAATTTAATATTAATATTGAATAATATTGTATTGATAGATTGTATGATGATGTTGCAGGATGATGATGATAATTGGTATTTTTTATTAAATGATGATGATTATGTTGTTGTTGATGATAATTGAAATGAAAATTATTTATTGTAGAGTGTGTGTTTGATTTTGATAACAATAAGTATAGTCTATAAATTTAATTTTGAAAATTGGCAATCACAAACATTAACAATAATAAATATTCTATATGTGTTTATATATTTATTTTAAAATAATAATACCTAATTTTTGTTAGATAAACACACATTCACACACACAATCACAAACAAACACACATACACACATATAAATCATAAATATATATTTGATATATTGTTTTTCAATACCACACTCAACACACACCATCACAATTTATAATATTAAAAAAATAAAAACTTACTTAATTTAAATTTGGATAGTAATAATATTAGAATAGAAATTTATATTATATTAAATTATTTGTAGACAGTGTTTAATCATATGATATGATTTTTTTTTCTTATAGGATTATATTTAAACAAAAATATATAAAGTGATGAAATAATTTTTAATGAACAATGGTGTTTATAGCAATTGCTTCTTGTAGTACTTTGAATAAGGAAATAAAACCAAAGAAAAGTAAACAAAGAAATATAACTTTAAATTCGTGTGGATCAAAAACAAATAATAAAATAGAAAATTAAATGAAAGTGGTGTTAACACTACAAGTGACTTGTTTTGATTTTTTGTTTAACAGAAACTATAGTTATGTGCTACTGATTATATTTAGTTGTTGGTTTTTTTTTTTTCATATTGTTGTTATTGTTACTGTTGCTATGTAGAGTATACTAGCCATATCATATTCGTCGTTGTCTAATATAGATTTTAAAACAAATTACCATACTTAGACAAAATAATCTCACACACTCACACAGATACACAAACACAAATACTACATACTTTTAATTTTAAATTCAATTTTTTCCTTTTAAATATCATTTTTATTATTAATATTGTTACTGCTATTGTTATCTAGAGGTTCGATTCCATTCAATTCAATCCCACTATTTCTATAAACAAATAATTTTCACAGTAATAATAAAAAATACATTCTCCAAAAAAATTATAATTGTTTATTTTGTAAGTGTGTATTATAATGATTGTTTTTTATTTATCTCCTTTTATGGTGAGGTGTATGGGAATAGTTGTTGACTAATTAAATCAGATTGATATGATTGTTGTGTTTTAGTTTTTTTTAAAAATAAATATTGTAAATCTTTCTCCTTACGTCTCTGTGCTATGTGATTGCATCTAAATTCATCCATTTATTGTTAAAACAATTACAGCAACAATATAAATGTGCCTTATTATAAGTTTAGTAAAAATAATATAAAATAATTGTTGTTTTTATAGTATGGTACAATGAAAGATATAGATAAAGATGAGAATAGAATAGTAAGTTGGTTTTAATATTGTGGAATTATTTACCTTAATTATAATTATGTGAATTTATTTTTATGATAATTTTGTTTTATTATTGTTGGTATTGTTGATATTGTTGTTGTTATTGTTGTTATTGGTAATAGTAGTAGCATTATTATTACGATTGATAATTTGATCCAGTCGTCGACGAACAGGCTCAAGAGTTGGCAATATAGAGAGTATTGCCAGCAATCCCATGGATGCAATGGATTTAGCATCGAAAATATCACCGGGTTTGCTTATCTCTTGAATTGCCAAGCCAGCCTTGACGGCAAGGAATGTCGCTGGCATGATGCCAATGAAAGTACCGAAAGCAAACGTTGAAACGGGTACCTCTAGGAGAGGCGACGCTAAATTGATGAACCAATTCGGTAGGAACGGTGTGATTCGCAAGAATATCAAGTAGTTCAGTAGGGCGCTACGACGCTTGCCTACCTCCTGTGCAAACAACGATAGTTTATCGGGGAAGAAGCGTAACACCAGATTCCTACAGATGTGAAACGAAATGAGATAGCTACAGACTGCGCCAATCGTAGCGACCAAACAAACCAAAGGGAATCCAACCCACAATCCAAACAGACCGCCCGACAAAAAACTTAAGAAAATCGATCCCGGTATTGAAAATGCTTGTAAACTAGATATAACATTAACATTTATATATATTAATATTGATAATATATTGATTGATTGAATGAATGATTTGATAGTTACAATATATAGATAAAACCAAAAGTACTCATTACGATGAAATAGTTATCATCGGTGTATTGTGAAAGGATTTCGCTTAGAGTTTGTACATCTTGAAAATTGGTAGGTAAATGAAGTTTTGATCTATGTTCACTGTATTTATTGTTGTGGTAGATAATATTGATTAGTTAACAACATATTTAGTATGTGCATGTACAAAGTAGCATATGTGTTGTATGTACATACGGTTTAAGACTTGGGAAATTAAGAAATAAGAATATGATAAATGATATTGCAATACTAAATAAAATAAATAAAACAGATAGAGGTAAAGGTTCTTTTTTATATATAAACTATTATTTAATATATTATTATTATTATTACTTTTACTATTACTATTGTTATTGCTATCGTTATTATTTATATTGTTATTGTTAATATCTTTATTGCTAGTTTCATTTTGTTTCAAAAGTGATAGTTTAGATTGACTCATCTACTGTAATTATATTATTATATTACTTATATATTAAAACTATTTATTTTTTACAACTATAGTATTTGTTACTATTCTATTTATATATTGCTTGTATGAATGTAAGTAGTTTTTTGAAAAATGATATAAATAAATTGAATAGTGTTGTTGTTGATTACAACAAAAAAAAAAAAAAAATCAAAATTTTCATTTTCCAATATATTTGAGAATTCAAGTTGCTCAGTTTAGGTGTTTATGTTGGTGTTGCAAGTGTGAATCATTAACATTCTATTAAAAATAAAAAGTTTAGGATCTGGAAATTAATTATCAAAATCTTATTATTAATTTCTAAAAGAAAAATAAATAATTAAAAATAATAAAAAAAAATAATAAAAATACAAAATAAATAAATAATGTGTTAGATATATATTATTTTGATTGTTTTATCTTTTATTCTTCTAATAATAAAATCAAAGATAATAAAAAAATAAAAAAAGTATTTTGAATTGAATAAATAATTGATTATAATTACATTGTTTTAATAAAAAAAAAAAAAAAAAATATTTTTATTAAAATTATATTAAGAAGTTATTATTATTATTATTATGATTTATTATGATTTATTATTATTATTATTATTATTATTTTAAAATTACCAATAATTATTTTTGATTATGAAATTAAATTGATTTTGGTTTTGTTTTTCTTGTTTTTTTTTTCTTTTCAAAAATAGCAATAAAATTAGAATCGGGTTCACAGATGATGGCACCATCTCTGCATGTTGCGCAGTGGTATTGATTTGGACAAACGACATCGCTGCAGTGATTGTTATTGTCTGGTACACATGCACCCTTGTCTCCACGTTGTTCACAATGGTATCCTGGTGGGCATTGTAAGATGCTACAGATGTGGACACCACCGGTGGTTGGGTTGTGTGGTTTGCAGCTTCCGTCGGATGGGTCACAATAGTATCCCCAACCACAGTTCTTACCCCAACATTTGTCATGGCCAGACGATGAACCGGATGACGAGGTTTGGCCGGAAGTTGACCATGGCTTGCATTGACCACTGTAGAGATCACACCATTTACCCCAACCACATTGAGCGTCGTTTTGACAACCACCAGATGAGGAGGATGAGGATGAGCTACCTGACGATGAAGTTTGACCGGAGGTGGAAGAGGCATGGACACAGGTTGGGACACCGTTTTGGACAACACAAATCAATCCGTCGAAACATTTGAAGTTGGCACATGAACTACCACCAGAGGATGATGATGATGATGAGGATGAGGAGCTACCAGAAGATGAAGTTTGACCTGAGGTTGATCCAGAGGTTGACCATGGCTTGCATTGACCAGTGGCGGTATCACACCATTTACCCCAACCACAGTCTACGTCCTTTTGACACTGTACACCGGAAGTACCAGACGATGAAGTTTGACCGGATGAGGAGCTGGTTGGTGACCATGGCTTACATTTTCCATCGATGTGATCACACCATTTACCCCAACCACATTGTTCGTCGTTTTGACAACCACCGGATGAGCTACCTGACGATGAAGTCTGACCGGAGGTGGAACCAGAGGTTGACCATGGCTTGCATTGACCATCGGAGGTGTCACACCATTTGCCCCAACCGCATTGAGCATCGTTTTGACAACCACCAGAGGTACCGGATGATCCTGACGACGAGGATTGACCGGAGGACGACGATGAGGAAGACCATGGTTTGCACTGGTGGTCGTTGGTATCACACCAGTATCCGTAACCACAGTCTCCTTCCTTCTGACAACCACCACCAGAGGTTCCAGAAGATGAAGTCTGACCGGATGCCTTGCAGACTGGCTTTCCATTTTCCATTTGACAGGTTTCATAGGCTTTACAACGTAAATTTAAACATGTTATTTCTACACCAGCATCGGTAGCAGGCTGACCGGCACTACTAGAACTTGGCTTACAGGTTGCAGTACCACCCACATCCTCACAATAAAATCCAACGGGACATTTTGAATTCAAACATGCGCCTATATAATATTAAAAACAAAAAAAGAAAAAAAAGAAAAAGAAAATTATTAATAACTATTTCAATAATATTATTAAAAATCCAATCTTTCTGGATTTTATTTTTAAATTTAGTAATTATAATCTTACCTTGACCAGATACATTTATAGCAGCTACGAGTAATACTAATAGCAAACTCGCAAATAATCTCATTTTTTATGTTTTATTATTGATAAATTTATAAAACTTAATAAATAGAGAAAGGGTGTTGTGATTGTTGTTATATAATAGATATAAAAATAATTCTACACTAAAATAGTTTTTAGATATATAAATATATTGATGCAAATGTAAATAGTCAACAAACCTATTGTATAATAATTTAATGATTATGATCAAATAAATTTGATTTGGTTTTTGTTGTTTTGAAACAAATCAATATAAATTAAAAAAAAAAACAAATATATATAAACAAATATATATTAATACTGATTATTTATATTGATATATTATTGTATGTTTATTTTTGAACATTTACTTTTTGAATTTTGTTGTGCTGATCAAGTGATGATAATATGGTGTTATGGTAGTAAGATGAAATGGAAATGTTAATAGCATGCTTATAGATAGTGTATTGCTATTTACGTTATCTATTCTATTTAGTGTTTGTTTGTTATTGTTTGTTATGAATAAATCAAGTTCTCATAGAACATGAATCAACTTCACTTCACTTTATCAAAAACACTCATTCTTTGCTCACTGCTCTTCATCTCTTCATATATTTATGCATATGAAGTGTGATTGTAAAATAGATTTGAGTTGTTAGAACCTAAACACTTTAACACGTGATTATTTATATTGATTGATTTGATTTTATGAGTGTTTTATATGTGTGTTTTATTTGTGTGTATGAGAAATATAAATGTTGTTTGTTTTTTTTTTTTTTGATGGGGTATAAAATTTTCATATTTTGTTTTGGTGAGTGTGTTGTTCAAAAGTAAATTCAGAAATCAAAATCATTATCGATGGAGGTGTGTATTTGGATGTATGAAAGAAACCCCAACAACCAAAATTACTAATGGGTTAGTGTTGTCATTGAAAATTAATTCAATTCTTTTCTTTATTAATTCAGTTGAAAACTAGAATCATTAATTTTTGTTTTTATCATATTGTTAGTATGTGTATTTGTATACATACATATTGTATATTAATGTATTTTTGGTCACTTACCTAACATTGTCATTCACATTACAATCTATCTTAATGTATAGTACATAATCATAAATGATGTAGTAACTTTATTCCTTTAATACTTCCACATAGCTTTTTATGCTTTGTAAATGTACAACTTCAAGCTACATCTTCAATCACCGCCTTTTTCAAGGATATATATGGAAATTTACTCAAAAATCTCATGATTATTTAACCTCTTTGTTCCAATTTAAGAATAACAATTTATAATAACAAAGTATATATTAATCTTCAATATAAAAATGAGTAAATTTTATGTCAATTCTTTTCTCTCAAAAGATAGTTTGCAATATGAGTTCTTATATTTTCATAAACTATATACAAGCCAAAGAACAAGAGACCCAGTTTCTAATTAAGTATATTGCAATATCAAATCATATTGTTGCATCTTCACATACTATGGCTATTTATTTATTTATTTATTCTACAGTATTAAAATTATTACTATTTAATTTTATTTCTTTTTTTAATTATTAAAGATCTATTGTTGAAAAAATAAGGTTGCACAATCTGTTCTGACACATTGATCATCTTGGAGAATAGATTCCCATTTTTTGTTTTCCAACGAAAACATTAAATTTCCTCTCTTTCCTTGGATTGAATAAATAAAACTTTGACCATCATTTGATTGATGATAAACCAAATCGTGGTACGAATGGCTTCCGATTATACTGTTATCAAACAATTTGATTTCATGTGTTTCAATGTTGATTCGTTGTAATCCTAATTCTGATACCATAAATATATTGCCACCGCCATCTGTACATGCTGCCAATACATTGTTACCAGGGATTCTTAATTGTAATTCAACTGCTGTTTTCTTTCTTATATCAAACATTAAAATCTTTTTAGTACCTCCAGATACAGTATAGATATAATCTTTGAAGATGAATGTTAGTATTTGGTGACTTGTAGCTACCATCGTTGAGTATTTTTCGAATGCTGAATTGTTGATCTCGTATCTGTAGATTTCAGTTATAAATTTATTAACTCCATCTAATAAATAGATATGATCTTGTCCATCATAACAAGCAGATAAAAATTGGCAATGATCAACTCCTTTCATTTCATTGATAACTAAAGTTTTGGTGTTAATTGAATACTTGATAAACTTGCTGTAGCCAAAATTAGCACCACCAAATATATAGATAAAGTCTTTAACTTTTACAATGGAGTTGAATACTGCAAATGAACTCTTCATTTCCATCTTGATTTGTTGTTCAAAATGAATGTTGTTTCGATCTGTAATATTGATGATAGATATTTTATTATTTTTATCAGTTGAAAATATATATGATTGTTTGGGTTGAATGATGTGTGATTGATTTGATTTCAATTTGAATGAAGATTGAAATTGATTCTTGATTTTATTGATTTGGTCATTATCGACTATCAATTGATATTGTTGTGATTTTGATGGTTGATTGTCATCACAATTATTCATTTTAATTGTTTTGTTGTGTTCCAGTAATACATTTAAAAGTGAAAGATCATCATTGTTTACTTTTTTAGATGAATCAGTATCGAAATGGAATAATGTATTGCTGTTGTTTGAGATGAATTCATTGTGATTCGATGATTGTGAAATCGATTCTATAATTGTTGATATTTGATATCTCTCTACTGTATCTGCTGATGCTGCTATTGGTTGTGAAGAGGAAGATGATGACGATTGTGAATCTGATTGGTGGTTGGTGAAGTGATTATTGATTGAATTCAATGATTTCATGATTTTAACTTGTTTCTCTATTTGTTGTTCTGTTTGTTCTTTACTATCGATGATCGGCTTCTTGAGTTTATGTTCTTCCACCACAAGGAATTCATGTAGCTCTTTGAATTCACTCGATATTTCATGCTCTGTTTTCTTTAATTTTTCATATTCTTTTACTTTTAATTTCAAAGAATCGAAAGTCGATTGAATACCTGTTTGAACATCTTTTAAGATTTCTCTCACACTATTATTATTATTATTATGATTATTATTTACTTCGCTTTCATCTGTGATTGGATCAGTCTTATTGTTGTTGTTTATCTTTGATTTAATGTTGAAAATATGTTCACATGAATGACCAAAGTGTTTTGTTGAACAGATAGAACATGTTAAAACATTACAATCAAAACATATGAACTTAAGACTTTTGTTATGTATTTCACAAATACTGTTACTATTCATTTTAAAGTTTATTTTTGATTTAAATCAAACTTTATTTTATAAATCGTCTGATTTGAATTTTGATCAACTTGTTCATTTAAGTTCATTTAAAAAAAAAAATTAAAAAAATAAAAATTTTTAGACTGTAACTAAAATATCTATTTGATTACAAATTTTTTTTTTTTTACAATTCAGAATGTTTTTTTATGTTTCTATTATTAATAAAGAAATTGATTATAACTTATTATGAGAAAAAAACATTTTTGTTTTATATGAATTACCTATACTACCACAATCATCAACAATGAATCACCGCCACTGCGACATGAATAATCCTATTGTCGAAGCGATTGGATCTGGTGTATCTACTTTAAACACAATTAATCGTTCATGGGAAAAAATGTAGGTTCCATTCACTAATAAAAATATTTAAAAAATATAATGAATCATATTTTTTTCTTTGAAATATTTAATTTTTATTTATTTATTTTTGTTGGAAACCAAAACCATATTGTTCGATTTGATAATTATCTAGATATTCACGAATTGATAAGATCTTGTTATTCTCGATTCTAAATATTAAAACATAAACGTTTGTGTATAATCTATTTCCATAACCAAGACCTCTTGACTTGGCCTCGACAACCACCTTATCATCATTCTCACCAACGATATAATCGGTTGCAATGAATGAAAACTCATCGAATCCTGCAATTTGATCCATTGTATTGATACGATCCTGTGCTATTCTTGTTCCGGCATGACTGTATTTGCTTTCATTTCCTAACATCCACCAAGTCGATGTTTTAGGATCACTGAACAGTGTTGATATCTTATCAAATTCTCTTGCATCCAAGTATTTAATAAATAATTCAGCTACTTGTTTTTTATTATTAATTGTTGATTGCATTTTATTGATTGCCTTTTAATTTTATTTATAGTTATATAAATATATTTATATTTTATTTTATTTTATATAATACTACTTGTTTATTTTAATATATTGTAATTTATTATTAATTTTTATTTGTTGATTTAATTCATCATCAAACATTTGATATTTATAAAATAAAAACATTATTCTTGATCTTCAACCAAAACCAATTTTGTTTCTTTTCTAATAACAGAATGATGCACTGGAATACCAGAAGACACCCCCATTATTAAAAATAATATCAATTAATAAACCACACACATCCAAGTTTTCATTCCAGAACCAATAAAAAAAATTTCATTTTACTTTTTTTTTTAATAATGCATAAGTTGATTACCTTTGCAGAATTAATAATATCATTATTAAACACAATCAAGTACAGCAGTATACCCATTAAATGATTCGTTTGGTTGTTACACTCTTGAAGTTTGATCAGTCAATGCATTGAAGAGACTTTTTACAAAGAAAAAGTAAATTAAAATAAAAAAAAGAATAATTAAAGATAGTTTTTATTTTTGATGTAGCTCTTATTTCTTTTAGGTTGTGTTTTTTATTATTTTCTATTATATATATAAATAATAAGTTTGTATTGTTTGTTAATTTGTTAGTTATTATGTTTTTATTGATTTCTATGTTGTTGTTATTGCTGGCTGTAGTTATTATTATTATTATTATTATGATTGTTATGATCGTTATGATTGTGTATTCTTTACTAAAGTCAATATTTCATCTTTGTTTACGAAAGAAATAGTGTTGTTTCTATAATCGAATTGACAAATCTCGGTGAAATCCTGTAGGTTTGAATCGATGTAGTTGATGATTGATTTGGTTTGACGATCACCGGTCAGATCTGTTTTCATATCGACAATGATCTCTTTGATTTCACCACCACTGAAATACTTTATCATCCAGCAATAAGCATGATCAAGACTGAACTGTAATAAAAATCGTTTCTCTTTGTTCAACAGCAGACTAACTTCTTCTTTTTCTATATAATAAAATATCAATCTAAAAAGTAATAATAATAATAATAATAATAATAATAATAATAATAATAATAATAATAATAATAATAATAATAATAATAATCATAATCATAATTAATTAACAAACACATTTATCATATCTTTATAAAATACTCAAACTTAATTAATTACATACCCTTGATTCCATAGATCTTTAGCATGTCTTTGATATTTAATAACTTTTAATGACGGTGATAATACCGACATGAACTTATCGAATTGTTCAATTGTTAGTTTATCTATATATATATATATATATATATATATATATATATATTTTAATTGTTTGTTAGTACTTATATAAACATACTATTGATCTATCTATCAATTATACTAACCCGATATCTTGTTTAACATTGATTTTAATGGTTCAATAGGTAGTGGACGATGATGCGATGTCATTCTCTTGTATATCTTTAAACAAAGATGAAAGTATTTCTGTAGTATATTTATAATTCTAGAGTGTGATACTTTTTCATAAACATATTGTTCTTTATCCAACTATTATTGTTATTAATATTATGATTATTAAGATTAAATTAATATATATAAGTTGTAATTGGTTTGTTTAATAAATTTTAACATACCAAGTAAATCTCTTCTTTTAAAAGTAAACTGAAATATTGTACCCATTGTGAATCGTTTACGAAAGCAATGAATTTATCGGATGGCTCTGTCTCTATGAGTACTTGGTGTTTGGTTGATTTATGAATGAGATTCAATGAGAATCCCAGTGAACTGAATTGTGTGGTTCCATGCATTAATTTTATTGGAACTTTTGCAAGATAACGACTTCCTTCCAATTGAATATCGAATGTTTGTTGTTCAAATAAATTATTCTTATTATTATTATTATTGTTATGTTTTATACTATTACTACAACTGCTACTATTAATACTACTACTACTATTACTACTATTAATGTTATTACTACTACTGCTACTACTATTAATGTTGCTATTGCTGTTGTTGTTTGGTATTAAAGAATGATTATGATGATATTGTGTAGATTGATTGTTGAGATGATGTATTTTGAGTTTGCCGTAGGTGTATGGGAATTGCGAGGTTGTGAGCATCTCGACGATCATTTCATCGGCTGGAATCTGTTTGTAACGTTTTAGGATGCCTGGGAATGGCTGACGCGAGTAGACCAGTACGGCAGCGGGACAACCGACTCCACTCTGCTGGAATGACTCTATCTCCTTGAGAAGGATGGCAAGATGACGCGAGAGATTCTCTAGGTCGACACACTTGTGCAACAGGTTGTAGGACACCACGAATTCAGCGTGGAACACCAACTGTCGAATACAATCAACAAAGGTTCGAATGATGGTGATTCCCTGGCTGATCTCCTGTGCCAGCGCCATTGCGTATTGTGTATCGAATTCCGGGTTGAAGTCGATGGCACCCACGAACGTACGTTGGTGCTGAACGAACGATGCACACATCACTCGCAACTCTTTGGCTTTCTTGACATAGTATTCCTCTTCCTCTGCCAGGTAGCAATCGAATTCAGTGGTGCCACCACCGACCAATGATTTCTGTCGTTCTACACTCGCCAACTGATGTTGTCGCAACTCATCCAACAAAAGTAAAGGTTGTAATTGTTGTAATTCCATTTATCTTAATCTAATAATTGATTATTGATTATTATTATTATTATTATTATTATTATTATTGTTGTTTAACTGTTTTGTTTTCTTTATGACATATAATAATAAATATTTGGATAAATAACAATAAACGATTATCTGAAAATAAATATTTAAATGTGTGTGTGTGTTGGTGATTGCTTTTTTTTTTTTTTTTTGGAAACGCGAAAAAAACAGAGTAATCGGTTTTTAAACTAAATACGAATATATATTTTGTTTAATGTAATAAAACTAAAAATATAATAATGAATAATAAAATAAAGATTAAGAATTATTGTGTAATGTTTGAGTTTCGGTTGTTTGAGAATTAATGTTTGAATGGTTGACTTTGGGCTAATGTTTTATAGATAATAATAATCGAAAAAAAAAAAAAACAATTTTGTAATTGTGTGGAGAATGAAAAAATAAAGAAAAATGATATTAATGGGGCTATTTATATCCTTATGATTATGATCATTAATAGTTTAAAGAAAAGGGAAGAATTTAAGGAGGGGGCTATGATTCCGAAGGTTTAGATTGTTTATTAAAAAAAAAAAAATGTGTGATGATATTTTTTTTAAGTTAAATTTGTTTTGATGTTCTTTTTTTTACAATTCTAAAATTACTTATTTAATGATATATCTATTAATTCTTTATGACAAAATAAAAAGTATTTTTTATCTATCTATGTATGATCATTAATATTATTATTATTCTTTAAATTTTAATTTAATTTAATTTAATTTTTTATGTTTTTTTGTAATTATTACTCGTTTTCACAAAATACAAAAACGAAAAAAAAAAGTGGTATCTTTGGTTGTTTTGGGTCTAATTTTTTTGTTTTTTTAATTAATAAAAACCATGATCATTTTTTTCAGAGACAAATTTTGCAAAGTGAAAGTGTATCTATCTAATAGTTGGCACCAAGATTTTCTGACTAAAAAAGGATCATTAAGATCGCAGTTACTCTGAGTTTCGCTGAGATTTTCGAATTTTTACACCTAATCCTACTCATTGAACCACCAATTCTCTTGGCTAAATAAATTTAATCATGAAAGCAACTTCTCGGATTTTGAATTATTATATTTCTGATTGGCACCAAACACTAATTTGAAATAGAATATTTTGCAAATATACAAAGACTGTAGACCAGGAGGTTTTAGAATAGATTTGATCAAACGCAACACCACATTCAAATAATCCAATATTTGACAGGCTAAGCTCAATTTTCTCAAAATAATAATAAACAGATTTTTTAAGTGAATCTCTCACCATACCTTCGAAATCATAATAAAAAAAAAAAAAAAAAAATCCATACAATAAATTATAAGCAATAAGTACTAAAAAAAAAGCAAATTATTTAAAATAATAAATAATAAAATAATGTGAATCGATTTATTTAAATAAAATATAATTTAACTGTAAAAAATGGCGATTAAAAAAATAACAACAAAAAGGTGAAGAGATGATTTGACTTTTGTGGCGTGAAAAACTAATTAGTTTGTTTAAGCTTTGCTTTGCTTGCTACGTGTACATTACTACTTTTTTTTTTTTCTTTTTTTCTTTTTTTTTTTTTTTTTTTTTTTAATGTACTATACGTAGATGTCGAGGTGAATCTGGTTGAATTATTGATCTTCTTGGAGAGTCTGGCGCACTGCCACTGCTGTTACTACTGCGTCTTGGAGAGTCTGGTTGTGAGAGTAGTTGTCTTGGCGACTCTGGTGCAACGCCTCTGAATCTTGGTGATTCACCCATCTGGTCGGCAACAGCTTGGCAGAAGTTCTTAATGACTTTTTCATCGTTCATGAAATAGAGTGTTGGTTCGAACAACTCACATTCACTTAGACATAATTTACCTTTATATCTTAACTATATATAAATATTAAAGTTAGATTATTTGCTTTTGTTTTTTTCTTTTGTTATAAAAACCATCAACTTACCATATCAATTCTTGAATATAATACTCTTCCTTTACCAGAAATATATTTAATAACTTTGGTGGCTGCTTCAATGTCGGATGGAGCAGGACATGTGTTTCTTTCAACATTACCACCGAACCGTTCTTGGACACGGAAGTCCTCGGGCGACGGATGCTTGATGATGGAATGAGAGAAACGTTTGTTGAAAAATATAAAGGAGACTTCACCTTCGGAGTGGATTGAATCTACGAATGGCTGGATAATCATGTCAGAGTGTTTGAGTAGTTTTCTAAATTGCGATTCGAGTAGGCAGGCGCTCTCGAGTGTAAATCTATGGGTACCGTAACTATCGGCTCCAATGGTTGGCTTCATGACAAACTCTTTTTGGCCAGTCTCGAATTTTCCATTATCGAATCCCTGTTGAATGTAATCGGACAAGGAGATTGGATTTTCACAGCTCTTAACGAAAATACTTGGTACAATGGTAATACCTTGATTTTCGAGCTCCAACAGATACAATTTATTCCAATTCCAATAAATAACGTTACTGTCATTTAATAATGGAATCTTCATTGAATCAATTTTAGTTAACCATTCTCTAAATTGTTCAATCTTTTCAACATAGTCCTAAAAATATATATATATTTTTTTGGAAATATTAGAAATTATAACTTTTTTTTATATTTTTATTTTTTATAACTATTTTTTCTTACCCATGCAGATCTAATTATTAATAGGTCAAATTGATCCCATTGAACGGAATAATCATCCCAAATTACACTCTTACACTCATAGAGTTTAGAGAGTTGCTGGATCATGCCATGATCATCAGGAGCTACATTAGGATGGTCCTTAGAAGTTACCATACCAATTCTCAGAGTCTTTAGAGATAAGAGATGGATGGACTTGGCAAATGTATTAAATGATTTAATTGTCATTATTTTTATGTTTTTTTTTTTTAGATATATATAGATAGATATTAGTTATGATAACAACTGCTTTTATTGGCCAGCAAGTTGAAAATGAAACTACTAATCGAACACCTACTTTAATTAATTAATTAAATAGGATGTTTGACTGATTGGAGGAAAAGAAAGAAGAGTTTTTGATTTGCAACTAGATATGTGGAAGATTAGCGAAATCAAACCCAAATCACTCTTTTTGGAAATAATTGTAATTTGTTTGATAAAATTAAAATAAAAAAAGGATTTGTTTGTTGAGCGTGTGAGTGTGTTTAGTGTGGAATGGAATTAATGATCCTTATGGTTTAAAATGAAAAACTGATGGATGATGAGATGTGTAGTGCGTACGTAAGAGTAGTGAGAACAGGAATGTATAGATAGATTCTATATTCTTTTAAAAGAAAGCAACAACAACAAAAAGATTGTCTCTTTTCGAATTGTTATTTTATTGATATTGAAATCTAATCTTGAATTTCGATATCTCCTTTTTGTTTTCGGCACTTTTCTATAGCCACACAAAACTAAAACAAACTAAAACAACTAAAAGTTGAGAAAAAAACACCACACAATGAGACAGGTGGATTCTTTATTTTATTTTAAAACCAAAGAAAAACCGTTTGATCAAATAAAACAAACAACCACACAATAAATATAGAAAGCACTATACACACAATGTTTTGAATCGAATGGTGTGTGTTTAATGATTTAATAGTTTGTGATTTTGATGTGATCACAAGTATATAAATAAATTTTTGTAAAATCTAATAATGAATAAAGATGTGTGAATAGAATAATGTGTAGTATATAAGTAAAGTGAGTGTGAGTGTGTTAATAGTGATTGATTGATTAATTAAAAGAAAGATGAACTAACAAAGTTGAATTCCTTTTCTTTACTTTAATTATTATTATTATTCGTTAATACTATTATTATTGTTGTTTGTTGTTGTTGTGGAATTGTTTGTTTGTTTGTTTAGTTGTTTGTGGATTGAAAACAATGTTTTATAGTTTGTGGATTTGCTGCTTTTTGATGTTGATCCCTGAGGTGTGTAGCTTTCTTTTCGTATCAAAGCAAAGCAAAATATATCTATTTGGATCGCTTCTGTCTTTTGTCAATGGTTTATGATATTTTTTTCTCTGCTCTTTCCAAGGTATTTTGCTACTTTCGAAAATCTGATGTTCCCAAGCACCTTTGCAAGCTTGTATCCCTTACAACAACCGGTAGATTCGTGAAGAAATCTACTACTACAAAAGCCAAACTAATAACAATCTATAACTATCTACTATAATTGTATGCAAACAACGACGATGACGATATTTCGATTTCGATATGCTACCAACGTTCACCAACGTTCACCAGCACCACCACCATCAACAATTCCTTAAAAGTAAAATATGATCTCTAAAATATAATTATAGTGTAACTGACCAGTTGTTGGTCTATTGTTGATTTTTTTGATTTGGATGATCAACCAAAACCAAATGACTCGTTTCTTTCGGCTTGATAATATTAAAATGAAGTGTATGTATGATGTCTTTTTTTGTTTTTGTTTTTTTTTGATGTGTAGACTATATCGCTATGTAACTTTGAATAAAACCTCAAGCCAAAAGAAGAAGAAATTTTGTTTTTGTTTGGTATTTTTTTGTTTTTTTTAAACCATTTCAACTCAACTCATGTTTGTTAAAGTCGTTAGCATTTGATTGATTAATTGCTTTCTTAAATGGTAAAAGTAAGAAGAAACCAACTAAACAACCATTTTTCACAACTTGATAGACTAGTTTGTTTTTTTTTATAAATAAAAATTGTGCTGATATTGTTGTTAATACCATTCATTTCTATGTTATTTTTTATTATTTTTTGATTAAAAAGAGAGGGGAATCTTGTGTAAAATGGGTGTGGAAAATGATTCATTTCCAAGGTTTATCAGCAAGAGTCATTAATCTTTTTCATTCACTCACCATACTATATTTAAAACTGATCTAAAAATCACAAATTCAATCACCTACTAGTTTTTTTTAAGAGAATTTGATTGAATTTACCCAATCAATTAAAATAATCAAGAGTGAAGATCAGTGAGCCATCCCTCATTTATAAAAGTGTCATATATACCACACACTGCTATTTTCAGCCTGAAAAAAATTCACCCAACAATCCAATCAAAATCACAATAATCTTTTTGCAAAGATTGATATTTTTGGGTTCACACTCAAAAAATTTGGTAAAAATAAAAAAATGTTTTTCATTTTTTTGATCAGAGTGTGGGTGCTTTGTTTGATGACATGAATTACAACGATTAAAATCTATTTAAAAAATGATCAAAAATTTTATGCATATTTTAATTCAAAAATATTTGTATTATGATGCAAATATTTGTTTTTTTTCTATTTTATAATTGAAATTTTAAAAAAATGTGAGAGAACCCTTATTTGCATTGACATTAATCGTTCGATTTCGTTTATAAACGAAATGATTATTTATTTATTTCTTTCAAAAAAAAAAAAATAATATTATACCAAAATTGTTTTCATGAATAAAAAAAAAAAAAACCACGAATACACATTCCGGATGTGGATTTCTTCTTGAAAAATTTGCTGGAGACCATTCCTTTTGTTAAAAGCCAAAACTAAGAGATATAAAAACACTCGTTACTAAAATATACAATGTTATTTCCTAAAAGGGAATTTGTATTGTTGTTGTTATTTTTAAATTTTTTTGGTTAAAATAGAATAACCGCATAATAAATATTAATAGTCTTGCCGTATAAAAATAATAATAGGGCTTGTATCTCTTTTCGGTTATTTTAATTTTATTTCAAAAAATATTCGTAAATATTAAAATTACTTTTTAACATTTGCGTTGTTACAATTGCTCCGGTGAGGTTGGATTCTGAAAACATTAATAAATTATTATTACCAAGGTTACGTATATGTATTTGTTCTGTAGGTGATTGAAAAAGAATAATCTTGAGTGAATTGATGGTTGACATTTTCTTTATGATTCCCATCAGGTTGATATAGGCGGAGAGCGTTAGCTGGATTTGCTTTAGGTTTTGTGGAATTGCGTATTTGAAATCACTTGGAATCGAAAGCGAGGTGAGAGAAGGTGGTAGGTTGGGAGGAAAGTCGAATTGGTACATGCTGCCAACACTCAGGTGCTCCAGAGTATTGGGAAGTTGTGGAAGTTCGAATTTGAAAAAGCTAGACAAATCCAGTGAAATTAGTTTCGGAGGAAGTTGTTTCGAGTGTAGCTTCTGGTTGATACTCTTAAACGTTAGATGTGTTACCGATTTCGGAAACACTGTATCTTTGTGGACGGAATTCACTGTGAGATGTGTCAGGTTCGGTAAGTGGTGCGCCTTCCATTGTACGATGACCTTTGTGTTGATTTCCAGTTCGACAATAGTCTTTGGCAGTGAATCGATATTCAGCAAGCCAGCCATTAGCGTGAGACAAAGGTATGTTAGATTCGGTGGAAATACATTGATCTGATAGCAATCTAGAGTAAGATGGTTGACACTTGTTGGAATAAGATTGTCTAGCGCTATATCAATGAATCGATTGGACATTTTCAGGCGAGTTACACCAGCTGGAATAATAGTTCCTGGATGATATGGAGCTTCCAATGATTGCAATGATTTCGGCAAGACATCACATCCCAAATCCCTCTTGTAGGTATTGTGCAGCTTCAACTCTAGTAAATTCTCTGGAAGATCGCCTGGATATATCGATGATCTGAATAAATAGGAGAAATTGATACTCTCAACCGTTTGTGGTAGTATATTGGGATTCAAACGAGTCCTTACCAACCCACCAAAGTGAATTGATTTCAGACCGCTTGGCAGTACTTCGTTATCCATCATTTTGAAACTTCTAGGTAAATGGATCTCCTCTAGCCCCAACGGAAGAATACCTTCCAACAGCGGATGTGAATAGTAATCGCCTAGATTCAGATATTTAAGGGATGCCGGTAGAATTCCAGGCGCTAGAGGTTGGTTGTAGTTTCCACCCAACCAGATATGCGTAGTCGATGGTGGAAATGTGTTTTCCATAATTGGCTGATTGAAAGAATCATTCATAAAGATATGTGTCACCGATGGTGGTATCCAGTTGCTTGGGATGATCTCATTGAAGCCAGTGGGAAAGGTGATGTGTGTCACGTAGCTGGGCAGCGTTACACCCAGATCCGCAAGCGAAGTAAGAAACGAATACTTTAGATCACCATTTAAACCACCGTTCTCTATAGTATTGACAATTGCTTTGCGATAGGAATTCAAATAGAACTTACGATCCGACCGGTAGAATCCGATAGACTTCATCATCGAGCAATTGGAAACATTGAAATCAAAAGATAGTTCGAACCATCTCTTACATACTAAAGTCATACATATTCTATCTATATTATCATCTAAATATTGAATTATATGTTTAAGTATTATATGTGAAAAAAAAGACATTTATAAATTTCTTTTTTTAATTAAATAATTAATAAATAAAAAAATTTGACAAAAAAAAAAAAGTAAATCAGCATGCTTTGATCAAATAAATGATCGTGTGACTCATCAATGTGAAAAAAGATATATTAATTGAATCAATTATAATTGATAAACACTTCAAAGTTATTATATTTTTAAATATTTTTTAAACAAACAAATAAATAAATAATCATAAATCAATTAAAATAAGAATAATCAAAAAATGCTCTAATAGTAATGATTAAAAATGATCTAAAAGATTAAATCGTAAAGAGTAGATAAAAACATCTATCTCCATGTGATAGTTTTTTAATGATATTGTAAGTCTACTTCTATCATAAATCAATCTATTAATTGTGTGATTAAAAGTAGTTATTTTATTTTCATTGCACAATTGTGTTTTGTTTCTTAAGCAAACAAATAAGCAAGCCTTAATTTCTTCCATACCTTTGCAAACCAACACACTTCACTTTTAATCACCAATTGATCAATAAAATAAAATGTTTCAAAACGACGTGCACTAACTCACCTCCTTCAAATTCAAATAATTGTTTAAACACTAACACACCAACCCTAATGTTGTATATACCATCAAAAAAAAAAAAAAATTTTGATTTAAAATTTTAGATGTATTTTTTGTTTTAGTAGTGTATCGATCATCATGATTCTCGTAATTACTGTTGTTGTAAAATGTGTGTTTATTCCAAGTAAGGTTTCAATAGTGGTTTTATTGATCTTATCTATGATGATGATGATGATGTAGATTAATTTGACACTTGTTTGTTAATTAAATTAATAATCGCGATTATAATAGTAAATTTGTATGGTCAACGTCAAATCAATACAGCACTTCAAAGAGAGTTGTTGTTTTGTGTAGTGCCTCATCAAAAAAAAAAGATTGGATTGTGGGTGGATGGATGATTGAAATCCTACAGCCATAGATATCGGAATCCACCTACCTAATTTAAGCAATAGGGTTTACCTCCCATACTTTTCTTTTCTAAACTGTTGTGATTAGAAGTAATTACTAACAAGAATGCATTGTTGTTGTAAACTGCAAGAAAAGAATAGCAATAATAATAATATGTATGCATTGTGTGAAAGGCTTAATTGTATGAGGAACCAAGACTATATATAAAATGTTCAATTCCATTATTTACCAAATCAAATCAAAACAAATAAAATATACATACTCTTATTTGTTTCACCAAACAAAACCAACCAATCTAAAGAGTTTAAAGTCTTAAGCAGAAACAACATCATCAAAATGTTTGTCATTATTCTTTGTATTATAGTCTCTTATATCTTTTATTCATTTGTATGTAGTTGTAATATAATATAATATAATATGTTGTGTTGTGTTTTTATTGTACTAATACTAATTTATTACCATCATTATAATTATTATTATTATTAACATTATTTAGGTATCAAAAAATACAAAGTTTAGTTCAGCAGATCCAAAACCACCAGGTATTAATTACCCAATTTTAGGATCACTTCCCTACTTGACAAAAGATCCTCACAAGGCAATCACCAAATACACTGGCGATGAGGCTATGCTTAGTCTTTGGATGGGTGATTACTACACCATCGTAGTCAGCGATCCAGCATTGGTAAAGGAAATTTGGAACAAGAATTTCGATATCTTTTCAGGTCGTGTTCTTACACCACTCGGTAAGATTCTAAGTGGCAGCGGTAAGAATATTCTTACTTCTGACTATGAAAATTGGAAACCAATTCGCTCTCACGTCTCCACCAGTTTCACCAAAACCAAATTGAAGCAATTGAACAACATTGTCGAGGATCATACCAGACAATTTGTTAATTGTTTGAAATCATTTGAAAAGTCTGGTTTACCTGTAAGTTTTAATAGTTATTTTCATTATTATTTATTATTTAGAAATATTTAATTAACATCTTTTATTTAATGTTTAATTTTATTTTAGTTGGAACCAAATCCATATTTAAAGAAATTCTCAATGAATATTATTTTAATGATTGTATTTTCTAAACAAATTCCATATGAAGAATCTGTATCTGAAGGTGTCGCTGCCGAGTTGATTTCATCGATCGAAGACATCTTTAAGCAAACCTCACAGGGTACCGTATTGAATTTCCTACACATCTTTGCTCCAGTTTTCTATCTCATGAGAAATAAAGTTGCTGCCAATTTCAATAGATGTAAGAATTTCATTGAAGAACAAATCTACAAAGAGAAATTAAAAGATTTCGATCCAAAAAAGTAAGTTATTAAATTATTATTTAAAATAATAATAAGATATTAATATGTTTTTTTTAATTTTATTATTATCTTTAGTCCAAAGGATTTATTTGAAGAATTAATGATTGAATTCAATGATACTGATACTGTGTTGAGAATCGCCACTGACTTGTTGTTGGGTGGAACTGATACTACTTCTACCACTATGCACTGGTTCCTCTGGCACATGGCAAACTATCCAGAGATTCAAGAGAAGATGTACCAAGAGATTGTCGAAGCCTCTGGAAAGTCAACATTCGTCACCAACGAGTACCGTCCAAAGACTCCATACTTCTTGGCGGTGCTCAAGGAGATCATGAGAATCAAACCGACTGCACCACTAGGTCTCAATCGTAGATGTGATCAAGACATTGTTATCGGTGGCTATTTCATCCCCAAGGGAACTCAGATGCTCACCAACCAGTACGGTATCATGAGAAACGAAAAGTACTTCCCCAAAGCCGACCAATTCCTCCCAGAGAGATTCATGAATGACCAAACCAACGATGCATGGATACCATTTGGTATTGGACAAAGAAACTGTATTGGATTAAAGTATGTATTTATTATTTGATTAATTATAACAACATTTAATAATTAATTATTACAATATAGTTTGGCAATGGATGAATTATATATTGGATGTACCAATATCTTAATGAACTTTAAGATTAGTTCATATAATGGCAAGCCGATTCCAGATGAAGAAGTATTCGGAGTATGTCTCTATCCAAAGGAATATCAACTCAGACTTGAATCACGATAAAATTTATTTCTTTTTTTTCGCTAGTCAATTTATGTTTTTTTTAATCAACAATAACAACAATATAATATATTTAAATATCATTTCATTTCATTCAAACATTAATACTTTTGAAGAAATAATAAACAATTAATTTATTTTTTAAACTCATAATCATTTCTTTTAGTTTGTTGATCAATTAATTGGTGATTAAGTGAAATGTGTTGGTTTGCAAGAAACAAAATAACTACTTTTAATCACAAAATTAAAATAGAAATAAACTTACAATATCATTAAAAAAATATCAAATGGAGATCAATGTTTAAACTTCTACTCTTTACGATTTAATCTTTATCAATTAGTATTATGTGTTATTTCATTTTATAGGTTGGGTTTGTTTTAGGACAGTTTTTTTTTGTAATCTCGCATTATTTTTGCAAAATGCACACAAAAGTTGTGCAAATTGTTTTCATTTTTTGGGGAGGCATAAAATGAAATTACACATATAGTTTATATAAAGAATTGTTGTAGCTATTTCGATTGTATCTTTATTATTTTTAAAAAAATATTAATATCGAATGAGAGGAAGTTCTAATGTATCCAAAATATTGATACAAATTAAAAAGAAAAGATAGACTACTATGAAACATTTATCATATGTTTCTTGTATGTTGTTGGTTTTAAAAAAATTTTTTGATTAAATCTTGAAAGGGTGGGTGGAAAAAAAGCTGTGTATTTTTTATATGGTGCCCAGAAAATCTTAAAACCCTGACCTTGAAAAATTTTGAGTGAAAATCATGATAACTCCAGGTTTTAAATGAATAATAAGAACTCCTAATTACTCCGATACTTTTTTTATTTATTACTTGATATAAAACAGTTTAATTTCTTATTTAAACGTTATCTTCTTTAAAAAAGGCCTGATTAATCAGTTTCATTTTCGTTCATTTCCAAATAGTTGGAAACAATTACGGAATAGAACTAAAATATCTGTTTCGGAGGAGTTAACTATCTGTGAATACAAAGGGGTTGATGTTTGATCTAGAGGCAGAAAGATTCAACAATGTAGCTATGCACACCCACTTTCAAGGAATATGTTTTGTTAAAATATCATATTTCTAACATCAATACCAATACCTACAACAACAATACCAATACCTACAACAGCAACAACAGCAGCATCTGACTTCACCAGTATACCATCTCAACAGCAACAGCAATAGCAATATCAATTGGTCCTAGTTTGTGATAGAAATGGGAATCTAAACGCTACCAACTCACGCTGACCGATCATTAACGACAAAAACAACAAATTGATCAAATGGAAAGGTACATGATACATGCCAGTGGTTGTACCTCCCTGAGTTTAAAAATATATGTTCACCGTGATATACAGTACCGACAGGAGCAATGTTCTTTTGGCATTAACCAAAGATCGAACATTAAAAAAAGATTTTCAGAGAACCAAGAGGAAACACCGCACAGGCCAAATAATCATTTCGACCACATGTCATAGAAACCCGCTGTACATCATTGCAAAGAAACCATTAAACAGTTGATATTGACAATCGATTCAAGTAGTGATGGCATTTCTGGGTTGCAACCAAGTTCCTCAGACTGCAGTCTGTTCTAATTAATATAACATAATAATAAATAGTAACTTACTCTCAAATGGATTATATCAATAAAGATTCAAATATTATTGTTTTATTTATTATCAAAGTTTCACTATAACCATATAAATCTATTAATATATATTTATATCTAGATAGATCAATAAATTTAAATGAAAAAACAAAATTAATTGATGATCGTAGCGATCAAAGTGCTAAGATCAAACAAAAACAAAAAAAAAAAAAAAAATAATCTTTTTATTTTAACTTGTATATAATATATGAAATAAGAAAAGATAAGATAAGATCGATAAATGGGTATTAAAGTAGTACCTTTAGGTGCAGGTCAAGATGTAGGAAGAAGTTGTGTCATCGTCAGTATTGGCAACAAGAATATCATGTTTGACTGTGGAATGCATATGGGTTATCATGATGAACGTCGATTCCCTGATTTCTCTTTCATTTCTAAAACAAAACAATTCACAAAAGTATTGGATTGTGTAATCATAACTCATTTGTATTCTATCAAATCATATCATTACAAATATATATATATTACTTCTTTTAGTTACTAACATTAATGTTTTAATTATAGTCATTTAGATCACTGTGGTGCATTACCTTATTTTACAGAGATATGTGGATATGATGGACCAATTTATATGACTGTATGTTACAAGTGTTTAATATCAATATCAATATATAAATATAACTATAATTCACTTACATTTATGTTACAACTAATACAGTTACCAACAAAAGCAATTGTACCGATTTTATTAGAAGATTATAGAAAGATTGTTGTGGATCGTAAGGGTGAAACGAATTTCTTTACACCTCAGATGATTAAAGATTGTATGAAGAAAGTGATTCCGGTTGCTTTGCATCAGACGATCGATGTAGATGATGAGTTGTCGATAAAACCTTATTATGCAGGTCATGTGCTAGGAGCTGCGATGTTCTATTGTAAGGTTGGCGAGGAATCCGTTGTTTACACTGGCGATTACAATATGACACCGGACCGACATCTTGGAAGTGCGTGGATCGACGCTGTCAACCCGACACTGCTCATCACCGAGACTACCTACGCGACGACCATCCGTGACTCTAAGCGTGGTCGTGAACGTGATTTCCTGAAGCGTGTGCACGAGTGCGTAGAGAAAGGTGGCAAAGTACTGATTCCGGTGTTTGCACTGGGTCGCGTGCAAGAGTTGTGCATTCTCATCGATACCTACTGGGAGCAGATGGGTCTGAGTGTACCGATCTACTTCTCAGAGGGCTTGGCGGAGAAGGCAAACTTCTACTACAAACTGTTCATTGGATGGACCAACCAGAAGATCAAACAAACGTTTGTCAAGCGTAACATGTTTGATTTCAAGCATATAAAGCCGTTCGATAGGATGCTGGTCGATGCACCCGGTCCGATGGTGTTGTTTGCAACGCCCGGAATGTTGCATGCTGGTGCGTCGCTGGAGGTATTCAAAAAGTGGGCGCCATCCGAGTTGAATATGACTATCATTCCTGGCTATTGCGTGGTGGGAACCGTTGGAAACAAGCTACTCTCCAATGCAAGCGGTCCACAGATGGTCGAGATCGACAAGAAAACAACACTCGAAGTCAAGTGTAAGATTCACAATCTCTCGTTCTCTGCGCATGCCGACGCCAAAGGTATCATGCAACTCATAAAGATGTCACAACCAAAGAATGTATTATTAGTGCATGGTGAAAAAGAGAAAATGTAAATATTAAACTCTTAATTACTTTGTTCTAGATTATTTAACTTAATACGAATAATTATATATGTATGTATTATTATTATTATTATAGGAGATTCTTAAGTGATAAGATATCAAAAGATTTTAATATACCATGTTATTTCCCTGCGAATGGTGTCACTGTAAATATTGAATCTTCAAAGAGTATACCGATTGATATTTCATTGAAGTTACTGAAACGACAGATCTCCGAGTACTCCAGAGAGAGTGCAACAGCATTCGAGTACAATTCTAATCTTAAAGATGAAGATACCGATAGTTTGGAACAAGAAACAAAGAAATCAAGATCACCCATTGTATCGGTACCAATTCAAGGTATAATGGTATCAAAAGGTTATCAAGTAAGTGTACACATTTTATTTTGTTTTATTACAATTAATTTAACTAATTGATCTTTTCCAAAACATAATGAACAGAATATTAAATTATTAGATCCAAGTGAAGCATCAAAAGAACTATCGATAAATAATGTACAGTTGAATTTTATTTTGTATTGGAAGTTGGTACAAGAGGTTAAAGATTGTATCGATGTGCTGTATTTGGAGTTGTGTAGATGGTTGGTTGGTGCCACCATTGAGAGAATCGATCAGAACAAGATTCTCGTAAAGTCGAGTATATCGATCGAGTATGAGAAACCACAACAACAATTCACAATCAAATGGACCAACAAAGAAGAATATTTATCTGAACACATTCTTTCAATCATTCAAAATCTATTCCCAAAATAAAATAAAGTTAGTTATTTATTTATTTATTTTTTTGGTGATAATAATTAAAATGGATTCGTCTGAATTTCAGATATTTTTTTATTAAGAACTGTTTTCCCTGGGGATGGTGTTAATGGGAACCCATGCCCCACCCCCACATCAAAATAAAATGTTTTCTTTTAATTTTTGTTTTTTTTTGGTGTTCCCAATTCAGTTTTTTTTTTTTGATCAGATTTATGTCTTCTAAACTAAAGATCTTGAATTATTTTTTGTTATTTATTTTTTTATCACTCTAACAGTTATTTAATTATCTCTTTTCATTTACTCATTAGAAATAATTATGATATCAGTTGAAGAGACATTGAAAATAGTTAAATCACCAAAAGATCTCTTGGATAAGATCGGTGGATTAAGATTTAAAGATAGATTGCGAGCACAGATTATCGTTCAAGGCGGAAAGAACTATTATTTCTTTGCTGACAATCTAGATACACCCACCATTGTTATAGGTTTAGATAGAGTTAGAGGTCAATTTTGTGTTTTCAATAGCGACGTTGAGAGATTCACCGAATATGCAATCAATCATAATTGGAAGAGAGGTTTTCTTCTACCCTACAAAGATCAAATCGTGTTGGATGACACACAATACCCTTTCACCATCAATGGATTATTGATGCATTTAAATGAAATTACAACGTATGAAAATATCGGTTTAATAATTCCATTTTAATATTTATGATTAATTTTAACTTTTTAATATTATCGCGAAAGTGTACCATTAGTATTCTCTTGTCTTGGAACAAAAGAGAATGATATTTTAGAACAAATACTCAAAGATCAAGGTATATCTATTTTGGATAATCCAGAAGTTTATGATTTTTGTTTATTGGATTTCCCAAATAAAGAACAAAAGATTAAAGAATTACAATCGATTGTCGATGGTGAAGGATATACTTTTTCATCAATCTCACAAGAAGGAGCAATAGTTGTGGGTATGTAATTATGAAATTGGCAAACATAGTCTATCTTTAACATATCATTCAAATTAATTATAAATTTCTTTATTAGATAATTATTGGACTTACAAAAATGCAACAAGTTTACATTTTATGCAATGGACCGCTGCAAATTCAGAGACATGCTGTCTTAAGGTGGGAGATGAATTGGCATCTTGGATTATTCAATATACCGATGGAAATATTGGTGCTCTTTTTACCCCTGGTAAATATTGTGACACTTTGTTTTTATTAACATAATTCAAACATCCATCTAACATCAAAATAAAAATATTTTATAGATAAGTTCAGAAATAAAGGATATGCTAAAAAAGTAGTTGCAAAAATATTAATACAACTATTGAAAAAGAATCAATACACACCATATATTTATATTAAAGATGACAACGTTCCATCACACTCTCTCTTCAAGTCATTTGGATATACAGTTTTATCGGATCAATGTCGTTGGCTAATTGCCAAGATTGAATAAATAGATCATAAATATATATAATTATTAAACCTTTTCTATTTAAAATAAAACAAATTAATATGACGTCGTCCATTCATGAAACAGTATTCGTGCAAGTGGGTGAAAGTTTTTAAGAGAAAAATACTTGCTGGACGAAGATAAATCTTTTTTAATGAAAATCTATTTGGTTCACTTTTGAGTTATTAAACAAGTATATCACATATTTATGGTTGTTCCTTCATTCCAAAGGATGGATTTTCCTTTACGTTTTTTGATTTCAAAGGGCCATTGAAACGATGTAGCTTCAGTGAAGGTGTAAAGAAGATAAAGTTTTTTTGGAAATATGGTTGTTTAATTTCGAAATTTAATAAACCAAAATTTCCTGGTATCTTTCCAGCGACAAACTCGATCAGCCTTTAACACCAGGAATACTTCCACCCAATTTGAAATCATTGATATCGAAGTTAAAGAACTTCCAAACCCATTGAAACATCTTCAAATCTCTTGATCACCAAACTTGTGAAGATCATAGCCTTCTTCACCAACTTGTATCATTGTATATAAATGAAATAATTACAATTTTTTCCAAAAATTTCTTTTTATTAGTGAAAAAAAAACACAATTCAATATATAGCTTAAAAAACATTCGAAATTTAATTCAAGTGAAAGAATGACAAGATACTAAAATTACCCTTTCACTTCTAAATTCAACATTTCCTGATTAATAAATACGATCTCGATTAACTGTAAAAATAAATATATCAGGTGTTTGACAAAAATAATCATTTTCTTTTTTTACTTTTTTGGGAATTTTTTTTGCAGATTTCATAAATATTTTGATATATGTTTATTCTTCATTCCATCTTTTAAAATCTTAAGGAGGATTTATTATTGTAAAAATAGAATTTTAAATATTTCTATATATGTAATATGATATTCTTTAACTCTAAACAATGTATGAAAACAACTATAAATAATAATTTTTTGATACTGAATTAAACAAATCATTCTGATTAACAATAAAATAATTTATTATACTATTATTTTTCTATTAATAAAAAATAAAACAATGACTTTTTCAAGAAATATTTTAATTACCATTTCTTTAGTTATTTCCTTAAATTTTACTTGTGGTCAGTTGACTGGTGGATTGAATCCATGTGCTTCATGTAACTCAAACGATAAATGTTATATTGATACTTGTAATTGGTCAACTGGTTGTTTCCATAATCCTGTGACTTGTAACTCCAATAACAAATGTGTGGTCGACCGATGCCACCCAACTCTTGGATGTACTACTTCCGCAAAGAACTGTGATGACAACAATCCAAATACCTACGATTTCTGTGATGTCAATTTAGGCTGCCAAAACCTTCCATTCACTTGTAGTGCCACCTCAACTTGTACCAATACCAGTCCGTGCCAAGTCCAATTCATATTGAACGACAAGTGTTGTACTTACGCCAAGACTTGCAATGATAACAATCCATGTACCACCGACCAATGTAACACCACCACCGGACAATGTCAAAACACTGCTGTCACTTGCAACGATAACAATCCATGTACCATCGACCAATGTTCATCGACCACCGGTCTCTGTCAATTCGCCGCCAAGTCATGTGACGACAACAACGCATGCACTCTCGACAGTTGCAACACCGCCAATGGAAATTGTCAATACACTGCTGTTGTTTGTAATGACAACAATCCAAACACCGTTGACGAATGTTTCCCAGCTGTTGGTTGTGTATATCACTCTGCCAGCTCATGTGACGACAACAACGCATGCACTGTAGACTCTGTCAACTCCACCACAGGACAATGTCAATACACAAGACGTGTCTGCGCACAAGATACCTTCTGTACTAGATGGTCATGTGATCCGGTAAATGGATGCACTGCATCCTCACCAAATTGTGACGATGGTAATCCCTGTACCGTAGACTTCTGTGACTCTGTCAGTCAATCTTGTGCTCACAAAACCAAGAGTTGTTTCGATAACAACCGTTGTACCTTTGATCAATGTAACCCAGCCAACGGACAATGTGTAAGCACTCCAATCTCCAACTGTTACTAAAAACAGTCCAACAATTACCAGATATTATTACTATTTTTCAATCTTTTTTTATAAATAAAGTTAATAAAAAAAAGATATTTTTGATTTTTTTGTTTTTGAAGAATAAATTAAAAATGCCCACTGACATTTGTATTTTTATTTAAAATGAGCAACAATAATAATAATAGTAATACAGATAATGTATTTGTCAATCTATCACATATACTTTTAATTAAAATATTTGATCATCTTAGAGATAATATCGATCGTATATGTTTCACATTTGTTTGTAATAGATGGTTTAACGATAGACATAAATACTTTAGATTCAACCCGACACCTTTTATTGGTCAACCAAAAGATGTATATCATAATTTCTTTTTAAAATCATTCAAAGATATTTTTATCGATTCCGAAAAGCAAAGAGAATGTAGTTTATATTTATCATCGAATCCTTGGGCGCCTTTTACATATCATCGAATACACAAATTAAAGATAGATTATACAATTGCAAAATGTATATATTTCATTTAAAGCTTTCGATTATACTTTAATAGATTTACTAATGTGCAAATAATCAAGATCAAATAGAAAAAATGAGAACAATCTCTTCAAATATTAAAACACTTATTATAGACCAGGAATTAGAGCTAGATGAAAATCAACTTGCTAAACTGTTGAGTTTCACAAGTATAACACATGTTTATGGTTGCTCTGTTATTCCAAAGAATGGATTCCCTTCCAATATCAAATTCATTCGATTCCTCGGTTTCAATGGGTCGTTGCAACCAGGTAGCTTCGGTGAAGGTGTAGAGAAGATACAGTTTAGATCGAAACTAGGTTGTTCGTGGTCTACTTCGAAATTTAATGAGCCACTAGTACCCGGTGTCTTTCCAGACTCCGTAACCTTTCTCAGTTTCGAATATCAATTCGATCAGCCTATAATACCAAGAATACTTCCACCCAATTTGAAATCATTGAAATTTAAATACTACACATTTGATATCGATGATCAAGCACTTCCAAACACATTGAAACATCTTCAAATCTCTGGATCACCAAACTTGAAGATAGCGATTCCTCACCAACTTGTTTCTTTGGATATAAATGAAATATATTTTACAGATACAATTCGATCACAGATTAGAAAGCTACAAAACCTCGAAAGTCTTTCAATATCTGGTGGTTTCGACTTTGATAACAACCTCATCAAAGAAGGAGATATTCCAAAGAGCGTAACCAACCTAACACTAAATTGCTGTTTGGAAAACAGCAGATCAATCCCATTAACTGTTAAATACTTGGACATTCCACAAATCGTATATTTCGATGAACCATTTCCAAGAGAATCACAACATCAATTCGAGAGACTTACTACTTCGGTTGTCAGTATGTTCCTATCCAATTTTAAAGTGAAAAAGTTAATATTAGAGAATATCATGGTAGAGAGATTTACTATTCCAGAGTCATCTGGTATCGAGTCAATTCAATTGGAATCTTTAATAGAAAATATAGATTGTAGCAAAATTGTATTACCAAACACCATTAAGGAACTCATATTACCTAAATATAATCCTTGTCGGTTGACTGAAGGTTTCATTCCAAATTCTGTTGAAACAATTAATTTTGGGGGCTACATCAATAGTCCAGCCTCAGCTCTTCCAAAATCAATTAACACAATAACTATTCAATCCTCGGCAATCAGTCATTATCAACAATCTAAATCGATAACCAATATAAATGTGATTCACAATCAAAATTACCTCCATCTCCTTCAAACCAGAAAAATATTTAAACAACACTATCTAATATTTGGACAAACTTTGAAACATGGTTTTATTTCAGCAATAATTCATGAATCTTACTTCCTTCAAAGATTTCTAGATATATTAAATGAATAATTATAGAAAGAAAATATAGTAAACTTTATATCTAATCAATGATTACAACAAATTAATATCTTAATATTTTATCATCATTTAGTTCACAAAGAGAGGAAGTGTAAGAAATATCAAGGTTTCCATGGGTAAACCCAGAGTAAAATAATGAGTTATCTTTCAATCCAGTGGAGCCGGTGTTGTTGGAACTATATTTGAAGTATCGACTGGGGAGTTATCGATAACTTGGGCTAGGTATTATAATACGTGTAGTTGGTTGTGGGGCAGTAATGATTGGAGACTGTGCAATCGGTGCGATGGGGGGGGGGGGGGTAGAACATCCTGAACTGGTGCTACAGGTGGAACAACTGAAGATAATACTTGTTTTGACTTGGATCTTCTTTTAGTCACTCTGGTTCTATTAGTTTCATAGCAATTCAGTCTTTCAGGAAAGTGAATTTTCTTTTCTGAATTCTTCTTTCATTTTACCAAATTAGTGCAAAATTAATTTTGTGAAATAGAAGAAAATAATCAAAAATTGATAATTTTTTTTTATTAAAATCAAAATGAAAAAATAATAAATAAAAAAAAAAAAAAATGAATAAAAAAAAATAGTTATAAAGCAAATAGCAATACAAAAAATAATAATAATAAATAAAAAATAATAAAGAAAAAACAATTTCAAAAAAATTTTTTATGACTCATTATTCACTTACCATTTTTTTTTGTGCAGGTCTCTCATCAAAATTTAAATTGCAAAGTCTCAATTTAATATATTAAAATACACTTTCGGTTCAAAATCCAACCTTTAGGTCTGATACCACGCATTTCAAGAAAAATATTAGTGTCAGACCTAAAGGTCGTTTTTTATGATTTTTTATTTTTTTTTGACCTTTTCGAAAATATCATGATTAAAAGATTAATCTTTGGTTACCAAAATTTCACTAAAAACTTTTCAAAGCAGATTCATGAAATTTTGGTATTTACTCCTTCAATCTCAAAGATCGTAGGTGGGAAATAATTGATTGAACCGAATCTATAAAAGGAGTGAATTCAACCTTTGTTTTTTTCATCAATATCATTTTAAACTAATTAACAACAAATAAAAACAATATTTATATAAATCAATCATGTCACAATATCACTACAACATTTCAAAGGATGTTAAATCAACCAACATTCAAATCACAGGAAGTTCAAATGCGACACCAGCAGATACCAGCTCAAGATATTATTCTGAATTCAACCATTCCACCAACTTGAGACAATCCGCTGATAAATACACCCAAAAGAATGAATATGAAGAGCCAAAACTTGATACTTCAAAGCCAGCTATGGTTCCAGTTGGTACCAGTTTGAATGATTTGGGTAACTACTATCTCGGAAACAATTCATTCCTCCAAGCTTGTTACCTCGCCTACTCTCAACACCACAACCTCGTCATCAGACCAGACGATATTTGGATTGCCATTATGACCCAATTTTCATTCTACCTCAATGCCAATGCAGAGCAACTCAGATCCAAGATTGTCAGCCACGATGATAAGAAGGAGCTTGAAGTTGTTGCCAACGCTACTCTCTTCTCCGCTCCATACGATGAAATGACTTTAACAATGACCGAACTCATTGCCAAGAATATCAACGATCCAACTCTTAAGGATTGGGCAATGCCATCATTCACAACCACCACCTACACCGATAGAATCGTTGGAGCTGTCTGCTTAATGGCAACAATGAAAAAGTATTTCAATTTCAAATACTCCTTGCGTTGTGGTTTGCCATCAGTTACTTTGCTCGGTTCAGTTGAAGACTGGAAGTCAATTAAAAAGACAAAGTACAACGTTTGAACGAATTTGACCTGCCAGAGAAATTGATGAGCAAATGGACAACTATGCTCAACCCAATCATCGATCAATTCATTGCCTCCGTAGAAGGAAAGGCTGATACCGAGTGGTGGAATCGTATTGCCAATCATGTTGGTGGTGGATCCGGTCCAACCTGGTTGAGCGGTTGGATCACTGTTTTCTCATGTTTCGCTGAAGATGGTCAATGGCGTGGTGACGATAAGGAGAAACAAGGATTCAGAACCAAGGGTGAATTGGTTTCAGAATGGCCACTCATTGACACTGAAGAAATTGCCCACGGATATGTAGTATTGGACGTTAAGATTGATGACAATGGTACCATGTACGATGCTCAGCTCTTTGGTGGACACTACACTGTTAAGCTTGCCGATCAAAAGTCAACCATCGTCCCACAACTCAACTGGTGTATGATGGTAAAAGAATCTGATCTCCCAGCTTTAAAGAAAAACTAAATAAATAAAAAACCATTTTTAATTCAAATAAAGTTGAAACAAGATTTGCTTTTCCAAAACCATAATTTTATTTTCTACTTTTAGGAAATTTTGTTGGCACCATCATTTTTGGTATACAGTTATTTGATTTATCTTGTTCTTTGGAATTGTGTAATGATTGATGATAGAACAAAATAAGAATCTAAATATCCCTACTGTTAAGATAGATATTTTTGCGGGGTGAGAGAAAGTGTGTAGGATAAAATGAAGAAAGATCCTAGTCCTGATTGGTGGCAAATGAAGAAGAGAAATCCTATAATTAATTATAGATATATTAAATCCAAAAATATTCAAGATGTTTTCCTAAAAATACAAACTGTAAAGAGTCTAGAATAACTGCCGATCGAAACCATCTATCTTTGATTCTAAACAACATTTAATCTCAATTCCATGGTATTGGATGTGGTGAATATATCACTAAGTAAATCAATTAGATCCACCAATTCACATAGAAAATCATTCATTTTCTGAAAGTTTTCAATCAGTCATATCAGAATCACCTGGTTTCTTTTTGAAATAAAAATATATCAGGACAGGTGTGAGTACTATTGGATTCTGCGCCTATATGCTTGGTTTTTTATTTTTTACTCTTTTTGGTAATTTTTTTGTGCTGATGAAACAACTACTTTGATATATGTTTATACTTTAAAAAAATTCATTCCATCTTTTAAAATCTTACGGAGGATTTATTATGGTAAAAATAGAATTTTAATTATTTCTATAAATGTAATATGACATTCTTTAAACTCCCCATAACAATATACTGTTTTACCAAAAAATAATAACTATAAATAATAAGTTTTTTGATACTGAATCAAAACATTCCATTCTAATTAAAAACATAAATATAAATATAAATATAATAGTATATTATCTATAAATAAAATGAAACTTTCAAGAAATATTTTAATTACCATTTCTTTGGTTATTTCCTTAAATTTTACTTGTGGTCAGTTGACTGGTGGATTGAATCCATGTGCTTCATGTAACTCAAACGATAAATGTTATATTGATACTTGTAATTGGTCAACTGGTTGTTTCCATAATCCTGTGACTTGTAACTCCAATAACAAATGTGTGGTCGATGGATGCCACCCAACTCTTGGATGTACTACTTCCGCAAAGAACTGTGATGACAACAATCCAAATACCTACGATTTCTGTGATGTCAATTTAGGCTGCCAAAACCTTCCATTCACTTGCAGTGCCACCTCAACTTGTACCAATACCAGTCCATGTCAAGTCCAGTTCATATTGAATGACAAGTGCTGTACTTACGCCAAGACTTGCAATGACAACAATCCATGTACCACCGACCAATGTAACACCGCCACCGGACAATGTCAAAACACTGCTGTCACTTGCAACGATAACAATCCATGTACCATCGACCAATGTTCATCGACCACCGGTCTCTGTCAATTCGCCGCCAAGTCATGTGACGACAACAACGCATGCACTCTCGACAGTTGCAACACCGCCAATGGAAATTGTCAATACACTGCTGTTGTTTGTAATGACAACAATCCAAACACCGTTGACGAATGTTTCCCAGCTGTTGGTTGTGTATATCACTCTGCCAGCTCATGTGACGACAACAACGCATGCACTGTAGACTCTGTCAACTCCACCACAGGACAATGTCAATACACAAGACGTGTCTGCGCACAAGATACCTTCTGTACTAGATGGTCATGTGATCCGGTAAATGGATGCACTGCATCCTCACCAAACTGTGATGACAATTACCCATGTACCGTAGACTTCTGTGACTCTGTCAGTCAATCTTGTGCTCACAAAACCAAGAGTTGTTTCGACAACAACCGTTGTACCTTTGATCAATGTAACCCAGCCAACGGACAATGTGTAAGCACTCCAATCTCCAACTGTTAATAAAAACACAACCAACCAACAACAATTACCAGATATTACTATTTTTCATTCATTCTTTTTTTTTATAAATAAAGTTAACAACTAGTTAGTATTACAATAAAAATTAAAACAATATTTGTTTTCTCTATTCTTTCTTTTTGTTTCATATTCTGTGAATTGAATTCTCCTTTTTTCTCAAATAATAATATAATAATAATAAGCAATTAACATTACTATTAGTTATAGTTATTGTTGTTATATTTGTTGATATTATTATATATTACATTCATTCGAATGAATGATTGTTTATTTAATAAACATAATTATGTAAAATCATGATTCTAAACTATTCAATTCTCTATTTTTGTTTTGTTGTTGTTGCTTTAATTAATTGTTATTGTTATTATTTATAAATATCTAAATTTAATCTTCGTTTAATAAATGTGACTTTGGATTAACAGCCTAAAAAGTATTTGAAATAAGTAAACAAATATGTAAGTATATGAATGAATGTTCAACTATATGATACTAAATAAATATATATAGATAAAAGTTGATGGTAATTACCCATTTTGGAGGTGGGATGTTTCTTTGCCATTTTGATCCACCTGGTGCATCACATGCTATTATATTTGTACAAAGTTTTGAGTTAGTTTCGATGAATGATCAAAGAGTTGGTTTGTGATTTGATATGATATGATTTGATTACATACGAATATAAGGATCTGGGTGCTCCCAGTAGTTTACAAACTTCTCAAAGTCCTTCATGTGCTGTTGAATCAAGAATGGGTTGGTTTCATTCTTTCTGGCCTTCAAGGTGTTACGCAACTGAAGAGCGTTGGTCAAGAACCAATCGTAATCCTCAGAGTAATCTCTAATCGATTTCAAACCCTTACGGTACAATCTAATCACTTTTTGTGCATGTGAAAGTGACATTATATATCTATCTAGCTAAACAATATTAAAAAAGAAATGCAACCATCAATCAGTGTGATCACTTAAACTATTCACACACACAGAAAAAATCGAAAAATTTAGAAAAAAAAAAAAAAAAAAAGCAAAAATCAAAAACATAAAAATATTTTAATTTAAAAAATTTCATTAAAAGAAAGTGATAATTAGATACAAACATACTTATTTAGATATATATTGCAATATATATTAATTAACTATTCATTCATTTTTATTAATAACATTTGTTTGTATATATATAAATATAAATAAGTAAAGAATATGTCTGATAAATATAAATCGGTTGGATATTCCTCCAAAGATTTGGCTGGTCATACAAAGATGAAGACAAGGTATGTTTGTTTAATTGGTTGTTTATTGCTTGATTATATCTAACTAAACCGATACAAATGTATTTAGAGATGATGTTGGTCAAAAAGCAATGGAGGAACGTGAGAGACAACAAAGAGAAAAAGAACGTTTAGAACAGATAGAATTGAAACAAAAACAAATGTTAGATTCAAGAAAAGAATCAAGAAATAATAGAAATACCGATAGAGATAATGATAGAGATAGAAATAGAGATTATGGTGATGATAAAGAAGAGGAAGAAGAAGAAGAGGGAGAAGAAAGATTAGAACAAAGATCAACAACAACAACAACTTCAACAACAACAAAGAATAAGAATATAGATGCGGATGATACAGATAGTAGTGATGATGATGATGATAGTGGAGATGACAATAAGAAAGATAATGATAACGACGATAGCGACGCAAGTGATAGTGACGACGATGATGAAGACGACGAAGAAGAACTCATGAGAGAACTCGAGAAACTAAAGAGAGAAAAGGCAGAAGCTCAAAAGAGAAAACAAATGGAAGATGCAGACTCTGAGAAACTCGCAAGACAAGAGAAATTGATTTCAAGCAATCCACTTTTAAATAAGAATAATAATAATAATAATGATTATTCAATGAAGAAAAAGTATGTAAACAAAAAGAAATCTATTTATATATATTAAAAAATAACTTTAATATTAACTCTTCTCTCTCTCTCTAATTAAAATCAACTTAGGTGGTATGATGACTCTATATTTAAGAATCAAGCAAGAGATGAACCTGTTACAAAGAAAAGATTTATAAACGATACAACTAGAAATGATTTTGCAAGGAAATTCTTATCAAAATATATAAAATAATATATTAAAAATTAATAGAATAACAACAACAACAACAACCAACAATTATTTAATTTAGAACTATGTTCATTTTTCATTTATTTTACAAAGATTGTTATTGATATTAATTATATTGGTTTGACTTGTCTTGTTTGATTATATTTCTATTACAATGTTTAACATTACATTACATATTATTATTATTTTGGTAATTAGCTTTGGATTGTGTGTGTGTGTGTGTTTGTATATCGATATTATTATTATTACTATTATTATTATCTTTAAATATTTGTGGTATTTCAAGTAAAAGTCGAATAATAGCGCTATTACTCGACTTTACTCTTTACTTTTTTTTTTTGTTAAGCTATGTGCTGTTTTCTTTGCTTTAACGTGGTAAATCATTAAGGGCAACAGCGTTGACAGCTTTACTGTGTCCTGAATAAGTCTTTACTGATTCACCTTGATGTAAATCCCAGAGTTTTGCCATTTGATCACTCGATCCTGTAACCAAATAAGCAGAGTCATTCGAGAATGAACAATCCCAAACCCATCGTTGATGTCCATTCAAAGTTTGTATAACATTGAATTTCTTTGTATTCCAAATCTTTACTGTATGATCCGCAGATGCTGTTGCCAACAACCTAACAACAAATTAATTATCATTATAATTAATATTAATTATTCATATTAGTAATCTATCATATTAATTAACGGCTGATCGATTGATTGATTGATAGTTAAACACTTACTTGGTATCGGGTGAGAATAAACATTTGAGAATGGGTGCGTTGTGTGCTTCGATTTTGTGGAGTGGGTCGAATCGCGAGGTGTCGTCTTCACCTAGGTGCCAAACGAAACATTTGCCTTTGGTGTTGGATGCCACTACCATTGAACCGTCGGAGCTGATCGAGAGTGAAGTGATACCGTTCTCACCGTCCGGCACCAACTCACGACTGCAAGTGTTCGAAATCAGATCCCACACTCTGATACTACCGTTTTGATCACCCGATATCAGTTCCGCCTGATTCGGATGGAGAACAACACAATTGACCGGTGCATTACACTCGTAGTCACGCTGACATCCCGGTGCCTTTATATCCCAAATCTTAACGGTACCATCTTCTGAACCTGTATACATCCATTTACCTTCCTTCTGGAAACCAACCGATGTTACATTCACTTTATGACCATCGAAACTTGTTACCTAATAATAATAATCATCATCATCATCATTTGATATGTTAATATCAACGAATATCATTATGTGTATTAAGACAATGTTGTTTGTTAATGATACATACAGGATTATTATTATTTGAATTGACTTCAAAAAGTTTGGTTTGTGGATGTCCTGCAGCAGCAATATAATGTTTATCAGCTGTTATCTCTAATCTATTTATATGCTAAATTAACAAAAGTAAAAGAAAGTTAGTTAAATGAAATGATGAACCTATTGTGATTGATTGATTGATTGAGTCTTTTTCATGTTGTAATATATTATATATTGAATGGTTGAACACATACGAAATCACCGCAATCAATCGATCTATAACAACCTCCACTAGGTGGATCCCAAAACTTTATAGTATGATCATAGCTAGCTGTTGCAAGTATAATACCTCCTGGCATTGCTTATTATAATATATTATATATATGTATTTAAAATTTTACAAATTTTTATTGTTATAAAACTTGTTTTTTTTTTTTTTTTTTTAATTATTTTGATTATTTTATTTCCTTTTTAACAATTTTTAAAAATAAAAAGATATTTAAAAAGGTTTATAAATTAAAAACACACAAATCAAACAAACACACAACAACTCAAAAGTTTATAAATAATCCGATCGGTTTTGTTTGATCAATCAATATTTATCAGAAGTGAAGTAGTCATTGTATATCATTTTATTCATTGTTTATCAAAAAATTATAATATGATTCCAATTATTAGTGGAACTAAATTCTAGTATTTATATTTCTATTTCTGCACAAATAAATAAATTTTAAATTTTATTGATTTGGAAATGTTAATTTAAAATCATAAATTTATGATTTTAATACTGCCTATTTTATGAGTAGATCAATAACGGAACAACGTTACGCAGGTATGATGATTTTTTTTTTCATTTTTTTGATTTATTTTTTTGCATTTTGAAAATTAAAAAAAAAAAAAAAAAACTCACATTCATCATCAGTAATCACCCACCTGAATATATCGCTTTGAGAAAAGGAGGCAGCAATTCTGATTCTCGAGAATCAATATTATTATTATTAGTAGTAATTAATATTCAAAAATAAAGAAGTAGTAAAGTAGTTAAAGTAGTTGTAGTTCATTACATCACATCAAATACCTACCTTTCAACCTCTTTTGTAGTTCTAGATTCAATTTTCAACAAACTATATAGTGTAGATAATCAAGCATATTTAATAAAAATGATGTTCAACCATTTAAGAAAGAATGTAGGTATTTTAAATATTAATAAAAAAACAATAGTAAATAGTAAATAATAATAAGTAGAACAATCGAATGATCAAACAATCAATCAATCAATCAATCAAACCAATAAATAAATAAATCAATGAAAAAAAAAAAACAAAAAAAAAAAAAAAAAAAAAGTAGTAGAGTAAAAATGTTTGGATCGATAAATAGTCTTGTCAACATGTAACGATGTTACATAACATAATATCGAGTTCATATCAAATTTATAGCAATGAAAATAGAATCAATTTTAGCAAAGATAACGATCAATCAAAGCTTTATCAAAAAAAGAAAAAGGAAATTTAGAATCATAACAAATATATAATTAAGAATCAATAGATAATAATAGTATAGTTATAACAGTAAGAGACAGATGACAGAATAATTATGTAGATCACACTAAATTATCTCTACTTTTTTTTATTTTTTTTATTTTTTTTTTGAGTTACTTTTTTTTTTTTTTCGAAAAACACAACTGCAACAAGACACTAAAAACACATACAAAAAGTAGATCTGATTTGAACAGTCAGCCATTGATCGATCAAAACAATCATATCAAATTAGCAATGAAATAAATAAATTAAATAATTAATAATAATAATGCTAATAATCAAAATTTGATATCAATTTTAGGCCAAGTTAATCTTTGGTACTGCTACAGCATTGACTGGTGCTTCATTGGCCACTGGTAGCATGTTCTTGTCTGATGACTTTGCTCAACCACCAGAATTCCCATGGAACCATCGTTTCCCATGGCAATCATTCGATCACGCTTCAATTCGTCGTGGACATCAAGTATATACTCAAGTATGTTCAACCTGTCACAGTCTCGATATGATCTCCTACCGTCATTTGATCGACGTTGCATACACTGCCGATGAAATGAAGGCATACACCGCCGAATTGACCGTATGTATAACAATGTAACACTATTATTAACATATATATATATATGTGCAGAAAGAATTTGAATTAATTATTGAAATTGATTGATTAAATCAAAAACAAACAAAACAAAAAGGTTATGGACGGACCAGATTCAGAGGGAGATATGTTTGAACGTAAAGGAGCAATCACCGATTATCATCCAAAACCCTATGAAAATCAAAATGCTGCACGTTTCTCAAATAATGGTGCTTTGCCACCCGATATGTCGTTGGTCGTCAAGGCACGTGGACGTCACGAAGACTATGTGTTCTCGTTGTTGACCACCTACGTCGAGCCACCCAGCGGTGTCAAGATCACCCAGGGACAATATTTCAACCCATACTTCCCTGGCACCAAGATTGCTATGGCCCCACCATTATCCGAGGGTCAAGTCGAATTCGACGACGGCACCGAAGCATCGGTCTCGCAGATGGCCAAGGACGTTTCCACTTTCCTCGCCTGGGCATCGGAGCCAGAGCACGACGACAGAAAGAAATTAGGTATTAAAATTATTCTCGGTCTCTCATTGATCGCCGTTCCAATGTTTTACTGGAAGCGTTTGAAGTGGAGCACGATCAAGACACGTAAGATCCAATTCAAGGATTAAAATAATCATTTTAATTTTTTACAACACAACAATAACAACAACACAAAAAAACAAAAAGCAAACAACAACAAAAGTAAAGAAAAGACAAATTTACTTTTATTGGTTTATGCTTTTTGTTTTTTGACAACAATAACAACAGCAAAAACTTAAAAAAAACAACAACAACAACACTTGACCTATCATTATTCATTAATAAACAATAATATAATAATAAATATAAATTAAAGTATCTACATTTATATTTTTAATAATTTTTTTTTTTCTTTGAATATGAATATTAATATTAATTATAATCTTGATAAGAATTCTGACGAACAATATCTTTAATTAATTGGTTATTTATAGTTTTTTTTTAATAATTTTTATATTTATTAAAACTAAATTTATAAGAAAGGGGGCTATTAATTGTTGTTGTTGTTGATGAGGTGGGAATTATAAATTAATATAATATTTAAACTATTTCATATCTTTACAGTTTGTTGGTTTTTTTTTTTTTTTTTTGTTTGTTTTGTTTGTTTTGTTGTTTTTGTTTTGTTTTGTTTTGTTGTTGTGATTGATGTTGTTATTACTATTGTTACTATATCTTATTTATTTATTTATAAAATCAAACAATCTAAAAGTAAGTTCCTTCTGGTGGTTGTTGCAATCTTCTATTTGCAGTTGTAGTCATTTCACGTCTCAATTCCAATAAAATAGTTTCAATAGTTGTCTTGTCGCTCCAATCTTTCAACAATGGGAAATTCTTTGGCTCAACAACACCTGTCTGTTGATTTACACATGGAATATTGATTTTCGATTCGAATTTGACACTTGGTGGTTTGTTTGGGTAATCTTTATCACAAAATATCTTTAAATTATAGATTCTATTTTCGTGTGTACTCTGTTGTTGAATCGAAATCAAACAAATCAGTTAATTATTTGTTGTTATTATTACTACTTAGTAGTAGTTATTGTAGTAAGTTACTTACTTGATTTGGACCAATGATTGTTCCGATCCATGAGCTAAGATAGGTGTCCTCTGGCGACTCTAAACCATATGATACGGAACCATCACCCAATCCTTTCTCTCCTTTCTCCAACTCTGCAAGCAATCTAAAGTTACGTGGTAAAACAGACATTATTACTCTCTCTCTCTCTCTTACTATTATCAACTATTATACTAAACTACTATCTATCTATCTTTACTCTAACTAACTAACTAACTAACTCTACTACTAATAATAAATAATATTAATATTAATATATATATATTTATAGATCTCTAAACAATTTAAAAAAAAAACAATAATTAAAAAAGAAATACAAACATTTTTGTTTTTTTTTAAAATTTTGGTTTTGCTTTTTTTTTTTTCAAAATTAATGCAGAAAAAAGAACTTCCAGACTTTATTGGTGCTTGCCACGAACTAACTGTGTGATGTAATTATTGATTATATTCATCTTCACCAACATCGATTTATTTATTAAAAAAATGATGTTATAAGATTGGTTGATATTATAATATAATATTCCTTTTTTTTTTTAAATTTGGACTATAATCATATCTTTTTTTTTTAACTTTTAGACCTACTAATAAATGATTAAATTTAGATAATGTTTTTGTGAAAAGATAATAGCATACTATCTGTATAACATTTTGAAAAAGAAGTAATTTCCAACTATTTTGGAAAAAGCTCTTGTTTTAGTTGTTTTTGTCGTTTATCACCATCATCGGGAATTAAAAAACAGTGACACTTTTATGATGATTTTTCTAGTTTAATATTTGTTTTTTTTTTTTATCAAAAATTTTTTTTTTTGATTTTATTTTTTTTAGTGTTGTTGCAGTGAATGATAATAACTTCACACACAATCGATTATTTCATTATTTTCAATAAATTTAAATCAAAAATGTACAAGGGATTATCTACTGGTAGGAAATTTCAGATTACACATAAATATATATTAAATCACAACAATAATAATTTCAGTATTTAATAATCAATTATAATAAAATCACAAAAAATCAATTAATCAGATAATTAAACAAATGATCAGATCAGATCAGATTATACATCGATCAAATAAAGACAAATTAAATTAAACCAAATCAAAAAAAAAAAAAAAAAAAAAAAACAACACCAAAAGAATACTTATACATAATATAGAAAATGACAATAAATAATAATAATCATAATGAATAATATAAATATATATATAAGACAAACATGATAAATGAATGTTATATTAACATTTAATCAATAACCATTAGGAATCAGAACTTTTAGCACTGCCAACTTTTTTGCCACTGGTAAGGGTAAGGCACCACTCCGTGTCGCCATTACTGGTGCCTCTGGTCAAATCGGTTACCAATTGTTGTTCAGAATTGCCAGTGGTGATATGCTCGGTAAGGACCAACCGGTCATTTTGCAATGCCTCGAGTTGCCAGGTGCCATGAACGCCTTGAAGGGTGTCTCCATGGAACTCGACGATTGTGCCTTCCCATTGTTGAAGGGAATCGTCCAATCGGACAACCCAGAGGTTGCCTTTGAAGGTGCTGACTATGCCCTCTTGGTCGGAGCCAAGCCACGTTCCAAGGGAATGGAGCGTGGAGATTTGTTGGCTGCCAACGCCCAAATCTTCTCTGTCCAAGGTAAGGCCCTCGACAAGACCGCCAACCGTGACACCCTCCGTGTCTTGGTCGTCGGTAACCCAGCCAACACCAACGCCTTGATTGCCGCCCGTAACGCACCAAACATCGATCCAAAGCGTTTCTCTGCCATGACCCGTCTCGACCACAACCGTGGTTTGGCTCAATTGTCACAAAAGGCCAACTGCTCCGTCACCGACATCACCGATTTCTGTATCTGGGGTAACCACTCTGCCACCCAATACCCAGATATCACCAGCACCAAGATCTCTGGAAAGTCCATTAGCAACTACATCAGCGACAACGCCTGGATCAAGGACAACTTCATCCCAACCGTCCAACAACGTGGTGCCGCCATTATTGCCGCCCGTGGACTCTCGTCCGCCGCTTCCGCCGCCTCTGCCGCCATCGATCACATGAGAGATTGGACCTACGGAACCAACGGTCAATGGACCTCCATGGCCGTCTTCTCTGACGGATCGTACGGTGCCGACAAGGGACTCTACTTCTCATACCCAGTCATCTGCAAGAACGGACAATACGAAATCGTCCAAGGACTCAAACTCGACCAATTCTCCAAGGAGAGATTCGATGTCACCAACAAGGAGTTGATCTCTGAACGTGATGCCATTGCCCACCTTCTTCCATAAACAAACATATGATATAATTAATTGAAAAAAAGAAAAACCTCTAATTAATCTTTTCTTTTTTTTTTTTTTTTGTTTATATATAACAAACTTTAATAAATCAAAAAATATCAAACCACTCTGTTTCATTCTGCTGATTTCAAATGTTAAGGTAATAATATTCAAGTCAAATTGAAGTTAAAAGTAAAACAATCATCTCTTTTGAAATATAGAATTTGGCAATGAGAATATATATATAGTAAATGTTTCTATAATCTATTAATTTATTACTCTTCTTCTTAAAAAAAAACAAACACAGACTTTGAGAAAAATAATATCTTTAAAAAAATTACAACCTAATTTATAACGACTTTGATTGGTTTAGAAATTTATGCAATAAAAAAAAAATAAAGTAGTATTCATTTGAATTTCTGATTTCTTGAAAACAATTTATCATAAAAAATCATTTACTTTAAGATATATATATATTTTTATTTATTTAATTATTTATTTTCGTGTAGAAAAATAAATGTTTAGTTTAACAAAACAAATTCTGTTTAAATCATCAACAGTAAAGAATGTTGTTGGTAATTTAATGTATAATGCTTCATCTTCTGTTGTAAGATCATATTCAAGTGTTAATAATAATAACAACAACAGCAATAATAGCGATGCCTCACCATTGAGACGTATGAATAACAAGGTTTGTTTTGTAACTGGTGGAGCTGCTGGTATTGGTTTGGGAATAGTGGAGCGTTTCCTCAAGGAAGGTGGTAAGGTTGCTGTTGCCGATCTGAATGGTCAGTTGGCGTCGGATGTCGCCACAAAGTTGGACAAGCAATATCCAGGCTCGGTGATTGCCATCAAAGCTGACATCACCCAGGAGGAGGATGTCCGTCAGGGCATTGAGAAAACTGTCGCCAAGTTTGGTGGACTCGACGTCGTCGTCTCGAATGCCGGATTCCAACATATCGAGGCACTGGAGGACTTGCCGCTTGAGATGTGGAAGAAAATGTTGGCCGTTCACCTCGACGGATCGTTCTTGTGTGCGAAACACGCCATCCGCCAATTCAAAAAAGATACGGTTCGTGGAGGATCGATTATCTTTATTGGATCGGTACATAGCAAGGTTGCATCGGATTTGAAATCACCGTATGTCACTGCCAAGCATGGATTGGAGGGATTGAATCGTTCGGTAGCTAGAGAGGCTGCCAAGTACAACGTTCGTTCCAACTTGTTGTGTCCAGGATTCGTCAGAACCGCGCTGGTCGAGCGTCAGATTCCACAGATTGCAGAGCGTATGGGAATCTCAGAGGATCAGGTCATCAAGAGCGTCATGCTCAAAGATACACTCGATGGTGAATTCACCTCGTTTGAGGATGTCAATGAGGTTGCTGTCACATTTGTCCACATGCCATCGAAAGCATTAACCGGACAATCAGTCATAGTCAGTCATGGTTGGGTACTTGAATAAATATATAGCAAATTGTTTTATTCTAGAAAAGTTTAAATGTAGTAATATATAAAGAATAATAAAAAAAGGTTTTAATAAATAGTGGTTTATTAATTTATACAATAACAACAACAATATTGTTTTAATGTTTTAAATGATTAACAGTCAGTTAGTTAGTTAGTTAGTTTGAAACTAGCATCTAGTCCAATCCAATCTAATCCTATGCAATGGTATGTGGATTCCAACAGATTCTCTTATCTTTATGTAGACTATCAAGTTTGAGCATATCGGCATCGTTGATATCGAAATCAAAGATATTGGCATTCTCAATGATTCTCTCTGATTTCGTTGATTTTGGAATGACGACAATACTCTTTTGAATTGCCCATCTCAATAATACTTGTGCCGGTGTCTTTTTGTATTTAGTTGCAATCTCAACAATTACATTATCTTCAAACTTTAAAGAAAATCATATGAAGATAAAAGATAGAATAGTTTAGTTAGTTTCAAATGTGATATTTAGTTAAATAGGTAATTAATGATAACACATACAGAATCTTTATCAGCTCTAACCAATGATGAATATGCCTCCAATACAATATTGTTTTTGGTACAATAATCATGTAGTTCCTTTTGGTAGAGGAATGGATGGAATTCGACTTGGTTCACCGCTGGAACAACCGATGAATTTTTAAGGAGATCTTCGAGATGTTCGACGGTGTAGTTACTGACGCCAATCGATCTACATTTCTTATCGGCATAGAGTTTCTCAAAGGCACGCCAGGTCTCTAGACGTGTCTCGCGATTCAATGGATCGGTTGGCTGTCTTCCGGAAGTACCGGGCCAGTGAATCAAGTAGAGATCGAGATAGTCTAGTTTCAATCGCTTCAGTGAGTTCTCGCAAGCGGCAAGAGCATTGTCATAACCATGCTCGGCAGGTCCAGCCTTTGTAGTGATAAAGAGATCCTCTCGCTTAAATTTACCGCTCTCAAACAGTTCTTTCAAGCAATCACCGATTGCCTCTTCATTTCTATAGACTGAGGCAGTGTCAATCGAAATGTAACCGCCATTCAGAGCAGTGATAAGCGAGTTCTTAATGTCACCAACCAATGTTTGATAGGTTCCCACTACAAAGTAAAGTAGAGTATAACATATATAAACAAAAAAAAAAGATTAGAATCATTTACAATTATTATTATTATTATTCTATTTCAAAAAGGTTCTACTTACAACCAAATAGTGGCATATTTACACCATTGTTTAATGTAACAGTTGATCTAATTGTTAATTGTACCATTTTTGAACTGTTTGTAATAAATGATCTGATCATAATCTGTATGAAATTTAAATTGAAAAATTAATTTGTTTTTTTATGTGATGTTGGTGTTCACAAAAAAAAAGTGTGATCATTGTATTTTCTTTTCATTTAAACTTGAGAAAATTCAATATCGTGGTGTGCTATGAGTGTAGCTACTATAGATAACTATTTAAACAATTAATATAAATGTAAATATTAATCACAAATTAATATGATAATCACCAAAAAAAAAAAAAAATTCCTAAGGTAAAACGAATCCCTGATAAGGAAATCCCTCACTAAAATCTAAATAAAAAACAAAATTCATAATATTATGAATTTTGATTATTTTCAAATTTAATTTATAACTATTGTTTTTTTTTATTAAAGGTAAAAGTAAAAAAGATATGTCTAGCACAAATAATAATGTTATTATGTCAGTGCTTACAAATAAGGTTCTGCTAAGACATATGTTCTCTTTGATCAGAGAGGAATATGGTAATCATTGTCCTGCGAATATGAGTGATTGCTATTACTACGCTGAACATCTCTACAAACATCTTTTAGATTCATTAGTAATCATGGATAAAGGATGGTACAGTTTGATGGCTGACAGAATCAAAAGTGGAGATTCCTTGGATTTTTCTCATAGAGCAGCTGTTGAACTATGTAATAGAGTTACGGATACCGAGATCTTTACAACCGTTTACAGTGACAAGCAAATATATTTCACGGATCCAGAGTGTCTAAAGACAGCAATCACCAAAGGAAATATCATTGCAGTCCGTATCCTTCTCGACCAACACGATCCAGTCAATCTTTTCAGTAACTTCACTGTCGACCTGCTGATTCAATTTGCATTGACTGCCTCACAATATCATATGGTTGAATTCCTCATCGATAGGTTTTCCACTCACGAACAGCATGCAACTTCCCAAAATATATTTGATGAGTATGTCAAGAAATTGGAAATTAATACTATCAGATGGATAGGCAGAAATTTACAAACAGTACCATGTCCAGAGAAAGTTCTCCAAACATACAAACATTATTTGGGGAATGACAGGATTAGGAATTCATTTGTTATCTTTTATTTTTCAGATGTTTTCTATAATGAAACCAAAACTCCTACTAATCAATGTCTTGGACCACTCTATTCTTATTGCAAAGTCAATGGATTGGTTGAAGATGTTCAACAATTCAAAAGCCAATGTGATCAACTACTTCAACAATCAATCGATAACAGTGTTAGTATCATAAACAACTTTATCAACTCGAATGGATATCATTTTCTTTTGGACATTGAAATCAATCCATATATCGAATCATTTCGAGAAACAATTCAATTGGTGATGCTATTCAAACTGATCAATGATGGTGTGTTACCAGATTACTTTAAAAAGAATATGATCCAAAATATATTTAAACGAACGACAACACATCCATTTATTATTCCATTCTTGATGGATACACTGCTTGCCAAAGAAAGAGATAGTACAATTCAATGTCTTTGCAAAATTGCAGATTCATTCGATTCCGTCATTGTTGCACATTATTACAAACTGCCAGCAGAAAAGCAACCACCAAGTTTGAAACAACTCTTTGATTCCTATTGGTATAGAGCAATGAAATGTGCTGCATGGAAAGGTGATCTATTTACTCTAAAGAAGTTATTGGATCATCATAAAAAAAGAGTAGAGCTCGCCGTCTGGGATGAACTCATTGATTTGGCAATCTGTAGAGAGAATCTCAATGTTTTAGAGTTTATAGTTGTTAAAGAAGCTGTCAAACCTAATAATGAGAATTTTGAGAGTATTGGATACATTGGTAGTCTTCCATGTCTTCAATTGTTACTTGATAAGACACTTCAAGATGGAGATTTCAAAAAGATGATAAGAGCGGTACACGAGATTGCTTGCGACCACGGTCAAACTAAATTCATCAGTGATATCTATGATCAAATCCCAGATTACAATAGAGTCTATTGGTCAAATATAATTCATTCTGGTATTATCGATACTGCGTATCTTCAATTTGGAATCCATGAATACGATGACCAAGAGATATTGGAACTCATCGAAATTGCAATCAGTATGGGAAAAGTTGAATTCTATCAATTCTTTGTGGAACAACTCCAAGATACCTCGATTTTAAATCAGTTGTCACCAAACAAGAAACCCGAACATCTTTCCCACAACTTATATCCAATTTATATTTATCGATTACTTGAACCAAGAAAAATATAAAAGACAAATTTTGAAGACATATAAGCGCGCAAACAATCAATAAACAATTCATTATATATCATTTTTATTTTATATTCACTTCAATCAATGATTGTTGTGTAGAAATATATGATGGTAAAGTATTAATATAAATAATATAATAGACATACAAATACAAGTATTCAAACAAGTCTTTTAATTATTTTAAATTAATTCTTTTGAGAAAGATGTTAAATTTTTGATAATTTTTTAGTATTAAAATAGCAAAGAAACAAAAATTGGTTTTCATTTTATTTTACAGCTGTTATATAAACAAATATTATAGTTATATATTATTAAAGGTAAAAATAAAAAGATATGTCTAGTACAAACAATAATGTTATTATGTCAGTACTTAAAAATAAGATGTTGCTAAGACATATGTTTTCTTTGATCAGAGAAGAATATGATAATCAATGCCCGGCAGTTGATGATGATTGCTTAACCAATTCTCGACATCTCTACAAGCATTTCGTCAATTCATTAGCAATCATGGATAAAGGATGGTATAGTCTGATGGCTGACAGAATCAAGAAAGGAGATTCATTGTATTTTAGTAGCAGTATAGCTGTTGAACTATGTGGCAGAGTTACGGATGCCGACATCTTTACAACCGTTTACAATGCAAAGCGTTTCTATTTCACAGACCCAGAGTGTCTAAAGACAGCAATCACCAAAGGAAATATCAATGCGGTTCGCATCCTTCTCGATCAACACAAACCAGTCAATCTTTCCAATCACTTCACTTTCGATACACTTATGCTATTTACATTGACTACCTCACAATATCATATAGCTGAATTCCTCATCGATAAGTTTCACACTCATGACCCACAAGCAACTACCCAGAATATACTTGATCATTATATCAAGAGATTTAATATCCTCCACTCTGTGACTTTCTACAATATGTTTGTAAATCTACAAACAGTACCATATCCAGAGAAATTTCTCCAAACATACAAGCCTCATCTCAGAGAAAAATCATCTGTTGGAATGTATCTTTCCGATTTTTTCTTTATACACACCAACACTCCCATTAAACAATGGCTTCTACCACTCTATTCTTATTGCAAAGTCAATGGATTGGTTGAAGATGTTCAACAATTCAAAAGCGAATGTGATAAACTACTTCAACAATCAATCGATAACAGTGTTAGTATCATAAACAGCTTTATCAAATCGAATGGCTATCATTTTCTTTTGGACATTGAAATCAATCCATATATCGAATCATTTCGAGAAACCATACAGTTGGTGATGCTATTCAAACTGATCAATGATGGTGTGTTACCAGATTACTTTAAAAAGAATATGATCCAAAATATATTTAAACGAACGACAACACATCCATTTATTATTCCATTCTTGATGGATACACTGCTTGCCAAAGAAAGAGATAGTACAATTCAATGTCTTTGCAAAGTTGCAGATTCATTCGATTCAGTCATTGTAGCGCAATATTACAAAAGACCAGCAGGTGAAAAGTCATAAAATTTGAAACAACTCTTTGATTCCTATTGGTATAGAGCAATGAAATGTGCGGCATGGAAAGGTGATCTATTTACTCTAAAGAAGTTATTGGATCATCGAAGTTATACAGTTAAGAATTCATGGAGTGAACTCATTGATTTGGCAATCTGTAGAGAGAATCTCAATGTTTTAGAGTTTATAGTTGTTGAGAAAGCAGTTACAATTACCTCTAACAATTGTAAGAAGATTGGATCGATGGGAAGTCTACCATGTCTTCAATTGTTACTTGGTAAGACATTTCAAGCCGGTGATTTCGATAGTCCGATGATAAGAGCGGTACACGAGATGGCTTGTACCTACGGTCAAACTAAATTCATCAGTGACATGTATAATCAATATTCTGAATATAATAGAAATTACTGGTCAAATATAATTCATTCTGGTATTATCAGTACTGCATATCTTCAATTTGGAATCAATGATTACAATGACCAAGAGATATTGGAACTCATCGAAATTGCAATCAACAGTGGAAAAGTTGAATTTTATCAATTCTTTGTGGAACAACTCCAAGATTCCTCGATTTTAAATCAGTTGTCACCAAACAAGAAACCAAACAAAGTTTCCAACGGTCTATATCCAATATATTTTCATCGATTACTTGAACCAAGAAAAAGACAAAAGACAAACCTTTGAAGAGAATGAAACAAACAAACTTTAATTGTGTAAAATAAAATTGATTGATTGATTGATTGATCATTTATTTATGTTTATTTATTTTTTATGATCAATAGTAAGTCTGTAAATATGTTGATCAGGAAGGTGTTGAAGTTTAGCAGTTATAGAGGTTTCATTATGAACACGACCAGTGTCATCTTGAACTTGCAGGTAAAGAAGGGGAACCACTTTATCTAGCCAAACGCTACTGTCAGAGTGTTCAAATGTAGGAGTTGGGAATGTATAAATATCAATGGGTGGGTATCTCTCTAACGTTTCAAAACAAGCAGAGCCTTTAATACCGAGTGGTCGATAGCCACCATCACTTGGTACCAAGAACAAATGATAAACTTTATAGCATCTATTCATAGTTTTTTAGTAAAATAAGTTTTATATGTTTCTAAATATTTATTCTTACTAAAATGAGAAAACAAAAAAAATAAATAAAATAGAAAAACAAAAAAAAAAGATATTTAAAAACAAATAAGATAGTATTAATTTTTTTCCAATAAATTTGTGCGCACTAAAATGAATGATTCACCAAGCAAGTAAGTGAGTGAGGATAGAAGGTTATAATTAATTAATTTCATTTAAACATCAATAACCAATCAACAAGAAAGAATAATCTATAATAATAAAATACGTAGACAATAAATATCTGTAGAAGTTACACATTTAAGAATGAATTAATTAATTGTAGATGTTCTTTACACTTTTGTTGAAAGTTGTCATTAAATTTTTACTTTTGTTATTTCAAACATACAATCTGTAGAGTTAAAAGATTCATACATCATAGTTTGTTTGTTTGTTTTTTTAACTCTTTATAACGAAAAGTAATGAACTGCACGCAGTGATGTTATTGATTTTACATTTTCTTTATTACCGTTGTCTGACGAAACAATGAATGTAAACAAGTGTTCTAAATGATTCTATCTTACTTACATATAAGTTTTTAGTTTGAGCTCTAGTAATCTCACTCTAGGTTCAAAGGTTGGCATCGCTTTCATCAAAGTTATACAATATCATGAAATTAGAAATACGTAGATCAGTCAATGATATATCATTACATTAGCTGATCTATTTCATAAAATAACTATAATGTAGGTTTATAGTTAATTATCTGTGATTAAATCAAATAATATTGTTGATTTTTTTTTTTAGATTTTGAAAATTTGAATTTTTATTTAATCACGAGAACGGAGATATGTTCACATGATAAAGATGAAGTAAAGTTATTTATTTGTGTTGTTATATTAAAGTTCAAATAAAAATGACAGATTGTATGGTAGAGATATCGAAACTATCACATATTTTAATAAGAAAAATCATTAGTTTTATAGATTCGAATTTCGATCGAATTGCGTTTGTTCTAACATGTAAGACACTGTTCAATTGCCGTGATTCGATATTGCTATTCGCTCAGGTGAATCCTGTGCATTACAGAAAGTTGGAGGGTTTAGATCGATGGCTGACGATGCGTTCCTTTCGACAATGCTATCTCAATTCATTCAGTAGGATGGTTGCCTGTGAAGCATCCGATGATATACTCGAGTCGGACGATTATACAAAGCTGGGTGTCGACATAACACATTTCACCTATGACATGGAGGATGTCCTGGAGCGACGATTCATACCGAGTACGGCGACCACCGTTATTCTACCGTCGTGGTATCACTCGGTTCCGATTCCACCGGGAATCTTTAGCGACGCGGTCACTGAGCTTCAGCTATGCGACGACTATTCATTTCCACTCGAGAGCGACACACTCCCGCACAGACTGAAAACATTCAAGAAAATGTTGGTACATCCTCTGCAACCACATTGTATTCCTGACACGGTTACAGAGTTGACATTCAGCTCGGAAACCGCCACTCCCATCGATCTATCGTTGCTGCCCGCTCAGTTGAATTCTCTGATTCTCTATTGTGCCAGTCCATTTAGCGAGCATATGAAACTTCCGAACAGTTTAACTTCGCTTTCACTCATGGGAATGTACAGACAGCAGCTCCAACCTGGATTCCTACCGGCGTCACTCCGACATCTTTGGATTGGAGCGACTTTTACCCATGAGCTACTGGAAGGTGCACTTCCTGAGAATCTCAAGTCACTCGAGCTACATGGATTCCATATTCCTCAGAACGAGCGGGTATTGCCGCCAAACCTGGAACGACTCACATTCTTACAACCCACAAAATTCAACCCATTCCAAAGGCTTGATAAACTTCGATCACTTTCACTCTCTGTTAGTAGTATCGTACAGATGGCAGCTTTTATTCCGTCGACTGTTACACACCTCCGTATCATAGGATACAGTAGTAAAGCTAGCAGTCAGATAGCTCAACAACAAATTTCACTTCCACCGACGATCACCAATCTCTTTGTTGATAGCTGGTCAGAGTCATTAACCATGGAGTTTCTTCCGTGCTATTTGCAAACGTTGGAACTGGGCTATCATTTCAATCAACCTATCGCAGCTGGTTTGCTTCCCTCGACGCTAAAGCACATCAAATTCGGCAATAATTTCAATCAGCCATTGGATCATCTTCCAAAATCATTACTTTCCATTACACTAGGCTCTAATTTCAATCAACCGCTACACAATCTCAAGATAAGGCAGCTGTCTTTCGAACACTATACAAATAGGTTCATCAGCGACAACCTCTGTACTTTCCTAGAGAACAATCCCGACTGCTTGGTCACGTTGGGATCCAACGACTATCCACCCACCGTCACAATACGACCTCTCAATCAACAATATTCACTGGTATTAACTGACGACATCCAAGGTGGTTACATCCTCAATGAAAATATATTCCTTCTACTTAATAATCTTATTAAATCTTCATACTTTGGAATATAAATTTAATGATTGATTTGTTCCGTTTGTTATAACTAATCATCATCTTCATATTTTCTCACAAACTAGTTGATTTCTTTTGTTATTGCTGAAGTTGTCGTCAAACAACAAACATTATCAAAGTATTATTTTCTCACTTTCTCATAAAGATTATTAATTAGGCTATGAATTGAAGATAATGATTGATATTTCACCCAACAATCACACATCCATAATCCACAATTAGTTGATAGTACACTGCCCAGATTAATATTAAAAGACGTAAAGTTTTTTGTTTAATCTTGAGATTGTTAGCTGGATGTATATTATACAGTGATGAAAGATACTCTAAAAAGGTCCAAATTACAATCTCCAAATTAAATTGGATAAGGACTTTATAAATAGTGTTCACAACACTTCAACTCTTATCAATATAATTTCCATTATTGTCAATGATCATCAACCTGATTTTACAAACTACTATTAATAGTTTGTGTTTTTCTTTGTTTTTTTTTTTAAATCGGGTCTTTTTTATTGTTAAAATCAGTTGTTTTGTGTGTTGTTGGGCGAGTGAGTGTGTGAATGTGTGATCAAATAAAACCATCTGTAAGTTTAAGTTTTAATTTTTAGATCCCCACAAACCATACCAACACATAAACTAATGTAAAGAATCAAAGAATGCAAATAAAATAAATCAAATTAACAAAACAAAACAACATGATGTTTGAAAAAACTAATTCCAATCTAATGTTACGTTCGCACTTTACTAACACCACCTGCTGATGCCTGCTCTTTGTCATTTACCTTTTGAAACAAACAAATGGGCAACAACCAAAAAAAACTTCTAAAGGTATAATAGTTATTAATTAAGCAGTTAACTCTGTTAGTTAGGCTTTTTGTTGATATCATCTTTTTTCTTTAGATTGCTGATAAGTTTAATATTAAAAAATACCTTTTTAAAACTTCATTTACTTTTCGAAAGAGAAGAAACAAACAATCAAACAATCAATCATTAGTTAGTTAGTTAGTTTATTTAAAAGTCAATTCATATAAACCCACATATAAATAAAATAAAATCATAAAAAATCTATATTTATAAAAATATCTATATTCATAATACATACATAACAAAAAATTTTAATACTTAACCATACATGTAAGTTTATTTAATATTTTATTGCATTTAATTAAAAATCCTGCACTTCATGATAATAATAAAATCTGATTTTTAAAAATCATTAGTTGAGTTTTTGAATTGATTATGTTTATTATTAAACACACACTCATACACACACAAATCAAATCATAAATCATAAATATTAGTTATGTGCTATTATATATCAAATAATCATACTATGTGGGGGTGGCGTTTAAGTTGATTTATTCATTGAATGCAGTAGTAGTGGTAGTAGTGGTAGTGGTAGTTGAAGTTGTGTTGTGTTGATTTATTAATCAATTTGATATCAATGTAGAAATATGATGATTAATGAACATAATATATGTATATAAATAGTATAATGTACACTAATATTACTTATATGTAATTGAACAGACATTACATGATCATCACAATCATCATTAAATAAAATAACAAAATCATAACAACAACTATAATAACTTCCAATAAGATATAAATAATTAAAGGTGAGTTGGTTCTATTTTTAAAAAATATATGAGAATTTCCAATTTCTCATATATTCATAGCTTAGCTAGTACAATTATTTTGATATTATAATAGAATACAGTAGCTGTGTGGTGTATAATTAAAGAAGTAGTAGATTAAAGATCAAAGATATGACGGTGTGTTTGCTTTGTTTGTTTGTTTGTTAGTTTGATTGCTATTGTTATTGTTATTGATCCTTTATTTTTAAACCCCTCTAGCTATTCTAATTGACACAACACATTGCATTGCTATCAACTTCAAAACACTATAACAACTTACTTTATTTCCTTTTAAATTTAATACCCAACGATCAAATAAGGTTATGGTATAAATTTGTCAAATCAATTAGGGTTTTAATTTTAAATACTATATCCACTTCAAGTGAAAAAGATAGACATATTGCGATACACCACATTATCATATAATCATATATACCAAACAACAAAGAATAAAAATAAACCAACAATACTAGAAAAGAAAAGAATAGAAAAGAAAAAAAGATAACTAAAAAAGATCAAAGTAATATCATATTTGTTTTTTTTTCATTCTATACCATAATAATAAATATTTCAATAAAATCTGTACAAGAAAGAACGTGATCACTACCTTTTCAATTTAAATATGCCCCGCTAAAATCGGAAGTAACATTTTTTTTTTTTCCAACCAACAAAACATTCAACACCACCTCCGAACAAGGTAAATTTATGTTCTTTAATTAAATCATTAACACTCCAATATTGATATAGTAGTACACCAACCACCATTTGAACATAGTACTCGTTTCAATCAGAAAGGAGTACTTTACAAAATTACTCTGCCATCAAAATAAAGATTTTCTATTTCCATTTTGTTTGTTTTTATTTTATTTTTTAAATATTGGAGAAACTAAAGATAATCTTGAACACCTTCAATTCAATATCCAATCATCGTTCAGATGTTTTAAACATAATTTATAACTTTTGAAAAGAATAAAATATTTATAAATATAATTTTCTTTGATTATAATGGTCATTAATAGAATAGGTTAGAAATAGCTAGAGACCATCAAACAATAATAAAATCAAACTTATATATAAGCCAAATCAATAGGTTCTACCTCAAATTTTTAGATTCCAACACAATAATTGTAACAATAATTAACAGATTCGAAATCTTTGTAAGATATTCAAAGTAACAGAGTGTTTTATTTTTATCAAGCAGGTAGGAAAATTATAATAATCATAACATTTAAAATGATTCATTCAAATCTTAAAATCACAAAGAGATATTTGTTTTGTTGGGTTTATTATAAAGAGATAAAAAGTTAAACTTTTGTTGTTCAACTTTTATCCAATCTTTAAATTCTTTTTAATCACAAATAGATATATTTGATCATTCGATATTTAAATGATCAAACCAAACCAAACTAAACCAAACAAAACAAAACCAAATTTAAACAAGGCTACACCATTCCAATCGGAATGTATGGTTTGGCTAATATTAGATAGAGAAATATGTGTGTGTTTGTTTGTGTGTTTTAAAACCTTTAAAAGCCCAACTTGATGCTCATATATTAAAAAAAAGAGAAAACAAAAAAAAATAAAAATGTTACCCTCTGATTAATCCAATTCAACATTGATTGGATCATGATTGTTTTTATTGTTTTGTTTGTGTGTATGTTTCGCTCACTTAAAATAGATTTGCTCTCAAGTGGCATATTAAAAACTATTTATTACATTAAAAAACCACAACACACACAGCCCTCAAAAAATGTAGTAGTGGTTAAGCACAATATATCTCACCACAATACCACACATCCTGATGAAAACAAAAAAACACACACATCCACTCTCATCATCCAACAATCAAAAAAAAAAAACAAAAATAAATACATATTTCCATTTAATCTTAATCAATCAAACCAAAATAAAAACAACAGGAAAAAATAAAATAAAATAAAAACAACCTAAAAAGAAACTTAAGTTTAAAAATAATAATAACAACAACAATAATAATAATCATATTAATAATTATAATAGTTAACTGATTGTTTGTTTTTGATTGATTTATTGATTGATTGATTTGTTTGATTGAATCAATCATCATCAACAACAACATCATTAGAAAAAATAAAATTAAAACACAGATACACAAAGAGTTATATTTATATATCTATCAATAACCATACTATTATATTACCAAACAAACAACAGACACAGTCACACACATCTATACTTATATTTGTACGAATTATACAGTAAGCATTTCCTAATACCATAAAAAATAAAAATAACTATTGTTGATTGACAACATCCATCTCAAGGTTGAAATACCTCTTTAACCAATATCACCATCACCATCACCATCATCACCGTAACCTTCCCCATACAAAAACAAACATACAATAATATTAATAACTGACTGACTGCTTGATTGATTGCACTGCTTTATAACCATAAATATAATATTTATATTTCAAAAAATCTAAATAATTCCAAAATTACCAGCACCCTTTATTATTTATTTAACAATTAATACCACAACCTACTACTTTTACTCAATTTAACCAAAAACAACAAAAATAACAACGATTGTACCAAAATCCAAATTTAAATGGCAATTAATTAAAAAAATCAACAACAGACCAGAAATCAACAAACACAATTACAACAAAAAAAAAAAAAAAAGGAATCGTGAGAAAAGCAGTGGTTGATTTGACGTTAAATTGTTATTGTAAATAGAGCAACAACCATCATCATCATCATCATTAATTAATAATATATTAATATTTATATATAAATTTAATTTGATTAATATATAATCATTATTTTTATTTAATTACACAGAATTATCAAGTAACAAAGATAAAAAGTGTAATATTAAAATTTTGTTGGATTTTGCTGGAAAAAAACAAAAATTAAAAAAAAGTAAACAGGAAACAGAGTTTATTATATAATTATAACAATAATAGCAAGAACAATTGAAAAAGATAATAGCAGTTGCAATAGCAGTTAAAACAAATTTATTTTATTTATTTATTTTTGTAAAATATTATTGTTTTGTTTTGATTTTGTTTTGATTTAAATTTATATTGTAATAATAGTAATAATTATTTTGTACCAATTCAATTTCAAAGATATATAGATTAGCGAGTCTCTTAACAAATTTATTTATATATTTATTTATTAATTTATTTATTTTCATTCTATTTAATTTATTTATGGACCATTATAGGAGTATCATCAACATCAAGTTTCCAAATTAATATCCTCATTTTTAGCAGTAGCATTATTCATCATCGATTCAATCAATGACTAAATAATTATCTATCCATCAACTATCTATATATTTATATATTTTATATAGCAATTGTATTTATATACATAATCCAATCCAATCCAATATATATCCAACTCTTTATATTCATAATTTCAAGCCAACCGCAACAATATCCACAAAAAACCTAAAAAAACAAAACTTGTATATCTTTATTTATTTTATTCAATTCTTTTATTATTATTTATAACTACATATATCCAATTTACATAAATAAACACACTCATATATATATATAACAAATTAGTACCATAAAGAATGGATCCAGAACAAACAACATCAAATTCAACAAATCCAGAAGATTTGAATGAAAATCATGAAAATTCCGAAACAATAATATTTCCAAGTTGCGATATAGTGCTAAATGAAGAGCCAACAACAGAAGATGATAATGATAATAATAATAATAATATAGATGAAAATGGTAATAATATGGCACCAATTCCATATATTCCACCGATTATTATTGCCGACAATAATAGTGATAACGACTCTGGCGATGACTCGATTCATCCGCTTGGCACAAACAACAGTGGTGGCGACTCTACACCTCCACAGCGTCTGCAGACATCACATAGCTTCCTCTCCATTCGACGATCGTGGATGGGTAAATTCATTAGTCGTCGTAAGCTAAAACATTCAATCAGTACAGGTAGTTTGAATCATCGAAACAATCAATCAGATCTAGTTCCATCGCCAACATGTGAATCTTTTTCAACTCCAACTTCACCTCGAATCAATGGACATCAACATATTAATAATAATAATAACAATAATAATAATAATAATAACAATAACAATAACAATAGTAATAATAGTAGTAGTACAACTACTACCAATAGTAGTAATAATAATAGTCCATCCATTAGTAATAATAATAATTCTAAACCACGCCAGAAATCAATCAAAGGAATATTCTCATTTTTTAGTAGTAGTAGCAACAACAATGGTGGAAATAATAGTAATGGTGATAAACCAAGTAATAATTCATTGAAACGTTCAAAAATACCTAATAGTCTTAGTTGTAGTAATTTACCAAATTCAAGTTTTATGGATGAATATAAAAAACAACAACAAATTCAACAACAACAGGCTCAACAACAACAAAAAATAAAACAAACAACACCACCAAGTCCATCACAAATACATCAACAACAATCAATGACTACATCAGTATCGGCAAATAATATTGTTGGAAGTGGCGGTGGTGATATGGAACAACAGATCATCCCAGTGGTTGAGTTGTTGAGTGAGAAAAGCTTGGTTAGACCAAACACCGATTCCACTTGTCAACAGCAACTACATCAACTGGCACCACTTCGTCCATCTCTAGTGAGATCACACACTGAAGTTTCACCGATTCGCCCGTCGAATCTATCGAATCCACCGAGTCCTCTGACTTCACCACCCTCCATCTCTAGCAACAGCAGTAGCAGTGGAAGCAGCAGTGGTGACGAACGTTCACCTTCGCCAACCACCATTAGTATCAACGATGGTACAACCAGTCCACTCCAACCGAATGCAGCCAACAGCACTTCATCCACTGGCGGCTCTTCTTCGACGGCTGGCAACAGTGTCAGAACTTGGTCGAGGTCGAAAATCAAAGGATTACTTCACACACGAACATCTGCTCCACAGCTAGGATCGAAACAGCTGCCGCTGGACGGTGCAATTCCACTTCCGAAAATTGGAACTCATCATTGGTGGGGATCGTCCAATCCGATTCCACCGGAGAACAACAATCTGCAGATGCACCTCCAGGCACTACCGAAACTGGCGTCGACAGCTCCAACCTCATCGAATGCACTCAGTCAGAATAGATCGCATTCGGAAACACACATTCAAAGACAAACAACGAAATGGGTGATGGCTGCACCTTCTTCACCACCTCCATTCCACCATGGTAGCGCTCCGATTGGTCGAACCAACAATTCACCTTCGGATCTCTCTCCAGACTTTTGTCTTTCCCCGATCAGTTCTGTCATTCGAGTGTATTATGTTCCGCTATTTGACGACTCCTCACCGATTCCATTCTCTGATGTTCCAGATTCTTTGACTCTGAACAACCATAATAATAATCATACTCACCACAATCATTCCAATCTCAATACCAGTGTAAACAACACTACAACTACAACCACTACCAACAACGGCAGCAATTCTTCCAACCAAAAACAACAAATTCCAACTCAATATTGGACACAAACAGTCACCAATACAACTGTTGTTAGGGAGATCATTGACCAGATATCTGGAAAGATCGATAAACCTTCAGAGTTATTGAAACTGTGTTGCTCGATGAATACTTTGGACTTTTTGGATGAAGATAAACTGTTGACCACCACGAGAATGAAGAAATTCTTTTTGATGGAAGTTCCACAGGAGTTGATCATCCACGAATCCGAAGTAAATCCACCATTGAATCAGATACTTGGATTCACTACTTATAATAGTATTACGGGTAGTGGTGGTGTTGGTGGTCACAGTGGATCCATCCACTCAATGAATGGAATGCCTCATCACGATGCACTCTCCACTCAGTCCTGTACCAACTTGTTGGCGATCAGCAAGAGTTGGTCACCGTCCTACTATTGCAAATTCCTTTCCTCGTCGACCGGACGTGTTGCTCCACTCGGAGGTTTGCGAGCCAGTGGTTTGGGAGCGAGTCCAGATTCACTGAACGAAGATTTCCTCATGGAACTCGGTGAGGGACGATCGATGTCATCGAGCTACACCGCCGCTCTCAACAACAGTAAATCTACCAATTCACTTGCCAGTATTATCATTGCAATCTCACCGGTTCTCAAAGAGAAAATCAAGATTCTCGACAACTATTTCCACCACTACTACAGGGAGTTGGACAACTATCTCGCACAGAGAAAACGACGTATGGAGAATCTCATTCAAGCTCTCAATGAATCCGGTATCAAGGAGAACAGCATTGCTTGGCAGCGTTGCATGAGAGAATACATGGACAAAGAGAGTACCTATCTCCGACAGAAACGTGCACACATTGGACCATCGGATTTCCGCAAGCTCTCAATCATAGGAAAAGGTGGATTCGGTATGGTTTATCTGGCAATCAAGAAGGATACCAATGAAATTGTAACACTAAAAGTCATTCGAAAGACAGCGTATCATCGTGCCAATCAAATGACAGCGGTCTCCAAAGAGAAGGCGGTAATGATGATTCCCAATACCACGAAAGACAATTCAAGTCAGTGGATCACTAGATTACTCTATAGTTTCCAAGATGCCAACTATCTGTATTTGGGTATGGAGTATCATTGTGGTGGTGATTTCAAATCACTGGTATTCAACTTGGTTCGTCTATCCGATGACATGGCATCCTTTTACTTTGCAGAGATGTTACTGGCCATCGAGTCACTGCACAAACTCGGTTACATTCATCGTGATATTAAACCAAGTAACTTTGTCATTGACAAATCTGGACATATTAAACTTATTGATTTTGGACTATCAAAAGATGGATTCATTTCAAGAAATTCTAAATATCATAATACATGGAAGAATTTAATGAATAATGTAAGTGTTAATAGTTATTCTTTTGTGAAGAATGTTAAAGTTAAACAATTAATATTAACTTTAATTTATTATTTTTTAAACTATTTTCTAGAAAGATAATGTAACAAAATTACCAAGATTTAATGATGGTAGAAGATATATAAAGAAAGTTGTATGTATAATAATAATAACTATAATTTGTTATAATTTAAATTCTAAATAATTTACCTTTTTTTTTTTTTATAGACATATTCAAAAGTTGGATCACCAGAATATATGGCACCTGAAATGTTAACTGGAAAAGGATATGATTTGACTTATGATTATTGGTCGTTGGGTGTTGTGTTGTTTGAGATGTTGTTTGGTGATACTCCATTCTCTGGAGAGACAGCGGAAGATGTTTTCAAGAGTATCATCGATTGGAAGAATGTTTTGAATTGGGACTACCTTGGAGAGTACTTCTCTGAGCACGCAAAAGATCTACTTCAGAAACTGCTTTGTGAACCAGAGCGAAGAATGACTGCCGAAGACTTGAAGTCACATCCTTATTTCTCTGGCATCGATTGGGACAACATTAAGAATATCACACCGCCATTCGTTCCACAGGTTCAATCGGATATCGACAGTAGCTACTTCCTCGATGCCAAGGACTTGGATGATGACGATGTCGACGGTGGTGACTACGACGAGGTGGTGGAAGCAGCAACCAACGCAGCGGATGGCGTAGTACACGATCCAAACAACCCGGAAGCACTCCACGGAATCAGTGCTCTGGCAGCAGAGATTGTCAAAGACGACGAACAAATGGCTGCCAGCATGTTGGCCAACGCCAACAACAATAACGCCAACGGTGGTGGTGTTGGCAACGGCAACGCCAATGGAGTTGCTGGTGGAAGTGGTTTTATTGGTACCGGTGGAAGTGGTTATCAGAATATGATTGGTGGCGAGGATTCCTACAGAGCTATGCCATTCGGTGGATTCAACTTCCAGCGATTCCCATCGATTGTAGAGGGTGCCAGAGTGAAAGGTCTCATCAAGTCGTTCTACGTCGAAGAGAAATGTGTCTCTAGAGCGACATCCAACTCTTCGCTGAGCTCGCCATCCGGTGGATCATGCACCAACTCGCCAATCATACAATCTGCAAACTCTAGTAAACCTAATCCATCAATGAGTAGCAGCGGTAGCTCAATACCAATTGTATCATCAAATATATCAAATACAAATAATAATAACAATAGTAACAACAACAATAATAATAATAATACAAGTCCAGTTACATCACCATCACCAACAAGTCCAAACGTAGCAGGATATACATCAAAGACACCACTACTTAGAGTAGCCAGTAAAACAAAGAATAAATAAAATGTAGTATAATAACATCGTCGTCGTCAACATCACAGATGATAATCATTGTTTGCAAACCAACCCTAAATACAATATCAATAACAATAACAATAAAATACTTACTACTACTACTTTTTTTTGATTTTAAAATTTTAATCTATATCTATTTGTTCTTCGTGTCTCTCTAACTTTGAAAATAAGATTATCTTTGTTTTGTTTTTGTTTTTTTTTGTTTTTATTTTTATTTTTTATTTTATTTATTTTTATTTAAAAAGCCTATGTAATAATGAATGATTATTAATAAATAGTAAAATGATTAGTAAATGATATATAATTAATAATAATTGAATTATAAATTTAACATACAACAGCTGGTATCTTTTCAGCACATTCTTGAAGCAAACTCTTGTGTTCAGATCCATCTTCCAAATCGACTAAAGTGATACTGGTTGGTCTCTTGGTGGCAGAGGCAGCACCCAAAGCCTCCTTTGATGGTACATAGATATATTTAATATGTTTCTCTTCCAACATCACTGGAATATGTGAAATCACATCAATTGGTGAAACATCTCCAGCAATAACGCAAATCCTAATTATTTAATAATAATAATACAATATGTTAATATAACACGTGATTACCTAACTATTATTATTATTATTCAATATCAATGATCAACTTACTTTAATTTATTGGCTTTGGCTTCTTTGGCAGCCTTTCTAACACATTTTACAACTTCTTTGACACCTCTACGTACTTTCTTATCCTTTGAGGCCTTCTTTACGAGCTTCAATACTTTATCTGTGAGTTTAGTATCGGCCATTGGCGAGGCAATTGGTGATACGTAAAACTTTGGGGTGCTTTCTGATTCCGATTCTGATGATGATGACATCTTTTCTTTATCTACTTTTCTTTATATAAATAAGATTTAAAATATAAATATAAATAATAATTTAATAAAAATCAAAAATAAAAAAAAAAAGATAAAAAACGATTATTTCGTTTTGTCAAAAAATGAAAAAAACTTTTTTAACAAAAAAATAAAAAAATTAAAAAAAAAATTAGCAAAAAAAAAAAAATACAAATCATAAAAAATAATAATAGATATATTTTTTCCATGTTTGATAAAGTCATTTAACATAATTAATACCAGTAACACAAATTTAGAAAATATCAAATCAATTTGATTTTGCTAGTTTACAACTAGTAAAAAAAATAATGGATTACACAGAAGGATTTAATTAGGTTTAATCTGTCAGATTACTCCAGATTTTCGAAATTCCCAAAAGATTTGGACAAGACCAATAAAAAAAGAATAGATAGAGAAACACAGCAATAAATACACCAGTTAATAAAGAGTTAATAAAACTATTATTACTTCTGGTCTAATATAATCTGATAAATAAATACCAACTAAAACAAATAATAATGAATATATTTAGCTATAACGCAATAAGAAATCAACAGTTGGTAGTCTATCATTCTATTCAGCACGATCAACACCCAACCAAATAAAAATATGGATAGATTTGGAAGCAAAAAGAGTAGTGAAAGCGTGCAATCACTGCTAATGTGAATCTTCCCAAGTATATACCAGATGGAATGTGCAATCAACGACAGGCAAAGAGTAACAATCTATATATATGAGAAGATTCTAAATGTTTTTCCTGAAAAACCAAATATACTATCATTTGCATTGTTACTCTTTGCCTTCTGTAGACTACACACTCTACCTAGTAAATATTTATTGATAGGTGATCACAATCCAGAGAGTGTGCTATGTCTCGAGATTCTTAAAATAAAATAAAATAAAATAAATATTGTTTTTCCAAATCACTCCTTTTCATTTAAAGAATAAATAAATATTTATTATACACATTAGGTCTCAGTAACACAACACCAACATTGATATCAGGCATGAAGAAGTGGTGGTTCTTAACTGGTTCACTAATGTAGATTCAATCAAAGTGCTCCGTCGTTCAACTATAGATAAAGCTCAGGGAACTGATCAGTTCCTAAGTCACATCATGCTACTCTGTCTAAGTGACCTGCCTCGAGATCTATCCTCTGGATTAAATTACTTTCATTGATTGACCTCCTGTATCGGAACTGTGTGCATTACGCATCGTATCGTATGGATTATCTCATTTTTCATCTTTGTAAATTATTAGAATCAAATATAATTGTGATTATCAAAGCATTAATGACAGTGACGATAGATAAGAATAATTTAATTGTTTTTTTTTTTTTTTTTTTTTAAACCACTCTTTTTTTGATCTTCATCAGTTAAATTGATGATCATGGGTTAGATAAAAATTATTCTTTGATTATGAAATTTCCCAAAAAATAATAATAATTGTTATATTATAATGAAAACATTTAATATTTATAATGTATTCATTATTGTTTTAGTATTTATTTTGTTAATAATAGGTGGTGGTAGCGATGATTATAATGGATTGGTAGTAGGAGATATAGTTCAACAGCAAACTGAATATCCACACCCACCGACCTATGGAATGCAACAACCGATGGCACCACAGACGACTTTCACAAACAGAATCAGTAGAGATTGTTCGTCGGAACTATCTAATAAGGTGAGAGCTATTCTAGATAACATATTCTATCCGGTGGTAGTCGATCACAAGTACCAACTACCGGTGAACTGCCAGTTGAATCCATCACTAGACATGCTCGCATACTTGGAGACTCAAAAGATCAACCTCTACAGCATCTGGAAGTGTCGTAACTGTTCAAAGCAATTCAACACCGAAGAATTCTTGGATCTACATCTAAAAAACAATCATGCAAGTCTTATACCATCTGTAGGTAGCTATAGTTATATTTATATATAAGCAAAACTAGAATCAAATCAAATCAAATCAAACTAATAATGAATGAATGAATGAATATCTAGAATGCAACAGTATGTCTAAGTGATTTCTGTGATATGTTGAATTGTAAAGACGATCCAGTCATTGCGTGTGATAATAAGAGGATGGATAAACTCAAACATCATTGTCAGAGTATCATGTATAATTGCTTCCCACTGAATCAGGAACAAAGTAGAATGTTAAACTCTCACTTTACCAAGAATATATGTGATCATCTGACGTGTGATGGTTATAAAAGACACATACCAAAACAAAGTGACAGTGTAAGTAAAGTTAATAGTTAATATTTATCTAATTAATCTAATTAAAAAAACAATAGAATCAATCAAATAGCGGAAGATCATGGAGTTTAATGAAATATATAGCAGCGTTAATAACCATTATAATAATTGTTTTATTCTATTTAATTGTTTGTTTCTATAGGAAGTAAGTTAAAATAGTTATACAACTTTTTGATACCTACATATTAATAGCTCATTTACTAACAATAATAATCATAATAATACAATGTAGAGAAACAATCTTACAAAAAGATTTAAGAAGATTATCAAATAAAAGACATCGTGATCTTTTAAAACAGTTTGATTCTAAAAATCATTGAAACAACATATATGTCTTTTTAAAAAGAAGAATAACAATAAATATAATAATAACTGTAAATAATAAAAACTATATATTTTAATTATTATTTAGATTTCTTTGTTCCAAGTGAATACCATATGGTTTTGGATGAATGGTTGTACCATATACTTCGGTATCATCTGCAGGTGATCCAGTTGAAGATGTTAATTTAAAGTTTAAAATAATATTGGAAATTGCAATATAAATCTCATCGATTGCCAAACTATAAAGTTATATTAATAAAAATAAAAATGATAATTAATTAATATAAACTAATTTTATCTTAATTAAAATTAAATGTTAATATTATAATACATACTTGGATGCAACACAATTTCTTGGACCAGTACCAAATGGAATCCAAATATCATGATAGTTTGTTGTGGATTCTTCGGTCATAAATCTATCTGGATTGAATTCCTCTGGATTTGGCCAATACTTTGGATTATGATGAACAGAGAATATATTCATTAATATTTGTGTCTTTTGATATTTAAATTAATTATTACTGAAGTTAGAATTATTTTCTCTAATAAAATTAATGTTAAAGGTTTACTTACACGTTTAGGTATGAAATATCCACATATTTCCGTATCTTCATAGCATGTTCTAGATAAACCTAAAGGTGTAATTGGTCTAATACGAAGTACTTCTTTTAATACAGCCATTGTATATGGTGTGTTTGGTTTGTGCATCAAATTGATTTTGTTGGTATTTAATTTTTTCAATTCATTGGCAATCTTTTCTTGAACGTCTGGGTAGTTAATCATATACAAACCAAACCATATCATAATAGAAGCACTAGTATCACTACCAGCCAACAATAAATCAAGTGCGACTCTAATAGTTTTATCTACTTCTTCTGGATTCTCTACTATTAAAATATCAAATAGATCACGAGGACTGTATTTTTATTTATAAAAGTTAAAACACAAAATAAGTATAAAATTCTTTAGTTGGGTGGAGAATAACTTACTTTTCAGGATCGAAATCAACTATATGTTCATTATAAATATCTCTAATATAAGACATGCATTTGTCCAATTGTAAAAGAATTGTATTTCGCTTTCTTAGTATCAAAGGTTTCATTATTTTAACATAGTTCTCAATAGTGCTTTGTGAACTCATTCTCAACATGTTATTGAAAGTCAAAATGATCTGATTTATAATTCCATCATTATTATCTTCCAAAGATTTCGAGAATATTATTGCTAAAACAACATTCATTGTGTATTTCTTAAACATTTTCTCAGGATAAAACTAAATAAAGTATATTTAGATGATTAGATTTTAATAAAATTAGTTTAGATTAATACATTTAATAATATTCATATCATATTTTATATTGATAGAGAATAATAATTACAATTAGTTTTGATTTTTGAAAATCCTTCATTGATTCTATCAAATGGGCAGTGTGATCCTCCATCTTGTTATTCATCGATCTGATCTTTGACTTGGTGAATGCAGACGACACAATAGCTCTTAAAGGTTTCCACTTATGGAAATCGCTTGATAACAAATTGTTATAGTTTCCAGTAATCAATCTAGACGACTCATGTTTGTATCTATTACTAAAAAATTGAAATTTTTTTACCCATATTTCCCTTTAAAATATTAAAAAAATTTTACATTGAATTAAATTTACTAATTAAATTTACTAATTAAATTTTATCATTTACTTACTTTATAATAACAGGATCACTAACAACGATTGTATAACGATCACCTAACCAAAGACTTAACATCTTACCGTCACCACTTTCACTCATTACAGCATCATTGTAAGCACGATATGGGATTTTGGTAATTTTATGAATCGATCCTATGAAAGGCCATTCTATCTTAGAGAATCTTTTTGGATCTTTTTTGGAGAATCTCTTGTTTTTATCAACCTTTATATAATTTCAAAGTTAGATTACTTCAACCAAAACAATATTTTTATTTATTTTTTTATTGGTCTTTCTCCATATTTACAAATGATTTTAAAACAAAAAGAACTAAAAGAAGTAGAATAAAAAATATTATGTTCATTCTATTAAACTAATAAATATATTAACTTCAAAACTAAAACTTATTATACTTTTCGAATAGATTAGAAATACTTTTGGCTCACTTTGTTTGAAAGAATTAATTAATTTATTGTTAAAATAAAAAAGAATTTTATTCTTTATTTTTTAATTAATTCACTAGTGAAATATTAATGTCATATGGGTCACACCCACTCTTCTCTTCAAATCAATTTTTATTTGGTTAATTTAATTATTATTTTAAAATTATGATATTACAATAAAACAAAAATATTATAAATCTAAAAGAAAAACATGATCACGTTGGAAATAAATTTTCACTTAATAGAAACAAAGAATTAAAAAAAATAACTTGGTAATAAAATGTAGAGAACAAACTTACAAAAGATAATTTATGTCTTTTTTATAATTATGTAATAAAAAGAAGAATAACAATACTATATATTTTTTAATTATTATTTAGATTTCTTTGCTCCAAGTGAATACCATATGGTTTTGGATGAATGGTTGTACCATATACTTCGGTATCATCTGCAGGTGATCCAGTTGAAGATGTTAATTTAAAGTTTAAAATAATATTGGAAATTGCAATATAAATCTCATCGATTGCCAAACTATAAAGATAATTTAAAATAAAAATGATAATTAATTAATATAAACTAATTTTATTTTAAATGTTATTATTATAATACATACTTGGATGCAACACAATTTCTTGGACCAGTACCAAATGGAATCCAAATATCATGATAGTTTGTTGTGGATTCTTCGGTCATAAATCTATCTGGATTGAATTCCTCTGGATTTGGCCAATACTTTGGATTATGATGAACAGAGAATATATTCATTAATATTTGTGTCTTTTGATAATTAAATGATAATTGGGTTAGAATTATTTTATCTAATAAAATTAATGTTAAAGGTTTACTTACACGTTTAGGTATGAAATATCCACATATTTCCATATCTTCTTCGTTTGATCTAGTTAAACCCAGCGGTGCAATAGGTCTGATACGAAGTACTTCTTTTAATACAGCCATTGTATATGGTGTGTTTGGTTTGTGCATCAAATTGATTTTGTTGATATTCAATTGTTTCAATTCATTGGCAATCTTTTCTTGAACGTCTGGGTAGTTAATCATATACAAACCAAACCATATCATTGTAGCAGCACTAGTATCACTACCGGCCAAAAGTAAATCAAGTGCAACTCTAATGATTCTCTCTACTGACTCTGGATTCTCACCAATTACAATATCAAATAGATCACGAGGACTATTAAATTATAAACAAAAGTTAATATTGATACATTCTTTAAAATTGATTAATAATTAACTTACTTTTCAGGATCGAAATCAACTATATGTTCATTATAAATATCTCTAATATAAGATTTACATATTTCCAATTGTGAAAGAATTGTATTTCGTTTTCTGATTAGCAATGGTTTCATTATTTTAACATAGTTCTCCATGGTGCCTTGTGAACTCATTCTCAACATATTCTTGAATGTCATAACGATCTGATTTATAATTCCATCATTATTCTCCTCCAGAGTTTTCGAGAATATTATTGCTAAAACAACATTCATTGTATATTTCTTAAACAATCTCTCTGGATAAAACTAAATAAATGTAAAGGATGATTGTTTGATTGTTAGTTGGTTGTATTTCAAATACAAATGAATAGAGATATTTTGAAATGTAATTACAGGTTGATTTGATTTCTGAAATTCTTTCATTGATTCTATCAATAGAACAGTGTGATCCTCCATCTTGGTATTCATCGATCTGATCTTTGACTTGGTGAATGCAGACGACACAATAGCTCTGAGTGGTTGCCACGCATGAAAATCGCCAGACAACAAGTTGTTGTAGTTTCCACTGATCAATGTAGCCGATTCATGTTTGTATCTACCACTAAAAGATTGAAAGTTTTTCGACCATATCTCCCTTTTATAATTAATAATATTATTTAAAATGTTAATATATCTAAGGTTCACTTTTATCATTAACAATAACAATGATTATTATGATTATTACTTTATAATAACAGGATCACTAACAACGATTGTATAACGATCACCTAACCAAAGACTTAACATCTTACCGTCACCATCTTCACTCATTACAGCATCATTGTAAGCACGATATGGGAGTTTTGTAATCTTATGAATCGATCCTAAGAAAGGCCATTCAATCTTGGAGAATCTCTTTGGATCTTTTTTGGAGAATCGCTTGTTCTTGTCAACCTTTAAATATACAAGTATTGATGAATATGTTAGATTTATTTATGATATTTCTAATTAGAATCTATCTTTGTATTTACAAATGATTTTAAAACAAAAAGAACTAAAAGAAGTAAGATGAATAATATTATATTCATTCTAATAAAAAAACAGTAATAAATAAGTAACACTATACTATATAAATGTATAATAACTTCAATCTAAAACTTTATCATTTTTTTTTTAACCATATTGATTGAATTGAATGATCAGCCTTTTTTTTTTTTAACAAAAAGATAAAAAATTGGATGTTTGTCGAATTAAATTTATTGGTTGATCTTCAAGTAATGTGCAGGTTACAAGACAAAGATAAATTGAAAATTTTTGGATTTTTTTTGTTATTGTTTTTAAAATACTTTTTTCTACTTGTTTTTATTTATTTTCTTAAATTATACATTCTGATCGGAATGTGTATGTATTATTCTATTCTAGATTCTTGGTTTGTGTTTGCTTGTTTATTTAGTATAACTTTGTTTTGTCCAATCCTTGAAGTGACTTACCCCAACATTGGTGAAATCATGATTAAGTAAGATCTGAAAGTCATTTCTTTATAAAATATTTTTTATGATAATAATTTTTCTTTTTTTTTGATTTTTTTTTTCACAAAATGTGGATGTCAAATTTTGAATTGCAACCCCATTTAGAGATAACGACAACAACAAACAAAAGAAATTTGATTTTTTATGGCCCAATGAGTCGGTTCCCATCTCCAAAAAGTACGAATTTTAAAAAATAAATAAATTCTCTTTATTTTGAAACAATATTTTTGCAAAACAATTTTTTTCTAATTAAAACAACTTATTTTTACTTGATATTATGAGTATTCCCCAATCATTGTAATATTACACTTTTATTTATTTATACATATACTGCAATTGCATAACATAGTATATAGGAAGTATTAAGACCTAATTACCAGATTATAGTAATAATAATAATAATAATAAAAACATATAAAAAAAAAAAGGTTAGTACTTTAAGAACAATGAATAATGAATGATGTAAAGTCAATCAATCAACAACAAACATCCTATTCAAAACGAATAATCAATCAGTCAAGTAAAGTCATAGATACAATTATCTTTGAATAAATTAACACAAATAAAAATAATATAAAACAAAACAAAAACAACACTCAACAAAACAATTCAATTGAACATTTTGTAAGGACGATGTCAAAACAAACACTCGGATATCAAGATACTCTATGTGTGTGTGTTAATTAAATTAATCTACATAAAGATATATGTATGAATGACACCACTCGCTATACTAAAAAATGAATTAAAACATTTTTAGATATCACTGTTTGACTATGATTAAAATGATTATATATCATTTATTTATTTATTTACAGAATATAATAATAATAATAATAGATTAGCATTTCATTATTTTATAGTTTTTTTAGATCATTAATGTTTATTTTCAACATAAAAATAACAACAATATTATATAGTGTAGTAGTAATATTAATTAGATAGATTGGTTGGTTGGTTCAGCGTATATATATTAAAAAATGGGTCTTAAAATGCCTACCAAAGAAGAAGTACGAAAGTACTGGGTAAACGACGGTCCTAAACTTGTATTTGTAACATTATTCTTTGCAGGAAATGCAGCTGTATTCTTGGAAAGATTTTTTCGTAGGTTCAGTTGTTTTAGCTATTGTAACATAGGAATATAGTACTTTGAATTAACCAAACATCTCATTTTCATTATTATTATCAAGACTATAAATATAAAGCACCAGAAGTATATGATCTTTTAGGTTATGGTGCATGTGTCGCTAGAGGTAGCGCAGCTATGATCAAATTGGATAGTGCATTGATTTTGATTCCAGTGTTGAGAAATTTCTTGTCGTGGCTAAGAGGAACCTTTGTAAACAACTATGTTCCAATCGATAAAAATATTGTATTCCATAGATTGTGTGCATGGACAATCTGTGTCGCTACTTTTGCACATATGTAAGTTTATTATTATTTGTTTGTTAATTAGTTAGTTTAAAGTTTGTATTTTGTTAACAAAATCATATCAATAATATAATTCATGTTGTGTACATTAATTATAATAACAACAACAATAATAATAATAGTATGGCACATTTCTCAAATTTCCAAGTTATCTCAACTGTAGATGATCCAGTAGAGTTGGCACCTATTAAAATGGATACTATTCCTACAGCTCGGTATTTGGCATTCCATACACTCGCAGGTTGGACAGGACATTTGGCAACGGTTGCCATGTTGTTGATGTTTTCATCGTCGATCGAATCGATTCGTCGTCCAATGTTTGAAATATTTTGGTTCACTCACCACTTGTTCATTGTTTATTTCGGTTTGATTGCAGTTCACGGTTTGGCAGGTCTACTCGAAAAAGCCACCTTTTGGATGTGGGTAATTGGACCATGTGTACTTTACGTTCTTGAAAGAATAGTTAGAGTTGCAAGATCGAAACAAACAACTTTATTATTATTGGTAAAGAATTTACTTTGCTCTTGGTTTATTTTTTCTTATTTATAATTTCTAACTGTTTTTCTTTTGTTTTTAATATTAATAGGCAAGACAACATCCATCAAGAACCATTGAGCTAAGAATGAAAGTAGAGAAATTCAAATATAAACCAGGTCAATATTTATTCTTGAATTGCCCAACGATTGCAAGAAATGAATGGCATCCATTCACTATTACTTCGGCACCCGAAGAGGATTTCGTATCGTGTCACATCAATGTCGTCGGTAATTGGACTGGCAAGTTGTCGACTCTGATGAATCCCGACAAGAAGATGGGAATTGTCCAGGAGAACGTGTTGAACGCACCCGATGGAAAACCAATTTTGAGAATCGACGGTCCATTCGGTGCGGCTTCCGAAGAGGTCTTCAAGTACAAGTACGTCATGCTGATCGGTGCCGGTATCGGTGTGACACCGTTCGCCTCGATCTTGAAGCACATCAAATTCCAGTTGTCACGTCAGTACCAAACCACTCAGATGGTCGAGAAAGTACATTTCTTCTGGATCTGTCGTGATCGTTCCTCGTTCGAGTGGTTCTCCGGCATCATCGGTGCTCTGGAGATGGAGAACATCAACAATTTCCTCGATATCAATCCCTACTTGACCGGTGCCCTATCGGCACAGGAAGTCAGAGATGTCATGTATGCCGGCGGTGAGGAGGATGCACGTGATCAGATCACAGGTTTCACAGCGCCGACACAATTCGGTCGTCCCAAGTGGAGTGAGATTTTCGCCGACTACTCACAGCGTTACGCAGGCAAGGATGTCGGTGTCTTCTTCTGTGGTCCCAAGATCCTCTCGAAATCCCTATATAAAAACTGTAGATACTTTACGAAAACAACATCATGCCGATTCCACTACAACAAAGAAAACTTTTAACAACAACAACAATCAACAAGACATATGTTTCAATAATATTTACGAAATACATAATATTTTATATAACCTTTGTTTTTTTTTTTAACGTTCTTTAACTTCTTTATAATTCATATAATATATATTGTACAATAATAAAATTAATAATAATAATTTTTTTTTATTTTTTTTCTTAATTTTTTTTTTATTTTTTCTAATATTATTTTCATATTTATTTCTATATGTCGTCAGATAACCCAACCCTGGTTATCAGAAATCGATAACTACTGATCTGATCTACAAAAGTATTAGAAATTGTAGTTATTCATCTGAATGAAATTTCAGTGTCGCTGAAAACGATCGGTATTTACAAAAAAACCATTTTTTCAAAAAAAAAAAAATTGTGATTTTTAGGAGCACGGTTTGAGATCCTTGTATCTACAATAGAATTAACCTATTTTCGGAATGTTTAGAACATATTTTTTCAAAGATATCTAAGATATTTTGTTGATTTTTAGAATCACTTTTCTGTTTAATCAAGAATCTAGATTTCAAAAAATGTTGGTTGTTCTCAACACGCAATTGACGTTATTGAAAATATTCCATATCGTTTTAATTCTCTAAGATCTATCTATCTATTTGTAAATAAACAAAAAAAAAAAAAAGAATAGAGTTAATTAATTAATAAATAAATAAATAAATCATGATTATTTCAAAATCTAGATTTCTATATATATTTTTAATATTTTTTATATATAATAATAGTATAAATATTGATAGTAATAACAATCACAATGGAATTGTTATATCATCAGCTCAACCTATATATTCAGATCCACTAAGTGTACCCCCTTTGAATTTCATTACGATGATGGTATACAATTGGAGTGATTGCTCTGAAAATGGTCTACCTACTGCTCTTCCTGAGAAGATAGTTTCATTTGGATTACCAGATATTTGCTATCAGTACTCAGATACGCAGAGTCTAAAACTAGTTTTAATAGGATTAGACCTAACATTTAATATGTACATTGATAATGCATGTCAGAATATGGAAAGCAACAATGTTTACCAGGTCGGTAGCAATTGTATTGCTTTTAGGTATTTCTATCAGCCTAAATACTTTATGTTTAGATACGGTCCTGTACAATTACCACCTAAAACATTACAAACTCCTTATTTATATTACGAAAGAGTACCTTATCTCAATAGGTATGTTTGAGTATAAAATTTATTTGTAAAAACAATATTTATATTAATAAATAAATATATTCTATTCTTTAATAATAGTACATGTAGTTCAACAAATGGTGATGGATATTTTTATTCTAGAAATATGGTAAAACCAAATACATGTACATTTAGTGAAACTATGGATGGTCCATCATTCAAGTCTTTGGATGGTGATTCTACTTCAATCCAGTTGTCCAATAGCGTTGTATCATGTGTTACTGGGCCGGTGTCGACCTACTACTCTCAGTGTCCAGTATCTATGGATAACTTTAGAATTGTGAATGCTTTCAAAACCAGTGGTCCTTCTGTGGTGCCTCCATTTGTTACCGTTCTATCCTATGGTCTTATCAGAATAGAGCATCTTGATTATGGATATTCAGAGAAACACACTCTTTTTGGAACCATTGTGCTTTCATATAATGAAACCAGCGAACAATACTCAAACAATGTTTTCAGACTATCGAATAACATGACATTAACCAAAATGCCAACCAACTTCCAAGGTCAGATTTCTATTCTCATTGATGGATATGATTGGATTCAAAATGCACAAATCCCAGCTTTTGTTTCAAATACATTTATTATTCCAAAGAGTAAGATTTATGATGAATAGATCAAGAAAAAGTTTATTAATTTTATTTTTATTTTCAAATTTAATAAACAGAACCTCAAATGGCATCGTTATCATCCACACCAGGAGTAACCAGTACTACACTTAGCTATCATTCAATTGATGGATTCCCTGGTGAAAATGTTTACAATGTGTCAGTCCTAACATTATCAACAGCAGAGAAAGTTTATTATCCACAATGTAAGAGTACACTTACTTGTGAAATCAGTGGTTTGTTGCCCGGTGCCTCTCTTTATTTCAATGTCTCTGTCACTAATAGAGGTGCTTCTGATTATATAGGACGTTCTCTCAGACTCAAAGATCCCATTAAGGATTTTAATTTTACCATTCAGAAACCAACAATGAGCTCTGTAACTATAGATTTTGCAATTGGTGGCGTCGGAATAGGAGCAGTCAATTACACACTCAACATAACGAATCTAAATGATAACACTTTTTTTATCACCTCAACCATGAAACAATTCTACACCTTGAATTTGCCTACGACCGCAGCTAATTATTCAATCACTGCAACTGCTGAAAATGAAGGAGTAACATTGGCATATGGTCCAGAAATCTTTAAATGGTCAGGAGGTAATTAATCAATTTAATAATAATAATAATATTTTATTTTTTTATAAATTATTAATTATTTTTTTAATTTCCTTAAAAGATATTAAAATCACTGATGTTGATATCTATAATATTACAACCTATAGTGCTCTTTTTAATATCTCTGCTACTGGAGTGCCTGATACTTTTCAAGTTATCGCTGTTGAAACAGTCTCTGGTACTCCCACCTACTATACTGGTTTGAGCGACATGCTCTATAGCATGAAACCTAATACCCTCTACAATATCTCTTTCCAAATCAAAGAATCAGCACAGCACTATTCAAATATAGTGTATAAATCGATACAAACTTATGATAAAATCAACAATCTAACATATACATTAGACCAGAGATTAAATACTACTTCACACAGTATATATGTTTTCATCGAGATGTTCTCAAAAGGTGGTGTTCCTAATGATATTGTTTATGGATATGAAAGTAGAGATGATTACCCCTTTATAGTTATTGATAATACTATTGTGGTATCTAATTTTACACCAGGAGATATTTTTACATTTACTCTATACGCGAATAGTGATGATTACTTTACAAGAAATGGTCCACATACTATTCAAATTTTTAGTTGTAAGTTATTAAATTTGTATTTATTTTTAAGATTAAATATTAATTATTTTTTTCTTCAGTCCCATATATAGAAGATGTATATAATTCATCTCAATATGATTCAATTTATTTGAATTGGACTGCTGGAGGAGGTGTACCCTACAATAATACATTTGATGTTTCATTGTTCAATCCTTCGAAACCTTTAGATTTATCGAATATTGTTTGCTCTGGTAATATTACCTCTTGTTTAGTTAGAAATCTCGCCGATAATACACTCTATGGATTTAAAGTTACAATGAGATCTGATCAATTCGATCCAGTTACATATAGTCTAAATGTTAAAACATTACCATGTAAGTTTTTAATATATTATTTTTATTTTATTTTTGGATATTAACTTTTTTATTTTTATTTAGATCCAGATACATGTATTGATAGAAATGGAAATAGTTCAATCGTATGTAATGGACATGGTAGATGCTTAAATGGTAGTTGTTTATGTGATAGTAAATGGGTTGGTGTCTATTGTGAGAAAGAGATTACTGGAGGTGGTGATAATGGAAGTGGAACCAATGTTAATCCAAACCCGAATGGACCAGATATTATCATTGACAACAAAAATGTCTATTATCAATTCCAATTCTCAGAAATCAGAGAGGTTAATCCTGAGAAATCGGTTGTCAAGAAATTAGATATGCCATCGCTTAAATGGAGTTATTCTAATGGATCTACAACAATCAACTCACTTACTCATATCAATTGGATCTATAGAACCGGTAGAAATAGTATGTTTGATTCCCTTAACATTACATTCCTACAGTACAAGTACAGTGGTATCGGTAACAATTCAGTACTACAAGATAAGATTCCAATCAACTTTGCCAATCAGGTGTTCTACATCGATGTTGGATCAGTTAAATACACTATCGATATTGGTGAATGGAAGTTCGACAGTCTTTTAAATACTTTGGAGATTGTAACAAACATCTCTCAACCTAAAGTCGAAAACGAAGGTTGTGGATCGAACGAGGATATCGATTTCGATAATAATATTGTCTTGAACTCAACCGATTATACTTCCATTATGATTGGTAATGATCAACTTGTCGTTGGAAAGCTGATCAATAGAGCGATGCTAGATGGTATGCCAAGAAGAATCAGCTACAGAGTCGATGTATCCGACGACAACTCCAAAGCAAATCAACAAGTTTTGAATTTGATCACTGAAGTTCCACATTTCCAAGACAGAGCCAGCCTTGACCCAGATTTCTCTTTGATCATCAATGTCGAAACCGATAATACCTGTTCGAATTCCAATGCTTGGAAGATTGCCGTTGGTGTAGTTGTCGGAGGTGTTGGACTCATTTCGATTGCCGCAGGAGTATTTTTATACAAACGAAAGTTAACAAAGAAAAGACATTATGAAGCCAAACTAAAAAAGGTTCAACAACAAATGTAAAATAAAAAATTTACTTTGAACTTTCTATTGCCAATTCTCATAACATTGATTTGCAATGTTGAAATTATGAAATTTCATAATTTTTTTGTTTTTGCAAAATTTTCAAGATGGTGTTTGTCACTAGGCGTTCATCTTTCTAATAAAAACAAACGACAATTTTTTCAGTTCCATTTTTGGAGATGATTTTTTTTTGATTGCAGATTTTTTTAGAAATCTAGATTTTTTTGTTTTTAAACAGTTTTTATTTGGGATTGATGTTAGCTAAACAAATCTACGAATCATTTTTATTTTTCACTTTGGTTACAACAGAGAATAATGACTTTGTTTACTAGTAGATTCAATAATAATATATTCTTTATTTTTTTATTTCTACTTTCAACCGGTAGAAATACTTTCAATATAATAAATGGAGATATTATAGTTCCGAAAACTCCTTTTATCAATATGTTGATTTACGACTCAATAAACTGTTCACAATCTGGGCAACCTACTGGACAACCAGAGAAAGTAGTATCTTTCCAACCATTGTATTGCTATGAATATAATGGAAAAAGTCTCATGATAAAAACAATTACTGGTAATCAACTCATGTATTCAATTTATCCAGAACCCAACGTAAGTGATTAATAGAAAGGAAAGATTATCATTTAAAATTAATATTTAAATATCAAATAGTGTATGGGACCTTTTAATACTACAGGTTACAGCTATGCTCCAAATTCCAATTGTCTTCTTATCAATCCATTATTAGGCCCCCAAAAGTATGTTGTTTTTAACGAAGGAATACCTCAGATGCCCAGATTAAAAGTACCTAATAGTTACTATTATGAGAAAATGCCAAGTAATTATACGTAGGTATAATCATCATCATCAAATTGATTAATTAATTGACATAATATTAGTACATGTTCAATGACAGGTATAGATACTTACAATTATGCAAGAACAGCAGTTAAAAATGGTGTTTGTACTTACAATGATATCGATAAAAACCCATCTTTAATGTCACCACTTACCTCGTCTTCTGTTCAAATCGACAATTCTGCCGTTTCATGTAGCAATCCAAACTATGTTATTTATTCAAGTGGATGTGCGAATTTTGCTTCTTCCAATCCATACAGCATAGCAAACGCATTCCGGAATGTGGTAGTTCCTCCTGCCACTCTAGCACCCACATTCACACCTGTTTCCTACAACCAGATCCTATTATCAGGTGTCGACTTTGGATATCAGAATCATGGAAGTTTATTTTGTGAGGTAACTTATACTGTCGATGGTTCATCCAATAATCTCAGCCCAGGAAACCTTTTCGAAGTATCTGATTCAATGACTTTGACTGGATTACCTCAAGGCAAATTAGTCTATATTTCACTAAATCTCTATGGATATGATTATATATCCAACAGCTATGCTCCAATGCTAACAACTTTAGAGGCTTCTATGCCTGCATGTAAGTAATAATAATTTATGGATTTCATATTAATGAAAATATTAATATTCTCTAAAGATCCACAGATTACAGAAGTAACTCCATTTTTAATTACAACAAAATCAATATCAATTTCCTATAAGACAACGGGTGGACTTCCAGGCGCTGATACATTTAACGTAACTTCAGAAGGAATGACATTCCCCAAATGTCAAAAACAAAGTACATGTATTTTGAGTGGCTTCACACCAGGTAGATCTGTAGATGTTTTTGTAACTGTAGAAAACACAGGTCTCTCTCAATTACATCAATCAACAATACAACTATTAAAACCAATGACTTTTCAAGCAAGACTTTACTTGTATAATACCAACTTCACTGTACAAATGACACCTAGTAGTGGTGGATATGGAGATACTGTTTATATTTTCTCTTTCCACAATATAGATATCAACAGAACAATGGGTGTCACAACTTATGTACCAAGATATTCTTTTCAACCCATTTTATTTAATAGCTATAATATCACTATAAATAGTACGAATGATGGAAATTCACAAATAATTACTTTCAATAACTATCAATTGTTTGGAGGTATGTATACAAAGTTATTTTTATACCTAATCAAAATGTTCCTATTTTTTTTTTTTTAACATTTTTTTATTTCTTAGTTTTAGAAATAACAAACATTGCATTTCTATCGATTGGAGTGAGCAATGCCTCCATTCAAGTATCAACATCTCAACTCTATAGACCAACTTTTAATATAACCGTTGTTGGTATAAATGATAATAATAGAGTATTAGGAGTTTTCAATACTACTAGTTTCAATTTAACAGAATTGCAAGGTGGAAGAGAATATCAACTTGGTATATCTATTGATGATGGTTCTCGTAGAAGTGAAGTTAAACTAGTTAATTTCCTAACCTTTTCTCCTCTCACCAAAGACAGGGTAGTCTTTATCCAGAGAATTAATTCCTCAAATCCAGAGTCCTGGTATTTACAAGTGGAAATTTATGCAAGTGGAGGTATTCCAAATATGTCAATCTATACTTTTGCAACTTTAATTAGAGGAACACCTTATCAATCAAGCAAATACTCCAATATAATCATATTAAACGATTTGAATTTTAATTCTACCCCTCAATCGTTTAAAGCAGTTGTAGAAAACGATGGGGAATTTGTTCTTTTTCTTGAATCAGTAACATTATATCAATGTAAGTTTTATTAAATATTATTAAAGCAAAAAAATATAATTTTTAATTTTTTTTAATTTATAAAATCACTACAGTCCCTGTATTTAATAAAACGGAATACCAAGCTGGATATGATTCAATATTTTTGAATTGGACTGATTTATATAGTGGTGGATCAGGAAATAATACTTTTGATATTTACATTTTCAATCCAAACCGTCCAACAACAGTTTCTACTTTACTGTGTTCCGGTGATATTAATACATGTCTGGCCACTGGATTAACATCTAACACATTATATGGATTCAACATTACTATGAAATCAGTTCAATTTGACCCAATCTATTTTACATTAAATGTTCAAACAAAAGAATGTAAGTTTTAATATTAAATAGATATCAAACTTATTTAAATAATATTAATATTATTATTTATTTATTTCTAGATCCAAATGTTGTTACCTGTGTCGATCCTAAAGGTTCTACAACTTTAGATTGTAATGGTTATGGAAAATGTGTCAATGGAACTTGTCTGTGTGAGAAAGATAGAACTGGAATCTATTGTGAAAACAAAATACCAGGAGGCAATGGCGGTAATAATGGAGGTGGAACCAATGTCAATCCAAACCCAAACGATCCAACAATCATTATTGACAACAAAGATGTTTCCTACCAATTTACTGTCTATGAAATAAGAGAAGTAGATGACATGTCAAATACACTCAAGAGTGTAAATATTTCAAATTTGAAATGGACTCTCCAAAACCAATCCAATCAACCTGTTCCATCCATCGACAAAGATCTACAACTGAATCAATGGATATACACCTCCAACCTCTATAATATTATAGATTCCATCAAAATTACATTTATACAATATAAATATCCAAACCACAACAATAATAATAATTTAGAAAAGATACCAATTACCTTTGCCAATCAATTGTTTTATATTGATGTTGGATCAATTAAATATACGATAGAATTGGATGGTTGGAAGTTTGACAGTCTACTTAGTACTCTAGAGATTGTGACGAATATAACGCAACCAGTGCTGACAGCTGGTAGTGGTTGCAGTGACGACGACAATGAGGTCATCGACGAAAGCGTGTTGAGTAACTCGACAGAATTCACATCGTTCTTCTTGGGACGAAATCAAGCGGTGTTGGGTAAACTCCTGAATCGTGCGTTACTCGATGATATTCCTCGAAGAATAAGTTACAAAGCAGCGATATTTAAGATCGACGACAAGGATGACCAACAGATGCTGAGTGTCACCACATCGATTCCCTATTTCAGCTACACCGCCAAGCTGGATCCCGATTTCAGTCTACTAGTTACAACCGGTGGCAACGGCAAATGTTCAAAGAGTTCAAACTCTTGGAAGATTGCAGTGGGTGTTGTCGTGGGTGTAGTCGGTGCAGTAGCCATCGCAGTAGCATTGTTCATAAGATACAAAATGCACCTTAAAAAACGAAAATACGAAGCCAAACTTAAAAAAGTTCAACATCAAATGTAATAAAAACAACAATAATAAACTTATCTCTAGAATAAAGTAGTGGTAATAATAACAATAGTTGTTACAACAAACATACATTCAATAACTAACACCTAAAGATTATTGAATATATTATTTATTAATAAAATTAAGATGAATACTTGATCAACCAACTAGCTTAATTTAGAAGCAGTTTTAAAAAAAAACATGGATGAATCAAAATGACTGTCAACATTTGTTTATAAAAAAAATGAATTTTTTATTTTTATTTTTATTTTTATTTTTTAACTCAAAACAAAAAACACACTTTTGTTTACTCTATTCAATCTAAATCCGATTTTTAATATATATATATCAATAAATAATATTATTGTTTTTTTTTGTTATATTGCTATTTATAAATCAAATTACTCAACGATTACACTCTTTCTCTCATTGTTTTAATCTTTTTAATTTTTAATTTTTACTTTTTTTTTTTTTTAATTTTATAAAAAATTATCACCATCTTTTTCTACTTTTTTTTTTAATTTTGTTTTTTAATTTTATTTTATTTTATTTTTTTCTAGCATAACAATTGTAACATATATTAATAAATTATATAAATTCACACATACATATCACGATGAACTCATTACCAAAGAGAATTATTAAAGAAACAGAGAGACTAGTTAAAGAACCAGGTATGTTTTTATTTTTCTTTTTGTTTTTTTGTTTCTTTTCCTTTTTTTAACAAGTATATTCTTATAAAATATGATATTATAGCTCCAGGTATTAGCGCTACACCAAATGAAGAAAATCTTCGTTATTTCAATGTAGTTATTACTGGTCCAGTTGATTCACCATTCCAAGGTAACGTGTCACATCATAAAAGTGGTGAGAAGAGAGAGAGAAAGAGAAGAGGGAATGATAAATAATACTATCACCTATCAATCAATACAATTGTAAACTAACTTTAATATGATCGTTATTCTTCAATTTAGGTGGTGTATTCAACTTAGAGCTTTTCTTGACTGATGATTACCCAATGTCAGCACCAAAGGTTAGATTCTTGACAAAGATATATCATCCAAACATCGATAAACTTGGCAGAATCTGTTTAGATATTTTAAAGGATAAATGGAGTCCAGCTCTTCAAATTCGTACAGTTCTTCTCTCAATTCAAGCTTTACTTTCTGCACCAAACCCAGATGGTATGTTATCACAAACAAACAAATGAATGATTGATTATAGAATCAAACATATATAACTATAGTTACTAACACAATCACACACCTAAACACTGATACTACATGTAAATAACAGATCCTTTAGCCAACGATGTCGCTGAGCATTGGAAGTCAAATGAAAAAGATGCAATCCAAACAGCAAAAGAGTGGACACGTTTATATGCTGCTTAAATAATAATAATAATAATAATTTGAGACCCTTTTTCTAAAAAAATAATAAAAAACAATCAAAAACAATCAAAAAAAGAAAATATATTGCAAAAATTAATTAATTAAAGATAGATATAGAATATTTATAATATAACATATTTATATTAATTATTTAATTTAATTATGATTGTTTAAAGAAATTATTGATTGTTCTTGCAAATAACATTTGATCTGGATTGCTTCCAATCGATGTAATCGCCTTTTGTCTAATATCAGATGCAACATGAGTGATTTCGTGATTGATCAAATCGGTAAGATATTCCTTATTAAACTCTGGATGTCCTTGTGTAGATATCTATTGATAAACAAAATATATTTGTTGTTAGAATATGATGTAATTTTGAATTAGACAGTACTACTGTCTATCTATCTATATACTACATACAATATAATATTGATTTGGTTTGGTTATCGATTTCTTGAGGAAACCTTGTACTTTACAAACTTCTGTTGATGCTAAAATGAGCATTCCCTCTGGAATCTTGGTGACGATATCTTGATGAATTTGGAGGATGTTGATATGTGTTCTTTCGTTTGGTGATGCTGATGATTGATCAATGGTGGTATTGCTTGGTTGTAGTTGACTAAAGAAATCTTGACCGTCGATCGATAGTGGCATCTGTAGTTCACCTAGTTCCCAACCCTTTGGGTTCTTCTCTACTTTGCCACCGAGTGCCTCTGCCAAGATCTGGTGACCGAAGCAGATACCACAGATCTTCTTTTCGAGACGGTCCAACTCGACGAGGTTTCGCTTCAACTGCAGAATCCACTCGTCCTGATCGTAGGAGTTGGCAGAGCTACCGGTAATCAAATAGCCATCGTACTCCTCCGGTGACTCTGGCCACTCCATTTGAACGGCATTATATATCGAAGTCTCTACGGTGTCGTCTTCACCATAGACCTTGGCAAAATTTATATAGAGTGCATTAAATATTTTCTGATCATTGATTACTGGTTCAGTTACAACTAACAAAACAATGTTTAATTAATTAATTAATATCAATAAAATTGATTTATAAATAACAAAAAAAATTGATTGATTGATTGATCATATTTTAAAATCATAATAAATTGATCAAATAAATAAATTCTTTCTTTATATTATAGAGTGATCAAGTTAACTTACTGATTGCAATCTTCATTTTTATTATGCTTCTTTTATTTATTTTTTTTTTGTTATTTATATAAAATTAGTGATTGATATTAAATGTTAAATTTAAACAATTATGTGAAATTGAATAAATAATAAATATAGTAATGTATTATGAAAATAAATAACAAAAAAAAAAACTTAGAAAAGAATGTTATTAATCAAAAATTTAAACACCTTAATAAAAAAAAAAAAAAACCTTTCATTCATATTAAGATGGAATGGGGTCGCACTACACAACTGGGAAATTTTAAACGTTTATTTGGTTGTGGGGTGTATTCTTTTTATTTTTTGTTTTTTTGTGAAATTAATTAAAAAAATCGATTTGTTTTCTGTTTTTATTAGATTTTTCTTTACAGCTTTTACACAACGGTGTTAGAGAGAAAATAATATTCTTTGTAAATATGTGGTTATGAAAAAAACACATCTTCCACTTTTAAAAATAAGATTTTAAATAGGGTTAGATCGAAGTTAAAAGAGAATAAAAAAGAAATTAACTCTGTACAACAAAAATAGATTTGATATTTTATAATTTCTATAGTCTATTTTCTTTTTTTTCTTTTTTTATATTGTTTTTTAATAATTATTTTGATATTTTAAATATAACAAATTTTAATAGTATATTTATATTTTCAAAAAATCAAATCTATTATTCCATGGTTGAGGTAAATTAATATTGCATTAAACTAATAAATAGTTGAATTAAAATTAAATCATTATCATCATCATCAAATAAAATATTCTAAAAATAGTAATAATTATTAGTTTTAATTTCATCATACAAAAATTACATTCCCAAAGGATTACTTTGCAAATCAAAAATAATAATTCAATTATTCAATTCCTCATTGTTCAAATAGAGGAACTAGAACTATTTTCATGAGAATCTATTGAATAAATATTTGTAGTCTCTAATTTTTGGAGAGATGGTGGCGATTATTCTTGTTTAAGAGACAACACTCATACCACAATTTAATTAGTTTGTCCAATCAAGTTTCATTCCCAAAAACATTATAATTATTTTAGCGGAAATACTCAAATAATTGGATTAAACATATAGACATGACAATCAATCAAATCAAATCACAAATACTATGATCTAAGATAAGATAACATTTTTATTTCCTATCATTTTTATTATAATAATATTTGGTATTAATAATAATAGTTTCATAATTAAAATAATAATAATATTTGTATTCTAATCATATCCCTATATAATAGTATCGAAGTACAGTACTATTAGTTTATTGTTTTTATCGAATTGACCATGTTACCTCGATAACGAATAAACTAATGATTGATTGATTGACAATAATTTATTTAATATCTTTTTTTTATCAATCATTAATCATAAACAATGATATGATTAGAAATATGTGTTGTTTAGAGTTGATCTGATTTGTGTTGTGTTGTGTTGGTTTGTTGTTTTTGGTATTGTAATCAATTAATAATAATCAAGATTACCAAACACACATTTTTTGATTTTTAAATTCTCAACAATAATTCCACTTCCCTGTTTGTTGTTTGTTGTTTTAATAATCATCTTCATTACTATCAACATCATCATCAAAATACCAATTATAGAACAATCAAAACAAAACAAAACAAAATAAAATAAAATAATTAATAATACTAAAAAATAAAATACAAATAAAAAAAAATCTTAATAAAATAAAAATAATTATATTATCTTTTTTTTTAAAATTAATAATCAAATCCAGTAATCAAAAAGCAATCAAAAAACAAAGAGACTCTCATCCTTCCTTTGTTTTTATTATTTGTTTATTTTTAAATTATTTTGAAAAATTCGTTTTTCAGGCAAAAAAAAAAAAAACTAAAAAACTTTGAAAAATCTAACTGTTTTTTTTTTTTTTTTTTTTATTTAACAAAATTTTTACAGATTATAGTGTGTTAATAATAAATTAAGATATATAGAAAACACAAAATATTTATTTATTTAAATATTTATTAAAATTAGTTAAACAATAATAGTTTAAAAATCAATTATTATAATTAGTCAAAAATTAATAGCTATTAGTTTAAAAAAGAAGAAGAAGAAGAAGAATTTTTTTTTTTTTTAAAAGTTAGTTATAATGAATATTGCTAAGGAATCTTATAAGGATGATGAAGCTGGATCATCTCGTGATGAATCCAGCAGTATTCAAGATAGTAGTGAGGAGTCGATTGAGGATGACGACAATGAAGATGAGGACGACGAGGAGGATGACGACGACGATGACGACGAGGAGGATGACGACGACAGCTTTGAGATATCGGATATCGAAATAAAGAACAACGATACAACCGAGGTGAAGAACCTAAAGATCAAGTTGTTGAAGGAGAAGAGCAAGGTTCTCGACGCCAAGGAGACCATCGAGAGTTTGGTCGAGCAGATCACCGCTTACAAGGCGTCGGTCGAGGAGGAGAAAACCGAGTTGGAGAACAAGCTCAAACACGAGAAGAAGACGAAGCTCGAGATGTTTGAGATCTACAAGGATTTGGAGTCGGAGCGCGACAATTTGGCTGGCCAGTTGGACGGCGTCATCAATGAGTGCGAACAACTGGAACGCGAGAAACAAGCAATGTCCAAAGAGAACATCACCAATTTGCAGACGCTGATGAACGAAATCACCAACATCGAAGAGAGTAACCTGGCGCTCGAGAAGGAGCTCGAGAAGGAGCGCGACGACAACCAGGCGCTACAGACTCGACTCTCTGAGCAGGTCTCGCTCAACCAACGTCTGGAGACACTGAATAGCGAGATGAGTGCGAATCTATCGTCGTCGACACCGTCCGCTTCCGACTCGGTGACGGTCGCCAGTCTCAAGAAGCAGTTGGCCGACCTCCAAAACTCGTTGGTCAAGGAGAAGGAGAAGATAACCAGCGTCGATCTTCTCATGTTGCAAGCACGTCGCATCATGGGATTGGAGGGAACGGCTGTCGGTGCGATCGAGCAGTCGAACGCCATCGAGATCAACACACTCAAGACCAACGTCGAAGTCGAGAAACAACTGCATCACAAGACACAGCTACAGCTCGAAGAGGAAAAGAAAAAGTCGGAACTCAACAAAAAGACCGCAGACAACCTGGTTGCGAGAATTAAAGATCTCATTTCCTCACACCACGAAACACTACAGCAGTTGGACGACGAGAAAGAGAATACCAAACTACTAGAATCTGAAGTTGATAAATTGAAAGAACAAATGAATTTACTTCATCAAAAATTATCTGTAAATAATAATAATAATAATAACAACAATGAACAAGTACAACAACAACAACCATTGAGTAGTGAATCAAGTACACCAACTATTACACAATCTCCATCTTCAGAGAGTGTTGGTCAAGTTTTGGAGAATGGAAATTCCACTCCAAATTCAAATAATTCCACTCCAAACATTTTGGAATCATCACCTTCCACCTCACAACCAAAGACCATTCCAATTCATAGAGATGGAAATATCGATGTTGCTGATATTCTCAAATCACTGCCAGCTGCACCAACCTTTGTAACACCACCTAACAACAACAATAATCATAGCAACAATAATAATCATAGCAGCAGCAAACAATCAGATACTGATTCTTCATCTGATGAAAAATCAAATGTTACCAAACCTGAATCGTCATCATCATCAGCAAAAGCAGCTGCTGCTGCTAATCGTGAGCGTATGCTATACAAGACGATTAGACGTAACCAAACGATGAAGATGATCAATGAGATGGGTGGTGATCTCACTATGGAGAAGCAGTCGGTAACCGATAGCGGTGTTGCCACTACCACAACCAAGTCGTCGGTCACACAAGAACACACTGGTCCCGGAGGTTCCAGTGTGGTCAACAAGAACAATGGAAGTGTAAAGACCTTTAGCTTCGAGAATAAATCGAATGGATCCATCCAGTACGGTGCTGGATTCAACTTTACTTCACTCACCAACGCCGGTGGCAGTTCCAACAACGAGATCATCGAGCGCAAAAAGTCTATCGGATCGATCAGCAAGCACGACAAGCGTATCGAGAAGGAGATCAAGGAGATCAACAAGAAGATTCTGAAGGAGAAGGAAAAGGAAGAGAAGAAAGAGAAGGAGAAAGAGGAGAAGAAAGAAAAGGAAAAGGACGAAAAGAAAGAAGAAAAGAAAAAGAAAGAATCGACACTAAAGAAAGATAAGAGTTCCAGCAAACTTTCATTAAGAGATTCAAAAGATAACAATAATAACAACAACAACAACAACAACAGTAAAGATAGTAATAACAAAGATAGCAGTAGTAAGGATAGTAATAATAATAGTCCAGCATCATCACCATCGCTTTCACACAAATCAGATTCTCAAATGGATCTCTCAAAGAACGCTGACTCCTCTGCTGTATCATTAGATGATCTGCCAGACTACTTGAAGACTCCAGAGGCGATGGGCGACACTGCATCGAGCAAAACTGGAAAAGACACTGGTAAAAGAAAATCAATTTGGTTCAAATTAAATAACAAATAATATATAGTTTTAAAGAAAACAACACAGTCACCAATACCAAACAACAAACAACAATAGAAATGTATTATTATTTGGAAAAATAAAATTACCAATGTTGTGCTCAATCGATTGAACAACATACCAAAACAATCAATCAATCAATAAATTAATTATATATTTATTATATTTATACAAAGAGTAAAAAGTGAAATTGGTTTAAAAATAATTATCGCCTTGTTAACATCGTCATCAACAACCACAATAACAACAACATAAAAGTTTACAATGATATAATAGATTTTACTTCTTTTAATAGTGAGTGGTAATGGGGATGTCAAGTTAACACCATAGCACCAACTATTTATTCATTTCAAAAAAATTTGTCAAGTTTTTGGTTTTTTTTGATGAAAAATGTCATCATTCTTAAAAAAAGCAAAATCTCTTCATCGAAACGGGGTTATTTTCATCAAGATCTTTAAAAATCTATTGTAGTTTCTTTGATTTAATTTTAATTATTTTATTTTTAAGTAGGTTTATCGATTTTGATTTCTACGAGTGTGTGTTAGTTGTCAACCAACAATCATTTAACTTCTATTTTAATTTTGCACCATTTAATTTTTTTTGATTGACATATCTGACAGATAAGATAATAACAGATAAAAATAAATAATAATAATAAGTCAATAAATAAAATAATAAATGATAAAAAAGAAAATATTTTTATTTATCTTTAGTATTATAATTTTATCAATATTTAATATAGTTGATGCAATCAATTATAAAGTAGATACAGGTGCAAAATGTCAACCGTATATTGGCGATCCTGCAAATACAACAGTGTGTGAACCATACCTTCCATATAAATCGATATATGTTGGTACCGCTGACACCCAAACCAGAATGATGAATGATATGCAATTTTATTTATCAATGTTACTTAATGCTGGACAAGCACAATGTAAATCCGATCCTGAAACCTATAGAACTTTATGTTCATTTGTATGTATTGGTACTTAACAAATTCATTTATATAATTATTTATTAATAAAAAAATAATAAATAGTTCTTTTTAGAATGTTTAGAATATACAAATACAACAAATAACCAAGCAATTTCCATACCAATTAGAACTTGTCAGGAAAATTGTGTTCGATCTATTTCACTTTGTGGTGTTTCATCTTATTATAAATGTGATCAAACATTTGACGATCAGGGAACACAGGTTCCTGTTTATCCACCGATAGCCGACCCTGCAATTTTCAATATGGCAAACTACGGTTGGCCAACAAACTTGGAGATCGCATGTTACAATACTACTGCGGTGCGTTCCAATAACACCGTAGTTCCACCCAGTGGAGGTCAATGCTTGGATCCATTGGTCTACAGAAATTCATCGATCTATCCACATCTGGAATCCGAGGATATCGGTTTCCATTATATCACTGACGACAGTGATTGTCTGATTCCATGTCCTGCACCGGTATTCACCAGAAACCAATGGCGTGCATTCTATGTCATGACGGATCTTCTCGCTTGTTTGTCGGCGGCATCGTCACTCCTAATGATCTTTACCTATGGAGTGCTTAATAGAGAGAGAACCAGTTATGAATCGATTCTTGTTTTCCAAAATTCATCTATTTTCCTCCGTTCGTTGGCAGGTGTTATGATAGCATTTGCCGGAGGTTCTGAAAAAATGATGTGTCCAGAGCCTGGACGTAACATGACCGAGCACGATCCACTCTGTTCTGCAAGTGGTATCTTTTTCTATGGATTTTCTTTTTACGCTATTTTATGGTGGACTTTTATGGTTTATGATTTATGGTGTATCTTGAGAAGATGTAAATATTATAATATACCATTTTTTTAAATTATATTTCTAATATTATTTCATTTTTTAGATCGTCAATTATCATTAGTATTCTTTTTTATTGTATCAACAGCACTTACCATTGCTGTAACTTTTGTTGCTCATTTTAAAGGTGGATGGGTAGCAGATAAAGGAAATGTTATGTAAGTTTATTTAGAAATCGATATCTTTTTTATTATACTGACATAAATATTATAAATTAATTTTTTTAGTTGTTGGATTGCAGATAATGATTATAGTTATGGTATTTTTTGGGCACCAATGGGATTTTGTCTTTTATTAGGAACAATATGGATATTTTGGATTGTAATTGAAATTTATATTGTAAGTATTATTTATTAATAAATAATTTAGAAATAATTTAGAAATAATTTACTAACCAATTTGAATTTTTTTAATAGATGATTAAAACAACAAATGTTGGATCAGATTTAGTCAAGAAATTTGTAAAAGCACAAATTGGACCATTGGTATACATCTTTATTTTCTATGCAACCTATTTGTATATATTTATTTATAATCAATCGTATCATTTGGCGTACCAGTCGATCAAGGCAGAAGGTGCTCTACAGTACTTCAGATGTATTTCCAATGCCAATAGAGTTGGCACCGATCCAACTGATTGTGTTGTAGAAGGTCCAAAGATTGGATCCTACGGTACATTTGCAATCACTCTCCATATCTTTGGTTTATACACTCTGTTCTATGCATTTAACGATAAGTTTGTTGCCATCTGGCGCGATGCAATCAAGAGATTCCTCCACTGGTTACCATTCACCAGAAATTCGAGTGTCTCCACATTCTTTGGATCGTCAGTCACCACCACCTCTGGATCTGGTGTATCTTCGACTCTCTCATCAGGAGAGATGTCTTCCATTAGCTTACTTCCAATGAGTCAATATAAGAATTCACATGTGAATTCCAGTTATAATACATTTGAAAATATTAATAGTAGCAGCAGTAATAACAATATTAGTACAATTACATTGGAAAATGAAATTCCATTACAGGAATTTTCTTCTAATATAGAACAACAAACACAACCACCCGAAAATGTAGATACTAATAATAATAATAATAGTGTCAACCTAACTATTCTTCCTGAAGAACAACAGCAGAAGAATGATGTATCAATAGTAAATGAAAACTCATCAGAGCAACCAACAAACAGTAATAATATTGCTGTTGATTTAGATGTGAAAGTCGAATCACCACCAATAACAGATACCTCAAATGAATCTTTTAATATTTCAACAAATCAAACATCCAATGTTGTAGAAGATAAAGAAAACACCGAAACAACACCATAAATAATAATAAACAATTATTTTTGTCCAAAAAAGGTTTAGATAAAACCGTTTAACAACAAAAAAAACTTTACAAAAAAGAAAGTTTTATTTAAAATAATTGTTATGTATTTTTTGTTGAGGACTTGCATTTTTTATTAAGATTATTCCAACCAGAGGTCAAAGAAAACCAATGGAATGTTGGAGAGGGTTTCTACTTCTAATTAATTATAGATATTTACTATTAAAGTTGTAAAGATCGTAATCGCCAGCAGGAAAAGGTGGCTCAACTACTACTTTGTTGACATCACCATGAACAATTAGTGATCCTCTAGATAATCCCAAGTCTTTATTAATAGTAGTCAAGGATACTCCGGCACTATAAAAGTGTTTGGTCATTCCTTTATCTTTGACAAACAATCTTACTAGACCAACCGGAGCAGAAATATTAACTGAAACAGGTTGAGTTTCAAAGTGATTCTTTACATATATGTACGGTCCCAATCCACCTTTATGTTTAGGGAATCATCTGTGTCTCAAAAAAATTTAACATATTATCAATTTTTCACTTTCCAAAACAACTGAGGCGCTTAGCATTAGTTTTCGTTTTTTATTTATTATTATTTATTTTGATAATTCTACTGATCGCATATCTATCAGACATTGATCTATTCTTACCAACATTGAAACAGTATCGACAACCATCGATAACATATTCTTTTTTGCATTGATTGGTTCGACTATACCAAGTGAAAGCATACTCTTTATTTCGCCACTATCTAAATCCACTGAATAAGTTTTATAATCAATATTACTGCTATTATTATTATTATTTAATTGATGTTGTTTTTCATGGAATTTCATTACTTCCGATAGTAATGTAGTTGAGTCGAATCCTGCATTTCTATATAATAACGTTGGTATTGTCAATAATGATTCTGAAAACAATGTTATTATTCTATTTATCTTTATATTATCTGATTTTAATTGTTGTGATTGTGAATGTGATTGTTGTGTCTGCTGTTGTTTTAGATAATGATTAATTTGTATAGATAATTGTATTTCAGTTGCACCTCCACCTGGTAATACAGTTGGATAGTCTCTAACAATTGACATGACAGAGAGTGCATCGTTTAGAGATCGTTGTACCTCTTCAATTGTATATAGATTCGGTCCTCTTACAATAAATGTGCATATAGAGTTGATTGTAACATCATTGTTGATGATCTCTAGATAATATTGTGAATTCTTCTCAACCAATTCTCTACATTCACTAACTATTGGTGTAATATTAATATTATTATTATTATTATCATTGTTTTTGTTGCTACTACTATCTATATCTAACTGAACCAATGAATGTAACAATGTACCACCCGATATCATTAGTAATTGTGACATATCGTTGTTATCTACCATTGAAGAACAATGAACGGAATGATTATAAAACATTGCAATACATGACGATGGTATTCTCTTTGTTGATATAATAATACAATTATCTATTTTACACTGTCCACTATTACTAAGATAGTTTATAATGATTTGTGATTGTTTGATCTCTAATTCTTTTCTCTCTTTTTCAATTGATTCTCTTTGCTACAAAACATTGTAATATTAGTTAATGTTATTACTTAAATAAACATTGTTGTATACATGATATATCTTACATTAAAACTTAATGAACTTGGTAACAATGATATAGAGTGACCAATATCACCTAATTCAAAGTCAATGAACAGTAATCTTGCATTCTTGACTGATTTCGACATATTAGGTACCAAAAATCTAGTTTTTATCATAATACCATGTATTAATGATGTATCTGCAATAGATCCTCCTAATATCTTTAAATACTTTATATTATCTATATTGTTTCTATTATGTTTGTTATTATTATCATTGTTATTATTATTGTTATTATTATTTATAATATTGATTGCACTTAAACAAAGTTTTGAAAACTTGTTTGAATAACTTGATAGAATCTTTGATTGAAGTGTTGTCGATGCTATCAGTAACATTGATTGCTCATGTGATTCCAAGGTGATTGCAAGTCGGTCAAATATTTTCAGTGAGAGTTGTAGAGCCTGTTGGAAACCCTCCACTATCAGATTGGGATGATATCGTTCGTCGAGAAGTCGGTCGGCACTCGCCAGCAGCCGACAAGCCAGCAGCACCGCACTGGTGGTGCCATCGCCAACCTTTGAGTCGACAGAGTGTGCCAACTGCTTCAAGATAACGGCCAACGGGTTCTCTAGAGGTAGTCGATCGATGATAGTTGCACCGTCATTGGTGATGGTAGTCTCGTGTAGTTCGCTGTCGACGATCACCTTATCTAATCCCTTTGGTCCGAGTGATGTCGATAGCAACCTCTCGAGTGCATAGACCGCTGTGAAATTTACTCTTCTGTGTTGCATCATGATGATTCTTATCTTTATACAATCCTCCTATTAGTTTTGTTATAATACATTCTATTACTTCTTGATCATTTAAAATAGGATAAATAATTATTTGATTGATAAAAATAAAAATGATCCACTATTTTTTTTTTTTTTTATGACCACTCAACTAATCGAAAATTTATTTGATAAATCTTTTCTTAATTAAATTAATATAAATATAATTATTAGATTAAGATTTGTTTAATTCCTAATTCTGGTTCTTTGTTATTAATTTGGTCATCGAAAATGACCGAGAAAACTAAGAATCGAGTACCCAATACGATTGCCTCTTGATCTACAGTTGGCCTAAAACTTCTTACAAATATTGAAAGTCCAAAAATTTCCAATCTATATTATTCTCTAGTTTCATTATTAAGTAATCCTAATTTTTCCATCTTTTGATAGACCATTTCAATAGGATCATATTGATTCATTTGATCTATAATTTTATTATTTTTAATTTTTTTAACATTAAAAGTAACAACAATCTAAATTATATACTATCGGTTGAATATTTAAGTAATAAAAGATTTGTAATTAAAAATTTGTTAATTTCAATAGTTTTAGAGATCTTGAAGACAAAATTTGACAAAATAGATACAAGATCATAAGTTGTTTAGTTTAAATATTTATTAAAAACAAGATGATTTGAATGATTATTCTGAACCAATATAGATAGATCTCAGATTTTCATTGAATTTTAGTTCTAAGTTCAACAAAGATTGAATTTGGTGATTTATAATTTGGCCTTACTAAGTACAGAGCTACTACCGCAGATACCATGGTATGAAAGTGGTCAACAAATTCAATGAACTCTTCTTGATCTTCTTTGAATTTGAGAATTGGAATGAATTTTTGTTTAATAAGATTTTCATGAATAAAATATTGTTCAAAACAAATATCAAATTCTTTGTCCATGAAATCGAGACACTCTTGATCAGACCAATTGTTTTGAGTTTTCATAAAATGGAAACTATTCATTCTTTCATCTTTTTCTCTGAGTTCTTTTTCATAAGAGAATACATCATTGTATAGAGCACAGATGTTTCCTGAATGATACATTAAACTTTTCCAAAGAGGGTCAAGAAGTATATCAGAGTGTAATCGTTTCATAATGAAAACTGCACTTAAAGAAAATGCTGGTATCATTCCAATATTGTGTATTCTCATATTGTAATATAAATTCATACTCATGTCACCTTCTAATTTCTAAAAATTTTAAAAAACAATTAAATTATTAATAATTTGTTTGTATTTAAAATAAAATAATATTGAACTTAAACTTACCTTGATATTTTGCCATGGTATTAAATTATCAAAATAATCGATGAATGCATTTCTGCATAGATTCATCAAAGGATGTTGATCTCCAACTCTGTATTCTAAGCTCTCATTTAAATCAAAAGCAATTCTTTCAAGTGGTGTAGCATCCTCTTCTAGTTTACCCAATTTAAAGATATTGATTGCTCTATTGATTAGTTTCATTCCAAATTCCGGTTCATTCGTATCAATAAGGTCATCGAATATTACTCCGAAAATAAAGAATTGTGTACCCAATACCATTGACTCGTGATCTCCGGATGGCCACATATTTCTGACTAACATTGAGAGCCCTTTGAAAATCTGGATATATTTTTGACGATTTTCATCAATTAATATTCCAAATTTCTCCATTTTTTCAATCACCATTTCGATGGGATCATTTGAGTTCATAGGTAAAGTCCAACTCTTTGGAGTTTTATCAATTATTTTTTGTAAAGACAACATTTAGAATTCCTATGTTTAAAATGAAAATTCTGTTTTTGATAAAAAATATTAACTTCTATTTTTATTAGATAATTTCAATCTGAATAGATACAAGTGGTTTAAAAATAACAGTTAAAACATAATACAACAAATATATTCATCATGTAACTGAGTTTAAATTTTTAAAACCACCACATACATTTTTAATCAAAAAAATTAAACAATCATTAAATTCCACCATTAGTGTGGGATATGCCTATTTTTTCAATAATTAATATTCATTCATTATTTATTATTTTCTATCATTTGTATGAGATATACCATTTTTCATTAAAGGTTATTTGATGAGCAACTCACTGCCACATAATCAACAAACAAACAAATACTCATTCAATCAAATAATTCGTAACCATAAACCAAACAAACAGCCGTCGCTCGATACCAACATATAGATTTGGAGACCCTAAAGCTTATTCTTTAAAAACAACGATGACAACAACAACAACAATAACAATAATAATAAAAACAATAGCAATAGCAATCTCTCCAAGTGAACAACAAATACTATTTTTTTTAAAAATGTGAAAATCACAATTATTTTTTATTTTTTAACACAACTTAATCTCATAGAGGTGTTTCCTTTTAAATGTGTTATTTAATTTTTCAACCACCAATGTGGTGGGGTGTTACTGATTAAAACGTTGAATACTAGTGCAAGTTGAAATAAATCGAAATGTATCACATTTTTGTTTTATTTAATAGTTGTTCGACCACCACCTGTAGTTGTGTGTTTGCATCTATTGAAATAACACTTTTATAAGGAAACACCTCTATGAGATTAAGTTGTGTTAAAAAATAAAAAATTTCGCTCACATTGACGAATCTGAACAAATAGTTACTGTGAAATAAATAATGCAAAATGTTAATACTGATAAAATATTCACTAATAAAATAAAATAAATACTGAATTATAATAAATCTTATCATATTTGTTAATCTTTAATGGTGATCAATTTTAACATTTCTCAATAAGATTAATTATTTTGTCGGTTAACAAAAAATTAGACACAATTGCTGGTAGCATACAAAAATTTCAAAAAAAATAGTGCACTCTTTCATTGTATCTATAGAAATTTTTGATCAGAAGTTTAATTTCAAACTAAATATGTTCAAATCTATATAATGACTAAATTTAGATACCAATTTTAGTGAGGATGAATAAATATATTTCTTTTTAAGGTTTAAAACAATTTTTTATTTAGATTATATTATTCACAATATATTTTTTTTTTGAAAATGTCTTTATACCTCCGTTTGACTCATACATTTTTAATTTTTATAAATACCTAGCTTCAATCAAAATAAATAATAGATTTCTTAATTTAAATAATTATTCTATAAAAGATCTGTAATTAATATTTACTAAAATATAATTTTTCATTTAACTCGATTATATTATCATGGATTTTAATTTTTCATCTGATAATGATGTTGCAGTAGTTGGAATAGGTTTACGCTTTCCAGGAAATGTAAATTCACCACAACAATTTTGGGAGGCTTTGGAAAAATCATTTGATGGAATCATGAAAGTTCCAAAAGAAAGATGGTCAGATACTTACCTCCAACATCAATTGATTTCAACTGAAAATGCTGGTTTGTTAGACCTCGATGAATGGAAAAAGTTTGATCCATTATTCTTTGAAATATCTCCAAAAGATGCAGTTGTTCTTGATCCACAAGAAAGAATGATGCTCACTCTTGCTTATGAAGCTTTAGAAGATGCTCAAATCCCAGTGAGATCTCTTCGTCAATCTAATACCGGTGTATTTGTTGGTGTTTCAATCGTTGATTATTACCAACTCCAAGCCAGTTATTGCCAACTCGATCCAACCCCAAAAGTATTATGTGACTACTTCACACATTCTGTGATTGCAAATCGAGTTTCATATTGTTTCGATTTCAGAGGTCCATCAATGTGTGTCGATACTGCATGTTCATCATCATTAACTTCAACAGATCTTGCAATCAAATACATTCAAGATGGTGAATGTGATATTGCATTATCATGTGGAACAAATGCAATTTTTGATCCAAATATGTCAAGATTATATAATAGTCTTGGTGTTCTTGGTGAACATTGTTGTCCATTTGATCAAGATGCAAATGGATTTGTTCGAGGTGAAGGATGTGGTGTTGTTGTTTTGAAGAAACTTTCATTGGCTGAAAGAGATGGAAATCGAATCTATGCAGTCATCAAAGGAAGAGGTGTTAATGATGATGGTCATTGTAATAAAGATACAATGTCAACACCATCAAGTACAACTCAATCTCAGAATATCAAACAAACACTTCAAAGATCAAAAATTGATGCTTCAAAAATCTATTATGTTGAAGCACATTCAACTGGAACTGTTGTTGGTGATCCAATTGAAGTGAATTCATTGATTGATGTATTCTCTCAAAATCATTCACCAGAAAGACCATTGAAGATTGGATCTGTGAAATCAAACATTGGACATCTTGAAAGTGCTGCTGGAATTGCATCACTCATCAAAGTATCATTGATGTTGAAGAATCGAAAACTGGTTCCAACAATAAAATTATCAAATTTGAATTCAAAGATTCCATTCAAACAATCAAATATTCAAGTTGTCACTCAAATTGAAGATCTTCCGAATGATCAATTGATTATGATGGGAATCAATTCATTTGGAATTGGTGGATCAAATAGTCATCTCATTCTTCAAGAGTATAAAGATGATCGTTATCATTTGTAAGTAATTAAAATTAAATATGAATTTTTTCTAAAAACTAACACTTAAAATTCAGAATTCAAAAGATTTCAGATAATAAGAATGATAAATATTATTTGGTTCCAATCAGTGCAAATTCATCAACATCAAATGATAAATATTTTGAATCAATCAAAGAATATCAAGATAGAATATCATTGAAAGAATTTGCACTTTATCAATCATTGACAAAATCATTCCATTCTCAAAGAAGAGTGATCATTGCAAAAGATTGGAATGATTTCAATTCAAAATCAATTGAGATTAATGGTCAGTCGACAATCAAAGATTCAATTGAAAAGAAATTGATTTTTGTATTTTGTGGACAAGGACCACAATCGAATCAAATGGGAATGAATCTTTATGAGAATGAACCAATATTCAAATCGATTGTTGATAAATTAGATTCATTACTCAAAGAATATTCTGGATATAGTCTCA